CGGTTGCTGCGGTTGTTGCTGCGGTTGCTGTGCCTGAGGTTGTTGCAGCACGGGAACCATTGGAGCAAACGGCGGCGGCGTTGGCTGGTGGGGAACATGCATGAGTTGCATCGGTGCCATCGGCTGCTGCTGCTGTTGTTGAGCATGCTGTTGCGTTGAGCTCAACAGCTGGAGCATCTGTGCCTGCATTTGTGCGCCCATTTGCTGCAGGTGCTGGTGTTGCGACGGATAACCCATTCCAAACGGCGTCTGGAGCTGCATGAGCACGCTTTGAATCTGCTGTTGCTGCTGGTGCAACTGGAGAATCTGTTGCTGGATGGATTGGATGGACTGCGGCTGCGGCTGCTGAGACTGCGGTTGTTGTTGTTGTTGTTGTTGTTGTTGTTGTTGTTGTTGTTGTTGTTGCTGTTGTTGTTGTTGTTGCTGCTGTTGTTGTTGTTGCGGTTGCTGTTGTGGTTGTTCTGGTTGTTGCTGCTGCACGAGTTGCATTTGTAACAACTGCGGCTGAGGCTGCTGCTGCGGCTGCTGCAGCGGCTGTTGCTGCGTCTGGCTCGGTGGCGACATTTGCTGCTGTTGTTGAGGCATGAACGCAAACTGGTTGGGCTGCGCTTGCGCTGGTTGCGCAGGATGCATCACCAAATGAGGCGGTTGGCCGGCCGGGACAAATCGTGGCGCAGGAGACATGACTTGGACCATCGGAGGAGGGAAGGGCATTCCGTTCGGAAACACCCCTTGGGTTGGTTGATGCGCCCATGCCTGCTGTGGCTGCATTGCAAAGTATTGCGGCTGTTGTTGCAGTTGTTGTTGTTGCAGTTGCAGTTGCGGCTGCAGCAGTTGCAGCTGTTGTTGAGGTTGTTGTTGAGGTTGTTGAGGCTGCTGTTGTTGAGGCTGCTGAGGCTGCTGAGGCTGTTGAAATTGCTCGAGCTGCGGGATTTGCTGCGGCGCAGCTTGTGCCAACACTTGAGTGCCGCCGTGCAGCAAGACCGACGAAGGAACGCCAACCATGCCGCGAGGGGCCGCGGACATCTTCAAATCGGGACGACCAGGCAGGATGATGTTGTGAAAGCGGAGTGGGCGATCCCGCTTGGACGGATCGGACTCCTGCGCAGCGGCAGATTGCGGGGAAGCAATCTCAGAGGAGAAGGGGGTCGGGGCCGCGTCCTCCTGCTGTTGTTCTCCGGAAGAAGTTGCCGCCGCGCTCGCGCTCGGGGCGTACAGACCAGGCGTGCTATTGCCAGCAGGCACGTCAGCAAGGCGCGTCGTTGCAGCGAGATCGTAGTCGAATGCCGGGTTCTTGGAAGGGTACACAACCACAGCAGAAGAAGCAGCGGAAACTGACTCAGCCGACATCATTCCAATCGACGTTGCAGAAGATGCCGCCGATGTTCCCGAGGAACCCGACAGGAGGGACGAGTACGACGAGACACTCGACGGCGACGGCGACGCGGGTCCGCCCACAAGGCTCGTGTTGTTGTGGTGGTGGAGGATGGGCAGCGGCTGGAGCGAGGCTGGGATGGCGTCGGAGGCGGAGGCAGCGACAACCAATGGCGTCGACATTTTGGGTATTTTATGCAGCGCCGCTCTTCCTGGAACACAAGGAGCGGGGAGCCGGGGCGTGTTGGTACGTGACGCAAGCAAGCAGTTCTGTGGAAGGAAGGAGGCAGGGGAGGAGAGGCAAACGTGAGCGAACTGCAACAACAACAACAACAATAAGGAAACAAAAAAAAAAAAAAAAAAAAAAAAAAAAAAAGTAGGCTTGGCACAACAGTGCGAAAAAAAAAAAAAAGCGATGCCACACCACAGCGTGGGAATTTAACGTTGAGGAGTCAGTCCGCGGGGTGGCTGGGTGCAGGAAGGGGGAGGAGGGGGAAAGGTGAGGTGCTAAAGGAAGAGTGCGCGTGGGGAAGAGGCAGAAGCTCACAGGGAGACAAGACCAACGGCGGGAGACTTGGGAGACAGAACAAGCGAGCGACGGACGTAAAAAAACGAACAAAACAAAATGCGCCCGATTCAAAAACGAATAAAACAAACACACGTCTGTTCGTTGAAAAGGAAGGAGCTTGATGATGGGTGCGTCGACGTGGAAAACGAAGGACTGTCTGTAATGTGAGGAATCGGGGGTGGTGGTGGGGGGAGATTGCGAATGACGGGTGGAGAGAAAGGAGGAAAAGCACACGGCGCAAAAAAGTCAGTTGGTTTGACAAGGTGTTAAAAGTTGCGTTGCTGCGTGGGGGAAATGGTTCGGAAGGGGAGCATGAGGTGTGGTGGGAAATGGCACATTGAGAGGGGATTCCCCTCGCGTCGAGTATGAGCGACGCATCAGGTGTTGTGAGCGAAGGCAGACAAAGCAACCAACCGAACACAAACAGACAAAGAGAGACTAGACAACGGAAATGGTCCAAAATAAAATGAAAAGTTAAAATACAATGAAACAATTTAAAATCTCAAATGGAAATTCGCACCGAGCCCAGCTTCCCACATTAAGAGCGACGGAATATAAAGCAGCGAAGAAGAAAGAAAAGTCAACAGTAACCCCCCCCCCCCCCCCGATTGATATGGCGGACACGCAAAGCGGCCAAACAACCGCAAAAAAAAAAAAAAAAAAAAACCGAAAAAGCAAAACAAAAAATCAAGGTGGAAGACGGAAAAACACGACGACAAGAAGTGAAGCTGGTGAGCATGCGAGTGTGTATGGTGTGTGTGTGTATGGTGTGTGTAAGGGTCAGCGAGAACAATAGATAGGGGAGAGAAGGCACCAAACAAAACAGCGAAAGGCGAAGGTGTGAATCAAAGTCACATCTATTCGCACCGCCGCCGCACCTCCGCCTCCTCAAATTAGTACCGAGGAGGAGGAGGAGGAGGGGTGTTCAAGACACGACAGACGAAATAACTCAAGCTTGGGTTATGGTGCATGCTTGTCTCATGACTCCAACCAGGCTCTCCCTCTCCACCTGAAACCTAGCCCCAAAACAATGGAACCCGCAAGAAAGTGGAGAAATGGAAATTGAGCCACAAAAAAAAAAAAAAAAAAAATAAAATAAAAAAAAATAAAAAAAAAACGAGTTTCGAAAAACCAGTTGTGGAGAATCAATGGGGGAAAAACACGTAGGAGAAGCGCGGGCAGGGGAAGAAGGGGGGGGGCGAGGTGGGAGAGTCGACGCGTGGAAGAGTGAGAGCGAGTGAGAGCGAGAGAAGGAGTCAGCACGGTGTAGCAGGAGAAGGGGCAGATCACAACGAGGTGATCAGCAAGAAAGAAAAGAAAAGAAAAGCTGCCGCTCTCAAACACAGCCCAATGAATGAATCATGCGCTGGACCCAGTTTGACCGCAGCTCGCGCAACCCCCCGCAAGCGTGCAACACACACCCACGAGCAACGTGCACGGCCAAGGCAAGCTCAGCAACCGAAGAGGGGGGAGCAAGGCGTCCAGTCGAACGCCATCCGACCAAATCCACCCCAAAATCACACCACAAATACACTCCAGGCCAAAAACCGCACACACACGGCCAGGCAGGCTTTTTTTTTCCCCCAGACCAAGTGTGCGAAAACGATAGAGCAACTAGCTACACTCACGACCCGCTCCTCACGAAGAGGAATGGTGTGAAGAGCGTACGGGGGATCAAAATGGTTCCAAAGAAGATGTTGATCCCCCGCCATTCGCAATAAAATGCGAAAAGAGAAAACGCCTACGAATAAAAACAACGAGACAGAGTAGAAAAATGGTGGGAAGCAGCAGTCGCACCGCGCGATAGCAAAGCAGGCAAAAGAAGGCACAGTAGTTGGATTGGTTGCTCAGAAAGACACAGAGAAAGAGAGAGCGAGAGAGAGAGAGAGAGAGGCGGTGAACAGCGAGATGGGCGCACGACGGAAACATAAAAAAAAAAAAAAAAACCAATCCGAAATGACAACCATCAAAATAAAATAAAAAAAAAAACAGTCAAAAGAAAAAAGCGTGGCTAGGTCGCGGGGAGTTTTTGGACTCGCTCACTCTGCACAGCCAGAAGGAGGGGGTGTACGCAAGCAGGGGACAAAAGATAGAGAGAGAGAAGACACTGGGCGACGTGTCCTGCGGCACGGGTGGCCAGCGGGAGGCAGTAAATAATGAGGAGCTGGTTGAACAAAACGTTGATTTTGTTTTTGGCAGCTCCTTCGCTCCACTGCTCATGTGCGCCGCCCTGTTGTCGCTCTCGCTCGCTCGCTCACTCTCAACGCTCCTTCCGGGCGTGGTTGCGCGTGAACGTAGCCGTCTTCTGTCTTCTGAGCGCAAGGCCGTTCGTGCTGCACCCAACACCAGTCGCAGATGCGGCAATCAAGCAGCGGGCGCGTTCGCATGACAAACCTTAAGGATCAATATTTAAAACCACTATTAAAAAAAAAATGAATGGAACTCAAAAAGGAGAAACGACAACGCAACGAAATAGATGCAGAGAAAGAGCGAGGTTGCGGGGAATGGTGTGAATCAAGCGAGCGCAATACATTTCGAGCAGTTGTGGGGGAAAGGAGTGAAAAAGGGGACGAGCGGGGAGCAGGTGAAGAAGGTTGCGCTGAATTATCAAACAATCAGCGCGCTTGATTAAACGCGGAGGCAAAATGCTCATCGCAAGAAGGGTACGTGACAAGAAGAGAAAAAAAGGGGGGGAGGGAATTGAGCAGGTTGGGAAGGAAGAGAAAAAAAAACCAGACAGCGTCACTCGCCTGTGAACGACGTGCGTTCAAGATCAGGCAGCAGAGCGAAAAAAACGGAAGAGCCAACCAATAACATGCGATGAGCTCATCCTCCCAGCCCACATTGTTGGACCGTTTTACGGAATGGAGCAAGGAGGTGGTTGGCACGAGTTCAAACCCGTCTCAGGCGTTGTGGTTGTACGAGAGGGATTGCGTTGGAAGAGGGAGAGATCTGCCATTTTGTTGTTTTTGTGTTTCCTTCCAAAAGAAACGAGTGCTTATTTTGGGCAGTTGGGGGGCTTGATGGCGTTGTTGAACTTCTCCACACCCCTCTCTTCCGACAAAACAAGATCACTATATTTGGGGCGATATTCGGAAGCAATCACGCCGAGTGCCATCGTCACGTAACGACGACAAAAGACAGATCAACAACACAGAAACAAACAAAAAAAAAAAACTCACACCCGACGAAAAACGCCAGCGCATTTTGCCTCTGCGCGGGAGGCATAGCGCTCGCTTTCGCCCTTCCCCTCGACACAAACGTCAAGCCCATGCGCGCACCGGACGCATCACGGTGGTGCCGTTTTCAAGCACGCATGTGGCTGGTCAATCGAGCTCATCATCTTGAAATCCCCACAAAACACGACCGAGTTACGGTGTTCGCCTCCCTCCCACCCCTCTGCACCCAATTGGAGCTGACATGCACGTCATCCCCACACCAGACACACGCGCACACGAGTGACACGTTGTATAAAGCAGCATGGTGCACCGCTCGTCGCTGCCAGGCAGAAACGACACAAACCAATCAGCGGCATCGCTTTTTCTCAACGCCACTTCCCAGAATGACACGCGCGTCGCCCAGCAACCCTCTCGTGCTGCCTGTACAAGGTTGAAGCACTGCCGACCATCGCCCACAATCACGAGTACCATCTCTTGAGTGCATTCTCGAGAGCGGAATATCGAAAGCAACTCTTTGTCACCGGCAGTCTCTTCCAGCATTTGCCATCTCACAGGGTGAGGGCGAGCCGGTTCTGGCCGCGCTCGCGGCTGTCTTCCCTCTCATGCCCGAGTCAGGAACGCATCCGACTCCCGCTTATGTGACAGGAGACAGTTCATGCGCGCGAAGGGAGTGCTTTTGCCTGAGTCACACCAACGCTTGGCTTTCAACTCACGCCGCCGCCGCTCTCCTCCACGGTATGGCGCGCTCCTCATGCAGGCTGTATGAGTGCGCTGTGGATGTGATGGTGTGCACCGCCATGACTCGCTCCCTGCTCTACGTCCTTGAGGGTGCACACGCCGCCGCCGCCCCCCTCCGCTCCTCCGTGCAGCGTTCGAGGGTTTGCCACGCACAGACAAGCCCTCGCCTCGCATTATCAAGTGCAACGCTGGACGGCTGCCTGGCCAAGTCAACAAGCCTTGCCCCCCGCACTGCCACAGCGGCCTGCCATCAGCCGAAGGGGAAGGAGGGGGCTTGTTTTCGGTGTATGGCAAAGCACTCCGCTCTCGCTCTCCCCGCGCCATGATTCTCTCTCCGAAACTCGTGCTGCTCACGACGTCCCTGTGACAGTCGTAGTGACGCTTCTAGCGCACCCTGTGCTCCTAGGCTGCTTGACTGGCCCCATTTTGTGGGGTGCTATGATTTTTTTTCTTTTTGTTGTGTTTTTTGTTATGTTTTCAAACAGCGAATCTGCTTGCCCGGTTGCTGGGCCCGCAAGCGATGCTGCATGCGATGATCTTCAAGTGGGTGTGTTGCTGACTCACATTTCGAGTGGCCCTGCGTTCTGGAATCAGCCGAAAGAACACAAACGAAGAAAAAAAAAAAGAACAAAAAAAAAAAAGTAAAAAGACAAAAAACAGAATGAAAAATCTTAATTTGGATTTTCGCATTCGAAAGCGAAAACCTCGGTTTTGATCTGCTGCGGTCACAACCAGACGACCTGCCTCCGCATGACCGAGAATGGCGATTTTCATGCTTCAGCTCTCCTCATGCAAAGGGACAGATTCACGCAATCCCACTCAGCCAGGCAGCGCTAACAACGACAACAACAACAACAAACAAACAAACAAAAAAAAAAACCACCATTGTGTATTGTCGATCTTGGCGTCGTAGTATCAATCGGAAACATCGCAGACTCCACATCATTCAATCAGTACATACGATCAAAGTCCTGGATCAGATAAACGGCTGGATCTCCACGGTGCACGAAGAACAATCAAAACCAAAAAAAAAAAAAAAAAAAAAAAAAAAAAAAAAAACAAAAGGGAGTGCAAAACTCGACAGCCACTGACGACCCGATCTCGACAAGACTAAACGGCCGGCTCAGGGACTACATTGCTCGAGAAGATACCGCGCCAATGTCGGGGCGAGGCGGAAGGTGCTGGCGCACTGCAAGCAGGCCGAGGACGTTGTCATGTCCACGCGGCCACCCGCCGGAAGAGGAATGCTAGCTGCCGCACCAGGCAACCCACCCAGCAGCAGTGGATTGTCACCAGGAAGACGTTCAGCACCAAGGGGATGATCGAGCTCCATCACATCCTCGTCGTCGTCATGCAGCTGTTGTTGCTGGCGGTTGAGGCTGCCTTGCATCTCGGCGACCGCAGTTGGCGTGACCATGAACGTTCGAGAAGTAGACCCACAAAAGCAGCGTGTTGGCTCGTTCAAGTGCTTCATGCTGCTGCAATGCAAAACCCGGCGCTCGCCACCTGCGCAATGCGCCATGAAACTCGCCAAGTTTGCGCTTAGCTGGAGCTTTCGCTTGGCTCTCGTCACAGCCACATAGATGAGATTGATCTCCTCAAAGATTTTCGGCTGCGGGGTGACCAGTCCGTGCAGAATTGACCGTTTGCGCGGCAATGCGGATGCAGATGCAGAGTTGGGCCCGTTCCGATGGGCACCGGGTGGCGCTTGATTGTCGTCAAAATCGCTCGTTGCGTCGTCCTCGTCGTTGTTGGGGAAGCGGTCGGGCACGGACTCGTTGTCGTCGAGCAAGTTGGTAAAGTCGTCCGAAAGCCGGACACAGTCAAACTCCAAACCTTTGGCAGCGTGGACGGTCGTCAGCACCACATGCGCCTTGTCAGAGTCGGGTGTGATTCTGGTCCGGATGGTATCGACCATGCCCTGCACGTCCGGACTGAACTGCTCCACAATGCCAATGATGGTTGAGAGCGTGGTATCGTCCGTGTTTTCGGCGTGCTCCTTCAAACTCTCAAAGTTCTGAAACCCGGCAATTTTGCGATCGGTAATCTCGCTTCGTAGCCCATCGTGCAGACGAGCCACGTTCGTAAGGCGCGTCAAAAACTTGTCATCGCCCACCTTGGCGCCAGTGGAACCAACAAAGCCGACTTTCAGGTGCGGCGGTAGCAGTCCAGCCAGCAAGGCGGCTTCCGCAAAAATTTCTACCAAGAGCGCAGGTTGGGGAGCAGGCAAGTGTCAGCATGATGATCATAAGTCGTGTTGCAACCAAGAAAGGAAAAAAAGACAAAAAAAGGAACACCAAAGAAGAGACAACAAGCAAAAGTTGAATGGTGGAGACGTACGCTTGTTGGTTCGCGCAATCACACAGTGAGGCTCGTGCAGTGAAATGACATTCTCGCCAATCACCTGCGGCACCTTGGACATGCCAAGCACTGGCCTGGACTCCCTGCGGAACACCTGCAGCAGAGAATTGGCCACGTCTGCGACTGGGAATCCAAAACGGAACGACCGCGTCAGGGCAAACGTGTACTGAGGTTCAATTCGTGCCAGGGCGTTGACGGCGCCACGCCACTTGTAGATTTGTTGATAATCTAAAGGTTGTTGTCCCGGGAAAAAAATATCAGTGTCGATGCCAAAAAACAAAACAGAACAGGAACAAAAAAAGCCCCAAAAAGCAATAAACACTCCAACTTACCATCTCCAACAAAAATCTTGGCACAACCCTGCTGACGCATCACAAGGGAAATCACGGCAGGATTGGAATCTTGCGCCTCATCGACAAGAATGCAGTCAAAGGCGAGATGCTGATCGGTGGACAGCTGGAGAAGCTTGAGGTAGGCGTCCGGGACGAGCGTGACGCGCAGATCGTTCGGGTCTCGGACTGCACTCCACAATTCGCTGGCCAGCCGAGGGTAGAGCGACGTCGGAAAGTCCGCAAAGGTCTCCGAGTGCTTGCGATGGTGCTCGTGAACGTGGTACGAAATGTGTTTCTCGCCAATGGTGCGGTCTGCCGAGTGCAGAAAGCGCATCAGCACGTCGATGGTCAGGGAGACCATTTTGGGCGGATAGTTGGGCTGGAGGAAGGGTGCAATCACCTCGGCCACGGCAGAATGCTTGAGGTTTTGGCCGTTCAGCTTGGCAGCGCTGTACTTGCCTCGCTCGACAATGCGCTCGTATGCCACACTGTGCGCAGTCTTGCACAGCACGGTGGTTTCCGGGAAGACCTTGCGAGCCTCGGCCGCCATGGCATTGTTGAATGTCAAGTACAGAAATCGCTGATGGCGCCGTGCCATTGTGTAGGCGATCAACGTCGACGTCTTGCCTGTGCCGGCAAATGCGACAATCTTCATCACCTGCGACGGGGCCAAATTGCACGCAACAATGGCGTGCTGTTCCGAAGTAAGTCTGCGATTGGCGACATGATGGGAAGGATGTGACAGCGGTGGAGGTGGTGCTTGTTGTTGGTGATGATGATTGTGGTGAGGAGCTGCGCTACTACTACTGCTGCTGCTGCTGGTCGTGGGATTGACAGCCAAAGTGTCTGTGCAAAAGAGATCTGGAATGGCCAGCGCATCCAAGTAGTACATGGACTTGCGCAGCGCGTGCCAGAGCGGTCCCATGTCAAACAGAACGCACCATGGCTCTTGGCCGAGGATGACCAGCAGCGAATAAATAAACTCGGACAAGTCCTGATACCCGACAACGGGCAGGGCAGCTCGCAGCAGCGCGTCGGTTGTCTGAAACGACTCGGCCAGGAACAGGAGCGCCGTGGCGAGCAAGTGAAAAGTGTTTTGCGGAGGCGGCTCGTGATTGGCACGGTTTGTGGGGGCGGCGTCGGCTGGAAGGCTGCTGTCGGACAGCTTTTGCTTCAATCTGGCTGTCCGAGGCGAGTCAATCAGATTCAGCCGCGCCAGCCAAGCGAGCGATGCGTGAATCACTGCAAATTCCGGTCTCAAGAGAGCAGCCCACAAGCTTTCATAGGCCTCCCGCGGGTGTTGTCGAAAGGTCGTGTAGAAAGATAGCAAGGGTTTTAAAGAGTCCAAAGAGCATAGAAGCTGATGCGAGGGCGCGGTACTGGCAGAGCCCTCCATCCGCTCCCGCTTGAACAAGTACGCTGCAGAGCTCAAGCCGGGGACGGGGTTGGGTCGATCGCAGGCTGCTGCAGTCAGAGGATCAGCCGACGCAGCAGCCGTCTGTGAGTTGTTGCTGTCAAGGATGGACGACAAGTCGGAGCCTGCAGCCAACGACATGGACGAGTCGGTTGTTGCCATGGAGGAGGAGGTGCCTGGCGTGTCTCCAAGACTGCTGCTAGTGGCCGTTCGCTGAAACATGTCATGAATGCGCGCTTGCTTGAGTCGAGGATTGGGAGCGCCGCCCAAACCGGACGGCTTGACGTCTGCGGCATTGGGAAATTGGGGATTCTTGGACCGCGACAAGGACAAGGATCGAGAGCTCGAGAATCCACCAGTCGTTGCGCCACCATGATGGAGGCGGCCACGAGATCCACGCAAAGTCCGCCGAGCTCCAGAACCAACGACAGACTCGTCTTCGGAATCAGAACTGACGTCGACGCCTTGAGCAAGTAAATTGGATTTCGGCACGGAAGGCAAATCCTCATCAGCCGCGGCGCTGGGGTGCGCAGCAAGAATCTGTGGTGGTGGTGGTGGTGGTGGAGAGTCGGGTGGCGACGGCGTCTTGGTGGCAGGAGACGCCGCCGTTTTGAGACGGTCGGGCAACCTCGAGCTCGCGCTGGACTCTTCCAACCAGGAACATCGGTCACGCCAAAAGCGCTTGCGCCATGGCAAGTACCCGGGATACGCAATAACATCGTGGAAGCGTCGGCAAGTTTGCCCGACGGCCTGAATGTCGCGCACGGAAAGGTAGGCAAAAATGGCGCACAAGAGCTCTGGCGGCAATTCCATGATGCTGGAGCGGGTCGCAAACCGTCCCAGAGTGTGGACACCTGAGCTGGATGTAGTTGCTGCTGCTGATGAAGAAGATGAAGACGTACTACTATTACTTGCCGGTCTGCTCTTTGAAAAGGCATTCGTCGACCCGGGTTGCGGAGCAAAGTACGATTTGACTCGCGTTTGGAACGCCGTCGTCCTGTCATTATTCATCCAAAAATGCAGGAAATTACACCGATTGTCAAAATGTGAGATCATACGAAAGATGGTCAATGACGAGTACCCAATGCACATGCAGCATCGAAATGTTTCAGAAATCCCTCAACCAGCCGAAATCGCTACCTCAATGCGGCTCCAGCGGCGCCGGTGGACATGCTCAGGGCGCTGTAGCGATCTGCCCAGCCAATGAAGCGCAGACCCTGGCACGAGCTCGGGCAGCCATAGTACTCGCGGCCAAAGTTGTTGGCGGACGTGCTGCCAGCGACGAGCAAGACGGCCATCTTGCCGCAGCCGGGGCACTTTGGCGCGACACGCAGCGCCATTGAGCTGGGGCTGGGGCAGTGTGTGAGTGTGAGTGTGAGTGTCTGTGTGTGGGTGAGTGTGCTAGGCCAACGAGCGCGGCGGAGAGCCGAGAGCGGTGCAAGCGAGCCTTCCAATGGAGACCGAATCAAAAAAAAAAAAAAAAAAAAAAAAAAAAAGTGAAACAAAGAAAAGCTGACGCTTTTTGGCGCGAAAAAGTGAAACAGCAAAAGAAGAAGATTGAGATTGAAATAAAATGGAGAGAGCGAGAAGAAGAAGAAGAAGAAGAGTAAAGCACGAGATTGCAAAGTGTGGTGTTTGTCTTTGGCTCAAATACAGGTAGCACACAATGGCTGACAAGAAAAAGAAAGATGAACGATTTCGAGTTGCATGAAAACAACCAGCAAACTCGAAACGCTCTCTTCAACGCAGCACCCACTCTTACACTCCAGTTACGGCCATATCTGGTGGAATGCACCGCATCCCGTTCCGCTCTGCGAAGTTAAACCACCATGAGAGTAGTTAGTACTGCGGTGGGAGACCACGCGGGAATACTGCTTGTTGTAACTCTTCTTTTTTGTTTGTTTTTGTTCTGATCTCGTTTTGTTCTTTCGTTTTTGTTCTTCTCTTTGGGTTACTTTGCCAGGGCCCCTTTTCCCCTTTTTGCTCCTTTTATTTTGACTGTCGGCTCATGAGTGGGACGAGTCACCTTGAACTCTGAAGACGCCAAAACAACCAAACACGCAGCTTACTTCGTCAAACAATCCATCCCAGCTTGCACCGACATCTTCATTTGACTACTGTACTACTCAGTCCTCGATGTTATTGTAAGGTGAATGCAGGTCCAGTTCCAAGCTCCAGCAATCAGCGCCGAGCCAAACGCGCCGCCCATCATGCTGCGAGGCCAACTCGACCCGCCGCCAAGCACGACCACCACGACCACGACCACTCTTGGACAAGCACAGCCCCTGCATGACAATGCCACGGCACGGCGACTCGAGCCCAGTCGCGCAGTCATGCTCGTCTGCCACGGCATGTTCTGCTGCCGCGACCAGCGACTCCTCAAGGACGTTGCTGACGCCGTTCGCAGGGCCGCCGGGTGCTGGACGCTGCGCTTTGACTTTTCGACTGGCATGGGCGAGAGCGACGGCGAGACGCGCTTCTCCATGCTGCGGCGCGACGTGGCCGAGATCCGGGCTGCCATTTCAGCGCTGTGGCGCGAGCATCGACTCGTCACGATTGGCCTCGTTGGCCACTCAAAGGGTGCCAACGAAGTCTTGATGTTTGCCGCCAACGAACTGCCGGGTCTGATTCACAACCCGACAGCAGCGGATCTGGCGGGATGCGTGCACACGCCCTTTTCCGTCGTCGCCATTGCGCCCCGATGCTGGATGGAAGCTGCCATGACAAGCAGATTCACACCAGAGCAGCTGGCAGAGCTGCAATCCACGGGTACGATGCCATGGCGCGTCTCGCCACTCGCACCCGAATTCTTCCGACCGGAAGACCTCGAGCTCCGATCAACGCGTGTCAAGGCCCGTCACACAATCACCATTACGCAAGAGGAGGTGGATGAGCGGATGGCAACGGACATGCAGCAAGCGTGTCGCCTTCTCGGGGCGGCATGTCGTGTTCAATTTGTGCACGGCACAGCGGACACAGTCATCCCGCAGGCCGACAGCCTGGAGCTCCACCGACACGCTGCAGGCTCTGAGATGGTGTCAGTGCAGGCAGCAGATCACATGTTCAGCTCCGACTCTTCGATTGAAACTGTAACTTCGGCAGTAGCGGCGTTCTGCGCGCCGTCCAAGATGGGACTGGCGCCCTCATCACCACTTGTTGTGAGTGGTTTGTAGTTTGGATGCAGTCGTTTGATCAGATTGGTGATAGCTTCTATCGCTCAATTCTTTCGAAAAAAAATGTAATAATGTCATAATACAGGGTGTTAATAACGACAGGCAGGCAAAACAGGACAGGCACGCCGAAGGGGTTGGGGTTGGGGGTTAGCGGAGACAATCGTCTGGAGCCTAACAGCAAGCATCCAAAACAGAGCGAGGGTGAGAGAGCGAATGGCAGGTTCAAAGGCACAGCAGATAAAGGGGGCAGAGAAGGAGACGCGAAAAGTGAAAGGAAGAGCGTGTCAGGTTCCATCTTGTGGAAGATTGCTGCTTGTCGTCAAACAGCACACTGGGTATTGGTGCGTATTACGACTGGGGCGGCAGCGATGGTTCTCATCACAGAAAAGGCAAGAGAGACAAAAAAAAGAAAGCAGGAGAAAACAAAAAGGAAAACAAAGTCAAAGTCAATCAAGAAAGCCCCGCTTACACAAACAGCAATTGCAGTCTCGGGCTAGGAAAAAACGAATGTCTCGCAGATATTAACGAATCGAGTGGTGGCAAAAGCGCAGCTGGTTGCTTGAAGACCGCCTCAAACAGAAATGGTCTTGAAAACGTTGATGCCAGAGCCAGCAGTGCTCATGAGCACGCCAGGATGCTGCTTGTGCCAGTGCACCTCGCGAAGCTCTTGTTGGCCTTGATGAATAAACAGCAGCTGCGCAGGCACGCTTTGGATTTCTTCAACAGCCTGAGCGTTGTCGCGTTCCACCGACAAATCCCACAGAGTAACTTGGTCGTCCGCGCCTACGAGAGAAAAGGGCAAAGAAACAGAGAGGGTCAAGCGGAGAAAAATGAGTGAAATGTGAATAAAGCGTCATTAAAGAAAGAGAAAACCCGGAAAAGTAGAAAGGGTGAAAAACAAGAAAGCGTGGTGTCAGGTTCCATCTTGTGGAAGATTGCTGCTTGTCGTCAAACAACACACTGGGTATTGGTGCGTATTACGACTGGGGCGGCAGCGATGGTTCTCATCACAGAAAAAAAAAGCAAAACGACAAAGAAAAACAGAAAAAAAAAAACGATAAAACAAAATCGTGCTCCGTACCTGCAACAGCAAGAACGGATTCATCCGACGGATGCCACTCGACAGACGTGATTGCTTGAGTATGCCACTTGAACTCGGCAGCGGGCTGTGCGGGACTTCGCAAATCCCAAATCTTAAAACCGCCTTCATCGTCGCCAGAAACAATCAAATACTGGACCAGTCTGTGACAACACAGAGACAAAAGAGAATGGAAAAAGGTGAGGACGCAATTCGCGCAAGGAACGAAAATAAAGGGCACAGCAGAACGGAGCAGAAAATTCGTACCGGCTCCAAGAAATTACGTTAACATCAGAGTTGTGGGCATTGATCGACAATGCGGCAGTGCCCTTGTTGCGAGTATCCCAAATCTTGACCGTGCGATCGACAGAGCATGACGCAAGCACAGTCTGCTCTGCCGGCGACCATTGCAAATCCTCGACGGACGCGGTGTGTCCACGGAAGGGCTTGTCCTCGACCTTCCAAGTACCGCTCGGCAGCGGGTTCCACAAGAAAATGTTACGATCGCAGTCTCCGCTCACCATTCTGCAAACAAAAAAATCCAACCACACAACACAAAAGATGAATGACTGAATGAGCCAAAAAAAAAACCGAGCAAGACGAAAACGATCAAGAATTCAAAAACTCACCGGCCAGCCACAAGAGGAGACCAATCGATCGAATAGCCTTCGTCGGTGTGTCGCGAAAAGGTAAACAGGGGTGCTACTGGAGCTGCAAGAGCCTCGGGGTCGACGGCAGAGTCGAACGAGGAAAGCTGCGTGGCAACGTTCCAAATGTGGACCTTGCGGTTGCTGCTCCATGTGCAGACAATGTTGTTGTGTTGAGGAGCGACGCGGAGGCGGTTGACAACACCGTCGTGGGGAATGGTACGACTGTCGAGCACTGGATCGTCCTCAGTGTCAGAGTCGGCATCGTCAATGTCGGCCTCTTCCTCTTCGTCATCGCGAATGGTTCGTCGAAGCTGCGCCATCTTCAACAGCACGAGTTTGTTTGGATCTTGACGATCGCGAGGTTGGCGCTCGGCCTGTGTGCCAGCGATGGCGTAGGCCGTGAGCGGGAACTGTGTCCAAACAAACGAAATCCAGTGTGGATGAGCAACCCTTTTGATTTCGACTGGAAAGCACGCCCCCTCCCCCTTTCGGCACCAAGTTTGACTAGGCGTGGTGTGTGGTTACCTTGAGTGATGCGCCCTCTGCAATGGGCTGCTCGATAATGTCAAACGACAAGCATGGCCACTCGACGTTGACCATGTGGAGCATGTCGTAAGCCGAGTTGTCGACCTCGAGCACTTCGCCTTCCTCCAGCGGCGCGCCAGGCAGATAGACCTGCAAGTCCCAGAAACAAACAGTTGAGTTTTGTGATTGTCCATCCGGCAATTGGCCATATGGGCAGAGTCGGGAGGGGGGGGCAAAGTGGTCGATGCTCGTTGTTACCTCTGGCAGGCGGTTGTCGTCCTCGTCCTCGTCCTCGTCCTGCTGAAGCGCCATTCCGTCTGCAGAGCCAAAACCCCCAAAAACACGCAAGCGCAGACCCAAGAAACAAGAAAGCAACTGTGAGTGTTTGCAGACCGATGAACATGTTGGTTGAGCGGCAGAGTGCACAATGGATGCAAGGGTAGTCGAGGACCATGTGGCTGGACCATGTGGAGATCGCTGCAAAAAAAAAAAAAACAAAAAAAAAAAAAAGAATCCAATGCAACTCCAGCCAAACGGGTGGGGCGGGGGTGGGGAGGCAATCGATGTCCAGCGACTCGAAGCTCGAGAACGAACATGCTGATGAAACAGAAGGGGATGAACAGAGCGAGAGAGCGAGAGAGAGAGAGAGAGAGGGTTTACCTTCGTCATCGTCGCCGTCGTCCGTCTCCATCATGTTGCCGCCGTGGTGCTGCTCCTGCTCCTCAATGACATTCTCCTCTTCTTCGTCCTCCCACATGTCCTCAAACTCGCCCATCTCGGCGGTCGGGTCGTGCGCGGCGGGGTCAGCCATCGGGTTCAGCGACGAGTAGTGCTGCTCATCGGCCGCGTGCGACCCGTCGTCGCTCTCGTTCGTGCGGCGCTTGGCTCCAGACATGGCGTGCTTAGAAAGATGATTATGTACAAGTTAGGGAAAAAAACGAAAGCGAGCAAAAGCGGGAAAGAAAAAAAAGAAAAAAAAAAGAAAAAAAGGGGCGAATCAATCAAAAAGACCAGAAAATGACTGAACTTCTGAGACGACGCTTAGTTTAGGCATTGTTGCGTACAGTAACTCGATCGAAAATGGAACTCTGCAGTGTAACAAAAATAAACCTATATTGTGTAACAGTTTGATATGTTTTGGGAGGGGGCGGCTCACTCGCGCGCAATGTAGTCCATGACGAGCGACGAAACACCCTCGCGCCTGGAACCTTGGCGCGGCTCGGGAACGGGAGCATCGCCGAGAACAAACGGCTCAGAGTACTGCGATAGACGCAGCAAGCCAACGCCGCCATTGTCACCGGGCCAGCGCGGGCGGGCGAGATCCGTCACGATCGTGTCGAGGCCAAAGAGCGACTGCAGCAGATCGCGGCTCTGCATTTCATCCGAGTAGTTGCCAGAGCTCGGATCGAACTTTGGTGTGTAGCGTGAGCGTTTGGCAACGTGTTTGGCGGCTGGTTGCTTGGGCGACGACGACGACGACTCTGCATTCTGAGCAGGAGAGGCTGCCCTGTCCACCGTCATCGCAGAAGAGCTGCTGCTGCTGCTGCTGCTGCTGCTGCTGCTGCTACGAGCGCCTGGCAAAGTTGGGCAGGTCGGCGCGTCCCACTGGTAGAACGCCAAGCCGCAATCGTCGCAGATGGTCTTGCCATCCGGACCGAGTCGCCAGCATGCGCTGACTTCGCACAGGCACTGCGCGCACTGTGGGAAGACGCGAGCTGGTGGTGGGGCCTCCTTTTTCGCGTCAATCTCCATTGCCGTGCTAGTAGAAATCGGAGAGCTGGGCGCCCCTGTGGAGGGCTCGCTGGTGTTGGCGCTTGGTTGTTGCGAGGTGGGAGCACTCGCACCCTGCTCTACCGTCTCGACGTCAACCTCGACCACCGCCTCGGAAGGTTCCGGTGGGGGTTTGCCCATCCGCAATGCCTCCAGTCGACTCAAATGCTTGGACCAAGCAGGATCGAACGAGTCGAGCGCCCGCAATGGCTCCTCTTGCTTGCGCGCCGCATGCAGGGCAGGTCCAGCAGGCACAATCGGACGTTCGATTTCAGGTCCGGCGGCTGACGCTGCGTCGGCAGTCGCGCCGGTGAAGCGAGGTACAACTACAGGGGGCATGTGCGGCTGGTGCGGGAGTTGCGGCCGTCCTGAGTAGGTCTTGGTCGGATCAATTGGAGCCATTTCGCCAGCATTGTAGGCGTTGGTGAGGACGACTGGATCACCAACTTGAGGAGGCACGCCAGCCATTCCTCGGTATGCCTGGGCGTGAGTGATGAGCAAGGCCTGGTGGTTGTCGTGCACGCGCATGTGGCCATTCAAACCCTGGTAGCCTTCGAATCGTCGGTGACATGCAAAGCACTTGAAAGGCGGCTGCTGGGACTCGGTGCTCGCGGCGTCGGCAGCAGGCGCAGGAGCAGGTGCAGGAACAGGCGTTGCTGTGGCCTCTTGGGTCTGCTCTGATTTGACCGTGACTGAGGTTGTTGATGTTGCTGCTGTAGTTGTTGGCTCGGCTGGCTCGGATTTCACCGCCTCCTCGGGCTTGACAACGGCCTCCGCCTCCGCCTTTGGAGTGGCATCAGCCGACTCTCGTTCCTCCTGCTTGAGCGGTAGGCTCCCGTCCAGTCGCGTTTGCGGCACCACCCGTGTCAGCTGGAGTGTCCGCATGGACGTCGGTGCAACACGAACGTCGCCGTCGGCAGCAATGCCCGCGGCGATATTTCGCATAATTTCCTCGTCAGTGTAGCTCTTGTACTTGGCGTGCTTGATAAAGTAAATTCCGCAAGTGTTGCAGAGAATATCGCCGCCAAAGCCATGCCGCCATTGGCACGTTTTCGAGCGACGGCAGTTGGTGCACTCTCGCCGAGGGGTGGGAGGCTCCGAGCGAGAGGCAGAATGCGCAGCAATGCCGGCGAGCACGGCTGCTGCAGCTGCTTGGGCGTGGGCTTTTTCTCGAGCTTCGGACACGCGGGAGCTCGCTTGCAGTCGTCGGAACTGATTCATGCACTCGCGATACCGAGCGCGGTTGAGCTTCTTCCAGCTATAGTAGTGCTCGACGATTTGGCCAAGTGTTTTCGAATGGCGCTGAATAAGGCGAGGGGGGAAAGGAACAAGCCAGATGAGCGTCGTTGCCAACTCCCGTCGAAAAACGCATAAAAAACAACACAAAAGGCAGGGTTTGGGGGGAAGGGGTCGTACCAACAAATTAAACTTGGAGAATGTCTTGCCATGAAGCGCCAGCTCGGATTCAAACAGCTGCTTCTCGGCCGCACTCCAAGAGACGGGATGTGCCGGTGTGCCGCACATGGTGCAATCGGCATCGCGCCTCTCGGTGATGAGGCTTTGCAACGTCAACAGCATGTCGTACTCGTGGTGTCGGAACAAGTGCAGCATGTGCTCTTCATGAACCGGTCCATCTATATCGTTGCAAGCAAAGAAATCAAGCAAAATGGAAAAAAAGAAAAATGGGGAAAAAAGTCAGAATAAAACCTCCCAAGAAGCATCCCGCAGCAAGCCACGGGCGTGCATCAACGCACTTGGAATGGCAGAGCTTCGACACAAGTGGCGGAGATTGTCAAGCACAGACGGCTCGTTCACGACCATCAAACGAGCTGGATCTTCCTCGTCTGGCATCGAATCGAGCACTTTCCAGAGCATGGTTGATTGCTGAGTTGGCAAACCATTTTTGTGAGCGAAAGTGAGTGGACAAGGCGTGAAAACGAAAACACAAAACAAAAACACACAAAAAAATTATCATTTCGCTCCTTACATCCACGCAGGTTTTGGTGTACTTGGCTTGGCTTTGAGTTTTGATGCGTGCGACCGTTTCGGCACTCATTTGCCAAGTGTCGCCCAACCGAATACGCGCGGGCTCCTTGCCGCCAAGCGCGCTCGCGGCAGCAACGGCGTCCGCGGCAATCATGGAGATTGCTTTTGACATGAGAGGGGTTGAGAACACTGTACTGCTACGCGTGTGGAAGGCCTTGCCTGGGATTGTGTCGGCGTCGTCGTCTGTGGAGCGCTCGTTTTTGGAGGCTTTCGACGTGCCCGATTTATCTGAGGCCGAGGCCTTCTGTGATGCTCCTGCAGCCTGAGCGGCCACTGGCTTTTGTTGAGTCGACGAGCCGTGTGCATGACTTGGTTGCAGAAAGGAGAGGTAGTGCGATTGCTTGCGCTGTGCGTGTGTGGCCTTCTCCTCGGCCGGCGTCGCTTCCTGCTCGATCGCCGCAGCCGTGGTGGCCGCGATCACGCGCTGCAGCTCTTCATCGTTCTCGACAACATGTTGCTCTGCCTCGGCCACGGCGGCTGCGACCGCAACGGCGACAGATTCCTCCGAAAAGGCTGCGCCTTCGCCCTCTTGTCCTCCAGCCTCCTCTGGTGGAGTGATTTCACCATCGTCCTCTGCCTCCTCCTCCTGGTCCTCGTCTGCTTCTTGTTCTTTTTCGTCGTCGTCGCCGTCGTCGCCGCCGTCATCGTCGTACGTGTCGCGATCGTTGTCAAAACCAAAGTCGGACGCTGGCTCCTGCGGTCTGTCTTGCTCGTTCTCCTCGACGGCAGGCTCGCTCTCCTCGAATACCATTGGCGTTGGTTCGGTGTCGCTCCCCATGGCAGCTCGAGAGTTGAACGAGAAGCGGATCAACGATTTCCAAATTGCAGCCAAATCTCAATGGAAAAGGGGGAAAAGCTGTGTGATGCAGAACAACAAAAAGTGAGCCAAAAAGATCAAACAGTGCGCATACTTGTCAATAGTAGCAAAAACAGAGTCGCAATGGCCTCTGCTTCAACGGGATTTGTATGATGCATGCATCAGGATTGGGATTGGGAGTGGGGGGTGGACATGTGCGATTTCCAATGTGAGACGGAATGGGACGCCGCACACCATCCCGCCGCCAACTTGCACATGCGATCGGGGTCCTCGCTTGCCACTCGAATGCCAGCTCGGGGAGACGGATGGATGGACGGCAAGGAGGCCCCCCGTTTGGTGTCCCAGCAGCAGCAGACTAACAGACTGGCTGAGGTTGCAGGCCAGCTCAATGCTCAACGTCGCCCCACTCAACCCACGGCTTCCTCAGCTTCCTCAGCAGCGCACCTTCTTCCCGGGAGGAGTCCTCAAACCCAAAACCCTCAGATGGACACCCTCCTTCCCAATGCAACACCATGCAGTGGCTCACCAGCCCCCATCTCGTCCAACAAGCCACGCACACTCACTCAAGAGAACGAGCAAACCAGAGATCTGCGTTCAACCTTTTTCTTTCGTTTTCGTGCTGTTGTTTGTTTTTTGCTGGCTCTGTCGTCCCGCGACGCGACGCGACTCCACACACGAAAACAAGCAGCGTCGCACAGCTTGTATGAGGTGAAATTCCGCAGACCCTGGCGCGCTTTTGCAGAGAGGCACACAAAGCAAAACACACCAAACCGAAGTCCTCCGCTTTGTCGCGTTGCCTTTTTTTTTTTTTTTTTTTTTTTTTTTTTTTTTTTTTTTTTGACAATCCAACATTGCATTATTCCCGCCGCCCACTTTTGACGCTTCGGCGGCTGCTCGCAGGGCCCCCCTGCGCCTGCGTCCCCTCCCCCTCTACATGCAAGTGGCATGCGTACGAGCCATGCTCCCCAGACCCCAATCGACGATTTAATATTCAACAATGCCAATCACCTTGTCAAGCGCAGAAAATAGAAAATAGCAAAAAAAAAAAAAAAAAAAAAAAAAAAAAAAAACACCTGAAGAAAAAAAAAAAAAAAAAACGAATGGACTCGTCAACCTGAAGCCAGGTGGAACTCGAAAAAAAGCATAATCGTACGCACCAAAGCCTCCAGTCGCCAAACGAAAATATCAGCAAGATGCACGAGAATCGCGCTGAAATTTTCATGAAAAATCCGGCTCGGAATCGGGCCGGCGAACAGCTCAAACCCGCCCTCCATATACTCGAAAAGTGAAACGGACAAAACGGAAAACAATAAAAAATAAAAAATGAAAAAAATGAAAAAAATGAAAATAAATGAAAATAAATAAAATAAATAAAATAAAAAAAGTACGAAAAGTCTGAAAGAAGCGCATTGGCGTGCGAGGCACAAGGAGGTCTGTATGCACCGCGCGCGCACTTCAACTGGTGCATACATGCCACGGGGCGTCCGGACTGAGTGGCCGCGCGGGCGCCAGGGACCTCCAGGTAGGTGAACGCGGCAGCTGATGTGGCGACACTGTTCTGGCTTTGGAAAACATAAGGCCGGCACTGCTCCAGCCCGAGGCCGTCGCAAGCTGCAAGAATAACACAGACGGAGCACATGTACTGACATTCCAGCGACGCGCATGAATCCGTCGAAGCGGGGGCCTCGCAGGAGGGGACGTGGTGTGTTTTAATGGTCCACGATGGTGATTCTCGCTTTCACACTCCTCCGCCTCGCCTGGCGCATCACCCGTCTGCGAAGAGGCGTTGAGGGGGGTTTCCCTTGTTGGATTGAGTGTATATGAAGCACACAGTTTCTTACAACAACAACAAATTGCTGCCTCAGACAAGGTGCTGGAAACGGTCGCAATGCCCGCGTCATTCAAACAGCCAAAAGCGTTATTCCTCCGCGATTCCGCCCTCGCTTCAACCTGCATCCGACGTTCATGCATCTGCCTGCCGCTCACGCCCAAAGCCCGAAACAACCTTACCACCATCGTGCAGCCAAAGGCTCGAATTCACTCTACATTTTTCTTTGTTTTTTTGACTTTTTCCAAGTTTGCTGCAAAATACGATGACAACGACCTTTGCAGCTCGCATCGCTGGCCCAGTGCTGTCGTCGCTGCTCTTTGAGTTTGCCACGACCAAGCCTCAGCTAGTAGGTCGAAGCATGCATTGCTGCCTCCGTTGTATCGTTCATTTTCGCTGGGCTTTTGTTTTTTTTTTTTTGGCTGGAGTTGCATTGACTAACGTTCTGTCCCGGCTTCCTCTCCTGCCACCCCCCCCATTCGCAGCATGGACTGCTCTTCGGCAGCATACGGAAGCGCGCCATCACGACGTTCCGAGACGACTGCGAGGTGAGGCCCGACCAGCAACCAGTCGTTCGTTGTCTGGTTTGGTTGCTGTGTTTCGCTGTTTGTTGATCGTTCGTACAGCGAAACAGCCTGTCGTCGCATGGCTTGGTTGGTTGGGTGGCTGCCTAAGAAATCAAACACTCACTCAAACCTGCACAACTTTTGATTGTCTAAACCTGCACTCTGTCGTGTTTCTGTTGGCTCTTTGACACAGTACGTGCACGACGAAATCATTGTGCACGTCGAATCCTTCCAGGTCGTCGAGTCCGACTACGGCCTGCCCAACTTTTCCGCGTTAACAAAGGCTGAAGTGCCAGCGCACGCTCAGGTCGTCGGTTGGTTTGTTGCGCGGCATCAAGCGACACTACTGCTCCCCACCATACTCGAGAAAACCCTCCACACTGAGCTCCTGGCGCACTTTCGACCGTCTACCTCCTCCTCCTCCTCCTCCTCGGGTGCTCCTGCCGCTCCGTTTGTGATGGGTCTCTTCACTGGCAAGTTGTCAGACACCCAGGCTGTGCATTCGTTCGACTATGTGCTTCTACGCCATGTCACAGCGCCTCCCAGCGAAATTCGTCATAGCTTCAAGACAATCCAACCGCCGTTTGTTGCGTTTGACACGACAACACCAGTATTCGATGCCTTGTCGCATCGGGAGTATCGCATGCCCTCCGTCGAGGTGCGGCAAGCAAAGCGGGCAGACCTTGCCCTTCTTCCAGAATTGCTCAGTGATGATCCGTCCACTCCAACCCCTCCCGCTTCCAGCGTGGAGGTGCTCGTCACGTCGAGCACCCTTGGTGCTTGCGACCAGCATCACTTGCTTCCTCATCCTCCCTCGAAGGAGCAGCACTCAATCTTTGGTCCAGGCAGCTCGCAGACGGCCCAAAACGGCAACATGAACCACATGATGAATGCTATGATTCAGCGGATACAGGTAAGGTGGAATCCAGTTGGTTTCCTGCACGTCTTCACCCGTCCGCTTTGCTGCTGTTCATTTGTTTGACGCTGGCCAAGCTCATTTGACTGCTCTTTCTTATTTTACTCTTGTCGGTCGCGGTTTCTGCACGACGTGTCTCAGGGCCTATGTCAAGAGGTATCATCAACCAATGCTGCTGTCTCAGAGCTCGAGAACCGACTTGCAGAGAAGAAAGCGGCAGCGGCGGCTCGATACCAGTCGCATGCTGCAACAATAACATTTGACCACTCAAGTTCCCTTCCTTACGAAGCGCAGACTCCACTCGGTGTCGCCTATGACTGATGTCCGCTGGTACTGGTACTATTTGTGACTACGCGGTCGTTTGCATCTTGTGTTTGTTTCGTTTCAAATCCAAGTTCTTTTGTGTTTTTTTAATTTTCAAACAATCCCATCTGGGGTGCGAGTTGTTTTCAAGCCGGTCCGGCCACGTTCACGCAATAGATCAGTCTCTTTTTTTTCCCCCACAAAGCCGCAAGTCGAACGCGTGGCAAACAGCTAGTACTCCAACAGGTCAGCAGGGTTTTTCGTTGTTTTTTTCTTGCACGCAGCAAAACAACTCGGCCCCCCCCCCCTTGTTGTTTCGCCCATTCCTCTCCCCGTTTCGGCAGTACATGTCAGATTTCTTTAATTCCCTTTCCTTTCGTTCATGTCCTATTTCTTTCTCTTTCGCAAGGGCAGCTCGGCCGAGACGTCCAATACCGCAATAGAGGGCAGGATTTGTTTACTGGACGGGGGTTTTTTTTTTTTTTCTTCCCTTATTTTTTACGGTTGCTCTGGCGGTGTTTCGTGCGTGCCAGCTTTCGTGCAAACGTCACTCACTGCCTCCTGCTTTCTTCACCACATCCACAACTCTTCGACCAGCCACGTGCTGCAGCATTTTCTTTCCTTGATAGTTACTGGGGGGGGGAGGCGGTCGAATGAAGGCAAAAATCAACTCCTTCCGGTTCAGCTCAGGGATTTTTTTTCTTGTTGTACCGTGGGGTTTGCTTTGTTCCCGCAAGCCCAGGCACAGGTGAAGTGTTGCCAGCAAGCAGTGCTTTGTCAATCGTTTCACCAGTGACGATGAGAAGAATTGTTGCGTTGTCCTCGTCGCCTTGCTGATTGTCGTCGCGATTGTTTGAATAAGAAATTGAGTCAGATATTTCATCTTTAGCTGTCTCTGGACTTTGTGAGATTTTTGAGTTTGTGAGCTTTCTTGATGACATCATTTTTATCGCTTTGTGGTCGTTGGCAGGAGGACGGGGTAGGGGCAAGCGACGAGCCCAATCACAGGCGCGCGCGCACCAAAGTGCAGATCGTCCCCTCTTCTCCCCTTCCCATTCGCCCATCGGTGCTTGTTGGCGCCCTTCTGCTTGAGTGTGGGAGTGCTGTCGAATTTTGCATGAAAATACGATCCACGATCGTTGAAACAGCATATGATCTTTTTGCCGTTTTGGTGTATTTTTTTCGTTTTTGTTTTTTCTTGAGTTAGTTTTTTTTTTTTTTTTTTTTTTAAATGCTGCCAGCGCGCGCACGTCACTCCTTTCACACGCGGCTCGAAGCGCTTTGGCCACGGGCGTGCAGATGGCAGAGGGATGCAGCCATGGTGTTTTGTTTCTTGCACCCTGCTCATCGGGCGGTTGAGCTGCGGTCGACAGCCAAGACGCCAAGAGAGAAGGACGCAACCAAAGCAGCATAAAAAAAAAAAAAAAAAACCAGAGCAACCGGAAAAAAAAAATCAAAATAAACTCCCAAAACTGGCGAAAACTTGCAAACGTCAGCGCTTGCCTTCCACGACTGCTAGACTGCTAGACTGCTCAGCAGCAGGGGTTTTTGCAAGCAAGTCTGAGCACGTTTCGTTGTCGGTGGGAGAGTGTGCGTGCGGTGTGCTCTGGCGCCACCTCTGATTGCTGCGCTTTAGGGCGATTTGCGACAAAGTGTGTGGGATTGGCTTTTTGCTGGATTCTTTGTTGCCGGCATTTCCTGCCTCAGAATTCTCGTTGCTACCCGACCTCAGTCTGCTTTTTTTTCTCTTTTTCTTTTTTTCTTTTCTTTCCATTGTGTTATTTTTCTCTCGCTTAAAGTTGCTTGCGACTGTGAATTCAAAATTCTAAAAATCCCACTCTGAAACAAAAAAACAAAAAACATTAAAACCAAACAGCAAACTCCGAACAAGATGCAAGAAAATCTTAGCCAAGGCGTTGCCTTGGAACTGACCCCGTCATGCACCGCCTTTTTATTCGAAAACATGCCTGGACACTCACAGGAAGATTCCGTGCTTCCGTCGGTGCTTTGGTCGTCGGGACTGCAGACAGAGGAAGGCCAAGACGACTTTCAAACGGCGGAACCACAAGAAGCGTTTCTGCAAAGCCAAGACCTTGATACTGAGGCGTTGGCTCCCGTGCTCTCGCTCAAGACCATGGCATCTCGTGTTGATTTCTCGGGCTCTTTTTCCTTTGCCCAAGAGCTGGCACAGAATTCCCTGGGTTCTTGGCTCGACCAGAGGGAAAGCGAGACGCACACGTCGTATTTCAGACCATGCCCTTCCCCGCGCGGCGGCGACTTTGGTTCGACCGATAACGCTCTCGATCTTGTGCAAACTGCCACTGAGCTTGACATGGCGTTGGCGGAGGTCTTCTCCTCAAGTGACGAGCCGTCATCGAGCTTCCTGGACGACTCCGAATTACACTCTGATTTTCCGAGCGAGGGCTCTGTTTCACGAATTCCGTCGGCCGACATGGCCACCTTGTTCTCGATGCAGGCAAGTGCCTCTTCCGATTCCACACACCTTGCCGAGAACTGGTCGGCGTCATCCGCGCCAGCTGCTGCAGCTCCAACCGGTGCCGCCTCGTTGCCGCCCGTGACCTTTTCGGGCAACGGCTCTGCTCCAAGCAACCCTGCGACCTTGGACACTGTTTCCGCTCAGTTTCACCCATTCGCAGGACCGCACTCTGCTTCAGCATCCAACACCACCACAGAGTCGAGCCCGTACGCCAGCTCCGAGGACGACCTTTGGAGTTCCTTCAACTTCCACCTCCTCCCGAGTGGTGTGTGTGTTCCTCGGTCGCCGCCTGCCGACGACCCATGCATGCGCATGATGGCTTTGGGCGCCACGTCCTACTTGGTCATCTCTAGCCCCAATGATGAGTCCGCCCAAAAGCGCTCTGCTCGTCGAAAGAATGAGGGCACGGACGATCGCAGGAACGCCAACAACCGAAACCACCCGGAGCTCGATCTGCACTTTAAGGTTGTCCAAGTGTCCATTTCGGCAGACACGCTGGAGCAGTGCAAGCTGCTGTGCAACGTGCGTGGCGAAGTGCTTTCAATGTACACGACCCAGCTGGTCATTTCACCGCGGGACAACAACCCAGTGGACAACAGCAACCCAGTGAACGTCGCGCGCACAGTGTTTGGCGGTGTGCACGAGGACGATGTGAAGGACGACAAGCGACTGGCCGAACTCTTGGAAAAGGCTGGACTCTTCGACGCTCTCACAAGGACGCTGGCCGCCACTCCCACGCTTACTCAGTGTCTCTCGCCGACAATGGCCCACGACATTTTCCTCGTGCTTCGTACACGCGTGGTCGACCTGCTGTTTGTGCAAGAAAAGTTCTTCAAAGAAAGCGGCACGCACCCGCGCCCTCCCCAAGGCCTCGAATGCGACTTGTGGCTGCCAGGTTTCGAGGACGACACGTTTCGCAGCCACGACACTCGCGGCTTGAAAGGTCCGCAGCACGCCACGTTCTACCAAAAGCTGCTACTGCACGGACAGCACTCGCTGCGGGCAGTGTACATTGGCTTGTTCTACGGGGACGTTGCGCCGGATGCCCAGGCCGTCCTCATCAACGTTGTCATGTGGTCTGTTGCATACACGAAGCGTATCCGATCGCCAGTCAAGCAGAAGGCTGCTGCGAGGAACAGCAACTCGACGCTTGTCAGGGAGAACATGGAAACTGCTGCAGCGGCTAGCAAGTCTTGCCCGAGTCCGGCGGCGAAGGGCAAGTCCAGGGGGCGGTCCAGTCGAGTCAAGAAGCTGTAAAGGCCTTCGAGTGTCTGTGTGAAGCTGCGCTGCCTATTGTTGCAGCAGCTGTTGCTTGCTCCCCAAGCTTCCAAAGTGTTGATAGGTTGATGCATGCACCCCAGTGGAGGTGCCAGCGGCAAAATGAAATCGGCAAAACGAAATGGGAGGTGTCCTTTTTGTTCCGTGAGTGTTATTACGAGTGTTGGGCGTTTGCTGTGAATGCTATGAATGTTTATCGTTTTTGTATGAGAATACTATTATGCTTCGTTTTTTTGTAGCGAGTCAGGATGCTTGCGAAAGGCGAACGAACGAGTGAAATATTTTTGTTTCTGCGATTTCACCCTTGTTCTTCCCCCCTCCCCAACATGACTGTTCCTGCATCATCCCAACTTTGTTATTGTTGATGATTTTGTTTTTATTCTGATTATTCTTGCGTTCTGAGTGTTCTGAGTGGCAGCTCATTCCTTCTTCCAACTTTGTAAGCAAACGGATCCTTCTCAATGGTCCTGAAGCAGCGCCACTTTGAGCGACACGCTTCGCGATCGGTTTTCGCTTTTGATGCTACAACAAACCCCCTCCCCCAGGGACAGCTTCCACACAGGACGATAAGCCGAGTCAGCATCCGGAACAGCGAAACGAGCGACAGCAACATTCAATTCGAAAGCCAAGACATTCATCATTGGATTTTCCATTGGATTTTTCCATTGATTTTTTTTTTTTTTTTTTTTTTTTTGTTTGGAGCCGCGTGGATTGAAACATGCGGCTCGTTTCTTTTCACCACTTTCCGGCTCAGCTCGTCGCTCAACTCTCCGTCAGTCGACGAATAGCAACAAACCGCATTCAACTTGTTGCTTCTGGTGTGTGTGGAAGGCGGCGGGGCTGAAAGAGACTGAGGCAGCCAGCCAGCGACGAGTGACTGAAGGACGCCACGAGATCTCACTTTTGCTTGCCCTCTTCTTCCCTTTGCTGCTCACTTCTCCCCCCCCCCGCCTGTTGCACTGCAACCATGAGGATAACTGACCCTCGCCCTTTGTGATTGTGATTCTTGGTCTGGCAGAAACCCCCCTGTTCCCAACCCAACCAACCAACATGGCTTCTGTTCTGCTTCGCTCGCTGACTTCGGCGATCGCCCGACCGGCCGCCGTTGCCACCGCAGTGCGCTCGGTCGCTGCCGTCCAGCCCATCCGCATGGCCTCGTCTGTTCGCGTGCAGTGGCTCAACGCGACCGACATGGACGCTCACACTCGCTCTGCCGTCAAGTGCTGCTCGGATGTAACGCAGTCAATGTCGTCTTCACTCGTCACACATCTATTCTTTGTACTGAACTGGGTTTTTTGTTTTTGTGTTACAGCTCCTTGCGTCGAACGACATTGTCGTTCAAGATATCCGCGTCCCTGAGAAGGAGGTTGGCGAGGCCCGCCAGTCGGTTGCCAAGGGCTATGCTTTCTTCCGCCTGAACAACGCCGATGATGTCCGCCGTGCCTCCAGGGCTTTTGAAACCGCCCCTCCGATCTTCTTGCCTGAGGGTCTGTAAGTTTGTCACCTCTGAAGCATGTTGGTGTTGCTGCACAGAGCCACGACGACCAACTAATTCACTTTGCCCCCGCTTCCTCATTTCCCCCCCCCCCGAAATCCCCTCTGGCATTGCCTCGCCATAGTCAACTGATCATGGTCCCGAGCAGGGATACCGAGACAGACCCCACGCTCTTCGTCTCGTTCGGCGCTTCGCCCGACGCTGTCGCGAACGTCCAGAAGATCTTTGGCAACTTCTTTGGCGCCTTCGGCACCATCATGAACATTGAGGTCCAACAAAACAAGTATGGCGCACCCACCGGCTTTGGCTTTGTCAACTTTACCGAGGATGAGGCTGCCGAGAAGGCCGCGACCGAGCTGCGCGGAACTGCCTCGCCTCTCAACACACCTTTCTTCCGCGTCACCAACGTGCCATACCTGACGGAGGAGCAGCGCAAGGAAGCTACCGCTGAGCGTTTCGCCCAGCGCGTTGCTGCCCGAAATGAGCGTCGCGCCTACAACCGCGACGGTGAGCGCCCCGCTGATGGCGAGCGTCGCCCCTACAACGGCGAGCGTCGTCAGTACAATGGCGAGCGTCGCCCGTACAACGGTGAGCGTCGTCAGTACAATGGCGAGCGTCGTCCGTTCCAGCGCCGCGATCGTGGCGAGCAGCAGCAGCAACCACAAGAGCAGAACTAAAACTTTTCGAGCGCTGCCAATGGTTTGTTGTAAAATTCACGCGAATACACAGATGGGTTTTTCTCTTGTTGTTTTTTGTTGTGTTGTAGAACGTTGTGCACAGTTTTGAAAAAAAAATGGATCAGCCATCACTGTGACACGGGTATTTTGTTTGTTTTTGTGCGGTTGATTCAACCGCAAGTTTTAAGTTTTATTTTGAAGTGTTTTTGGAGCGTTTGTTCAGCAAAGCCTCATCATGACAACGCCGAGCAAACAAAGATTTTGACATTTTTTGTGTGTGAGAAATAAGACATTAGAATAGAGAGAGACCAGGAATAAGCGCTTATTCCTTGGAGTCCTCGACCTCCTCGTCGTACTTGGAGCCGTCGTCCTTGCGGGGAAGGAGGACAGCGTGAATGTTGGGGAGGACACCACCCTGGGCGATGGTGACGTTGGCGAGCAGCTTGTTGAGCTCCTCGTCGTTGCGGACGGCGAGCTGGATGTGACGGGGGTTGATGCGGGTCTTCTTGTTGTCACGGGCAGCGTTGCCAGCAAGCTCGAGGATTTCGGCAGTCAGGTACTCGAGGACGGCGGCGAGGTAGACGGGGGCGCCACCACCAATGCGGCGGGCGTAGGCGCCAGAGCGGAGGAAACGCTCAAGACGACCGACGGGGAACTGGAGACCAGCGCGGGACGAGCGGGTCTTGGTGGAGGTGGTGCCAGCGGCCTGTAGAAGGGTTAAGGGGGAGCATGATGTTTCGATCCAGAGTCAGAGGCGGCAGAGTGAGGGAGATGAGGAGAGGAGAGAGCAGAGAGAGCAAGGCGTGATGAAGTAGTAGATCGTTTGCTCGTTTGTTGAAGCGACCATGGGTTGATGTAACGCTCTTCTCAAATCAAAATGCAATAAAAAAATAATAACACATTGGTTGCTTTTTGGCGCGAAAATCCATCCAACCCATAAAAGGAGATTGAGTGGATTGAGTTTTGAAGATTTGCGCGCCAAAACGCAACAACGCTCGTTTTTCAATGCTTTTGTTGTTTTTCCCGCCTTTTTTGAGGTGTTTTTTTGCTTTTTTTTTTTCAATGACCAAACTCTCATCGCTTTTTTCACGCCCTCCTTCCTTTGCTTCAAACCAGCGCCCGCTCTCCACGGATTCTGTGACACTGCGCTGTTTGCATTCAGCTGCTGAACGCGCGAGTCGCGAGCGAAAGCCCCGCAGAGCAAAAAGAGAACGAAGAGAACAGGCTGGCTTTTGAGTTTTTTCTTTTGTTTTTTTCCTTCTTTTTGCTTCTTTTTTGCTTCTTTGTCGCTCAAGCAGCGGTGCACTCGGCAACCAACCAAACCACCTCAGAGCTAAGCGAACAGCAGAAGCGTCGCAAGTGTGTTGCTATCAAGCGCAGCAGGAAACGAACAGCACAAAAAAAAAAAAAAAAACAGAACAAAATCGAACAAAAGCAAAAAAAAAAAAAAAAAGGCGCCAACTTCGCGCTCTTCTTCAATGGAGAATGGACGGGGTGCTGCGCTTACCTTTCCGCGCTTGGCAGCGTTCTCGCGGCGGATGAAATCCTTGCCAGCCTCAGCGGTGGCGGCCATGGTGCCCTTGCGAGCGATCTTGGGAGTCGACGACATGTTTGGGGAGTGAGGGTTTGGGTTTCTTAGCGAAAATGAAGAGTGCGCGAGTTTCTGATTTCTGAATTGGGAATATTACAAAATGATGCAAAATCAAACAAAGAGCACAATCGAAGATGCACACTAAAGAGCCAGACGATGGCTGAATTGAACAGGAAGGCAAACAGTGAAATCCACAAAGAACAAGAAACGACCAAAAGCCAAAGCAAGAATCCTGAATGGAAGGGACCATCAACTCCATCGTTGAGCTCCATCGTTGACCTTGCATCTTTCCAAACCATGGACCTTTTGTCCCTTTCACTCTGTTTCCAATGCTCTTGTCACGATTCGGTGCCGCGCTTGATCGCTCGCTGCTCAGACCGACCCTCGCCGCAGTCCGCGTGCCGATCGCGAGCATGCACCTTCCAGCCGGGGTAATAACGCTACAAACCAAGACCACCCTGACTACTTTGCTTGCTCCCGATTGGGGGACATGGCTTGCCTGCGTTGAGGGCGGGAAACTGAGCCAAGACTGAATCGCGTCTCACCCTCACCATTGCTCATTGCTCATTGCTCGTGCTCTTGCTCCTTGTAGCGATCCAAAGACCCCGCGGACATGGCGCGCGGCCTGCCCAAGAAGTGGCCGATTCCAGGCGTGCAGCGCGTGGTGCTCGTGGCGTCGGCCAAGGGCGGCGTCGGCAAGTCCACCGTCGCAGTCAATCTCGCGCTGGGCCTCTCTGCGCATGGTCGCCGCGTTGGTCTCCTCGACGCTGACGTGTTTGGACCGTCCCTCCCAAGAATGATGAACCTGCGCGAGCAACGCCCAGTCACCAACAAGCGTAACAAAGAACGATTTATACGAAAGGGATTTTGGCAACGGATTTCTGAGATTCTGTCATTCTCACCTGCTGGTTGTTTGTTCTTGTTCTTGCTCTGGCTAGAAAACCGCATGGAACCGCTCACAAACTTTGGCATCAAGTGCATGTCGATGGGATTCCTCGTCGAGGAATCGGCTGCGCTCGTTTGGCGCGGCCTGATGGTCATGCAGGCCGTCCAGCAAATGATCCGGAACGTTGTGTGGGGCGAGCTCGATGTGCTCGTCGTCGACATGCCCCCAGGCACCGGAGACACGCAGCTCAGTATTAGTCAGCTCATTCCCGTCTCTGGCGCCGTGATTGTCTCGACCCCGCAAGATATCGCTCTCATGGATGCACGACGCGGCGTCGAAATGTTCCGAAAAGTCGAAATCCCGGTAAGACTCTGAGTTTGGTTGTTTTTTTGGATTGCAATTTAGCTATGCAGTGTGCGAGCTGTGCTGTGTGCATCGGTGGTACATGTGCTCCGCTCTGGCGCTAACCCCGATCGCTCACTTTTTGCCGCCCCAAACCAAAAATACAGGTGTTTGGCGTGGTACAAAACATGAGCACTTTCGTTTGCCCGAATTGCTCGCATGAAACGCACATTTTCGGCCACGGCGGTGCTGCTGAGATGGCAAAGGAGTTGGGCGTCGACGTGCTTGCAGACCTTCCGCTCAGCTTGGCACTACGGCAAGCATGCGACAACGGGCAACCTATCGTCGTTGCCCAGCCTGACAGCGCGCAAGCTGTTGCCTTCAAGGCGCTTGCAGCCAACGTTATTGCAAAACTGGAAGCGACGCCAGCCCCGCCAACTGCTTGACGCGGTTTTTTCCATATTGCTTCTTGTTGTTGTACTGTATTGTTTTCAAATTGCACTGTCTTGTATCAGTTCGTACAAGCTTGGTAATGGTTATCATGGATGAATAGTATCAGTCCTTTTTTCTTTTTTTTTTTTTTACATCCCTGACTTCATTTCTGAGCAACTTTTCAATCCCGATTTCTTTCGAATGCAGCGCCCTGCTCGCTGTAGCAAGAGCAGCAGCAGCACTCTACTTGTGCCATTAGTGGTTTGCGTACTCTCCCTGCCATTATCGCTCCTCGTCACCCCAGCGTCATGCGAGCCGTTCGTCAATGGCTGCTGGAACGCGAGCTGTCCCGGTGTGAACTACGACCCAAACACGCCGCTCGTCCTCTGCTCCAACCTGTACGCTGCTCACTGCATCACCATGAGGTTTGACGAGAGAGAGAGAAAGAGAGAGCCAGAGACTGAACCAGCCGGTGATGATACCTTTGAGCATTGCTTTCAATTTGGTTCCTCTCGCCCTCTTCCCCCTCTAATCTCCAAGTCTTGCTTCTAATACTAATGCTCTGATGTCTGCCTTTGTTTTGTCTCGTGAATGCTTTTTTCAGACCTGTGGCGTTTCTCAGATGCGACCCTCCGCTGGACTTGTCTGAGCACCCTGAGCGCGTCGCTGAGCTTGGCTATGGCTGCGCTGCATTTGGCACTGTCGGCGACTATGACTCGGCGCCGCGCACGTCCGTCCTATGCCGCGTGTTTGATGGAATCGAGTGCTATGGGCCGCGCAATTTTACAACAGGAAATGTCCCATGTATCACGTATGGCCAGCAACAAGACTTCAAAAACACTGAGACGCTCAGAAATGACTTTTGGGGGGGGCTTATTTCGTTCAACTCACTGCGCCCTGATGTCTCCCTTCGTTTTGCAGATATGGATCATACAGCTTCCCAACCATCTTCATCTACTCTCTGCTATTCGGCGTCTTTGGAGTGGATCGCCTAAGTCTCGGACACGTCGGAACTGGCATTGCCAAGCTTTTGACGTTAGGCGGCTTTGGCGTTTGGTGGATTGTCGATCTCGTCCTGCTCGCAACAGGGCACCTCACGCCTGCCGATGGCTCTTGCTGGGAGCGCTGGCGATGATTTCGTGTGATTGTTGTTGTTATTGTTAAGTCACAAATTGTACATTAAACGGAAGTTTGGAATCCCAAACATGCAGCAGCAGCAGCAACAACAACAACAGCACCAATCAAAATTTGCAAAAACTGCACTCGGGTCGCCTTCAAAAGCGGACTGCCGAGCCAGCAGCAGATTCCTTCACCGCATTTTGTTGGACAGAAGGCGTTTCAGAAGTACGAGACGCGGATGCTTGTTGCAACGGTGGCGTCTGTGGTAGCGCCAGAGCAGCCATGTGTTGCAACATCAATGGGTGCGATGGAACCGGATATAACGCTGGTCTTGTCTGTGGGTTGTGCGGCGGTTGGGCTCGCATCATCTGCATGTACAGTTGGTTATGGTGTGCGAGTGGTAGGTTTAGCTGGCGAGGTGGTTGCCACGAGGTGGAACGTGAGATGGTCTGCAAGTGCTCTTCGAGTTGGAGTTCGGCGGCCGTTCGCTGTCGAGCAGCAGGGAAGTGTGCTGCTCTGGTTGCCTCTGATCGGCCCGGCTCATGGGCCGTTGAGTACTGAGCGAGTGCACGCGCTGCGGCAGCAGTTCGTTGTTGCATGGTCGCGATTGTCGAGCGAGGATGTTGCGGTGATGCACGCTGATCTGGCAACTCCCGCCGTTGCGATGAAGCAGATTTGGGCGGTCGCCCTCGCTTCGGAAACTTCGGAAGTGATGGGCTCGCTCTAGACGGTGCTGGCGCTGGTTGCATCACGTGAGGATTGCGGACCTGCGGAGGCATGGTTGAAGAAGCAACTGTTTCCGCTTGATTTCTAGCGTTGGGGATTCTTGTATGAGACTGAACAGACCTCTGGAGTCGAAAGTTCTGGGGCTCGGTTTGCGTGCCGCTGGCAGCTTCACTCGCGCGTGACAGCATTGCTCGATGGAGTGAGAACAGGTCCCACAAATTGAGGTGAAAGATCAGCCGCTCCGAAGGATGTTCAAAAGAATTGGTGTGTCGAACGAGAACAGGAGCGCTTGGACCTGGCTGCTTTGGCTCTCGGGTCAGCAATAACAAGCTTATCAACTGATTTGCCAGGTTGCCTTGCGACGAGCGGAACTGGGCAACTTGGACTGTTGCCATGACGCTAGGTTCTGGGATGCCAAATTGAACACATTGATATGTGTTTGTCTCGGCATCCGCAATAAAAATGGTGATCAACAAGGAGGATGTTCCTCGGTACCACGCCAGTGATTCACGTGGCGCGTACGACCGAGCAAACATGCGCGTCAAATCTTGGGTCGAAATGGGGACTGAGACGGCATAGTCGTCCGATCTAGCGACTGGCACACATGTGCACACTCGCGAGCCAAGTAGAGTGCATAGAGAATAGTACTGAGCGAACAGGTCGTTGTTGTTCCGAGCAAATTCGAGAACGGAGAGATTTCTTGCGTCCTGTTCGGTCGGGGAGAGTATCTCCCACTGCATTTCGTAGGTTTTCGTCTCGGTGCGCATTGTAATCAAAACTGTCTGCCGAGACCTCAGCGATGACGATGCACGCTCGAGCGAGCTTTCGCTCGGAGTTGCTGGAATCGGATCCGCGTCATCAGTCAGATCGACGGGGCTGTGCGCCACCATGGGCCGCGTCCTTTCAGATCCGACGATTGGAATGGGACTTGGACTATGCATGGCGGGGCTGAATGGTTGCGCTGAAGACGACTGATGTGAAGCTGGCAATGACGCCGGCGCCCGTGTTGCATCCAGCGAGCCAGTGTAGTTCGTTCTAGTATGTGTTGCTGCTGACGCAATGACGCTGGTCTCTAAAGTTGTGCGATCCTTTGGCGGAGATACGTGCGGTAGACGAGCTCGAGCTGGTTGGTCGCTGCTGATTCCGGCTCCAGCTCCGGATTGGATTGTCGCGCGTTGTGGTGTCTCGGGTGAAACGTTTGCATAGGTCCCTGGGCCAGTGAGATGCTTTGGTGCTGGCGATACGTCCATCGGTCGAGCCGCTTCCGTATCGAGGTCAGTAGCCATTGAACGAGTTGATGCCGGGTTTGTTGGAGGGGAATTGGCGTTCGTGCGCTTCATGAAGGTTTCCACAGAGGGTAATTCTTCGTCATCCTCGTCCTCATCCTCCTGCACGTCATCGTTGTCTTCCTTTTCCAGCACGTCGCCGTCGCCGTCGTGTCGGACAACAGACTGGACACGCGGTCTTTTGACGACTGGATAAACCTGTGCAGGTCTGGCGTCAGTCGTCCGCATCATCTGCTCGTCATTGTTGCTGCTGTGCGCACTGTGTAGGTGTATTTCGTTGCGCTCAAATAGCGGAGAAAGCTCGGCTTGTTCTAACGTCGGAGAGAGCGGAAATGGCTCGAACAGCGGACCGTGCTCAGACTGCTCAGACTGCTCAGACGCGTCGTCGCCGTCTTCCTCGCACGAGCCATCCTCGTCGTCCGACCGACCTCTCCTTTGCCTTGGATCCAGCCTTGGCATTGCTGTGGGCGACGGCGGGAATTCCTGCGTCGCGTATTCCTCCTCAAAGACAAAGTTGTCAATGATGTGGGTGGCTACGACTGGCAAGCGCGCGTGCTGGTCGTCACTGGGTGAATCAGCGGATGCATCAGCATCACACTCGTCATCATCAGGAGAAGTAAAAGTCATCGAAGTAGTCATCGTCGTAGTCATCGTAGTAGTCATCGTAGTAGTCATCGTATGAGTCGTCGGAGCTTGATCTTGTTGGTTCAGACTGAGCGTCGCACACTGATCTGCGGCGGCGAATGGCTCGGGCTGGCGCTTGGGGTGGCCATCTGTTGGGGTTGCGCGCCTTGGTGAGCCACCAGAGTCCAGTAACAGTGCGCGAGCGGCAGGCGAAGAGGACGCTGAGGACGCTGAGGGCGATGCTGTGGTTGGCTGGTCTGGTGACCGTGGCGGCCGTTCTTGCATCTGCCGCTGGGAAGGGGCTTTTCCCTTGCGACTGTGATGGTGTGTGAACTGGGGCTGAAGGGTTCGGGTTGTGGAATGGGGTTGCGCGGGGGTCAAAAGCACGGATAAAGAGAATAGGGAAAAAAGCGCGGGAAAGCTGTCAAATCTCAGAAATCCACACCCCCGCCGCAGCTCAGCAACCCAGCAAACGAGGGGAGAGTCACACACAAAGTAAAGCACACCAACAAACCAATCAAACAGAAAAAGAAGAAGAAAACGAAAGAAAGCAAGAGTTAAAAACCAAGACTGACTGGCTGAGAAAGCCCTATTCTGTTCGCCTCTGTTCTCAGCCATTCTCAGTTGCACTTTGACCCTCAACCCCTATTGATTATCACTCACCACTTTTGAATTTTTGACCGATTTTGTTGCTTGCTATTTTTTTTTTTTTTTTTTTTTTTTTTTTTTTTTTTTTTTGCTTTTTCACTCTTTCTTTTGAGCTTTTCTGAGCGTTTTTTTCTTTTTGTCAGTTTTCTGAGATGATCGTCTCCATGACTCACAACTCGCTTTCGACGCTCACTCGCTGCTGTTTTTGATTCCACAATGAATGCAACACTATTATGAACACTGTGGTGGTGGGGCGTATTTGTCTCATTCAATAGGAAGGACAAAGCATAAGCATGGCGGCGACTGTTGCGAACAAGGCCTGCTTGATTGTCATTGACGGCTGGGGCATCTCGCCCGAGGAGAACGGTGAGTTCCGTCATGAGTTTCGTACATACATTCAATCTAAATCCTAGTACCTGGATTCAAGCGCGAGGCTGAGGCTGCAGCGGAGAGAACGACGAGCAGAGGTGGTCTCTTACGAACAAGCGTGATCAACCCTCATTGGAACACGAGCGAGCGCTGGATATCCAGTCTATCAGCTCAAATGTCATCTGAAGTGCTCTTGGCTTATTTTGACGGATGAACGGTTGGCGGCCGACCGGGCGCGTCCTACTCAAAGACGGGGAACATCTTGTATTGAGATTGAGTGGATTTGCATTGGGATTATGCAGTTGTGCATTTTGGGAGCTCGCAATCTCGTGGCTCTGAAGCAAGTCTCTCAGTCTCAACGAACAAGAAGATCTTATTGAGCGGGGAGAAAAGCGATTGTGTGGAAATGCATTGGAGATCTATACAATTTTCGCTATTGGATTTTTGCCAAACCGTGACTCTCACTCTCATGCACTCAGATTCGAGTCGAGGTCGAGATCGAAATTCTTTCATCTCAACCCAAACAATTTGAAAAAACCGGCGGTAACTCACCCTCGATTCTCAACTCTCAATTCTCTATTCTCAACTCCCCATTCAGGAAATGCCATCGTTCACGCCAAGACACCCGTCATGACGCGACTCGCAACCGAGTACCCGCACGTCCCGCTGGAGGCAGCTGGTCTGGCTGTCGGACTGCCCGCGGGTCTGATGGGCAACTCGGAGGTTGGCCACATGAATGTTGGCGCAGGTCGCGTCGTGTACCAAGACATTGTCCGCATCGAGCTGGACATTGAGCGTGGTCGCTTTGCCGAAAACCCGCGTCTGGTCGCTGCCTTCAACCGTGCCAAGCAAGGCAACGGCCGTCTCCACCTGCTCGGTCTTGTCAGTGACGGCGGTGTCCACTCCCACATCAACCACCTCTACGCCTTCCTCGCCGCTGCCAAGGCTGCCAACGTCGCTCAAACCTTTGTTCAGTTCTTTGCGGATGGTCGCGACACCAGCCCGATGAGCGGAGGTGAGGCGTAGCTCGGGCATTGGATGTTTGTTTGTTTGGAGGAGCTCGAACTTGGTGGGCTGAATGCTCTGCTTTGACACAGTCTCATTCATCGAGAGCCTGCTCGCCAAGCTGCGCGAGCTCAACTACGGCAAGCTGGCCACCATCATGGGCCGCTACTATGCGATGGATCGCGACAAGCGCTGGGAGCGCATCAAGATTGCCTTCGACGGTCTGGTTTCGGGTGAAGGCGAGCACGTTTCGGAGGACAAGCTGATTGAGGTTTGTTGGCGTTTTCGGCACCGCACGCCGAGCCGCATGTAGTGAAAGCCGGGGCGCAACACAATTCTAACTTGCTCCTTTTCGTTTTGGGGGGGGGATTTCGTAGCGCGTCAAGGAGCTTTATGCCAACAACGAGACCGATGAGTTCCTCAAGCCGCTGATTGTCAACGAAGCTGGTCTCATCCAAGGTCAGGATTGTCGCGCTAGTGCTCGAGTTTTTTTGCTCTGAAAACGACAAATTGTTTGCTAAATTGAACCAACTCCTTCGCAGACGGCGACACACTTGTTTTTATCAACTTCCGCTCGGATCGCATGCGCGAGATTGCCGAGAGCTTTGGCGTCAAGGCTCCTTTTGAGCCAAAGCGCACCCCTGCTGACCTTGTAAGTTGATCTTTGGCTGGATCATTGTCTTGACTTTTTGTCTCTCAATATCTCAATATCGGCCCACCTGCAGCACATCACGACCATGACCCAGTACAAGGCCGAGTACCCCTTCCCGCAGCTCTTCCCGCCGCAGTCGCTGGGCGATGTCCTGTCCGAGTGGCTCGCAAAGAAGAGCATTTTGCAGTACCACGTTGCCGAGACAGAAAAGTACGCGCACGTCACCTTCTTCTTCAACGGCGGTCGCGAGCAGAGCTTTGAGGGTGAGGACCGCAAGGTTGTTCCTTCGCCCAAGGTGGCCACGTACGACCTGCAGCCCGAGATGAATGCCGATGGCGTTGCCACCGAAGTGGTTGCTGGCATCGAGTCCGGCAAGTATCCCTTCGTTCTTTGCAACTTTGCCCCTCCGGACATGGTTGGCCACACTGGCAAGTTTGAGCAAGCTGTCAAGGGCGTCGAGGCGACAGGTATGGTGGTCTGATGAGTTGTTTTCTTGGATGATTGTTGCGCTCCGACCCGAGTTTTGATTTTTTTTTTTTTTTTTGTTTTTTGTTTTGGTTTTGGTTTTGGTTTTTGTTTTTTGTAGATGCCGCTATCGGCCGCATCTTTGAGGCCTGCGAAAAGCACGGCTACATTTTGTTCATCACTGCGGATCACGGCAACGCTGAAAAGATGCTTGATGGCAAGGGCGGTGCGCACACTGCTCACACGACCAACCCAGGTACGTGTGGACGCTGCTTTGTGCACGCGTCTTTTGCAATGATTGCTGACTTGATTCTTTGTTTTGTGTTGCTGGTAGTCCCGTTCATCATCACGGACAAGTCGCGCAAACTGCTCCCCAACCCGCCCGTTGGTCGCGACGGCCCTGCCAACTTTGCGCTGTGCGACGTTGCTCCCACCGTGCTGAACGTGATGGGCTTGGACACTCCCGCCGAGATGACCGGCCACAGTGTTTTTGCATAAAGGTCTGACACGATGATGTGAGAGTTGCAAAGCGGTTTTTGTGTTATTATTGCAACAATACAATCATCCCATCCATTCTGAGCAATCGCCAGTCTTGAACAAGTCAATCACTTTCACTTTCACTTTCTCTCATTCTCAGATTTCGAAATGAGCGCGCGCAACATTTTGACAGTCGGCAGCCGGAATTACCGCGCGCCACCAACGCGAGCGCGGCCCAATCCAACGCCAAGCACCTCAGGTACCTCAAGCACAGCTGCATCTGCTGCACCAATACTGGCACTGGACGCGTCGCACGCTGACGGGATGAGCGCGTCATCAGCATTGCGTAACCCAGCGAGTACTCCGACAGCGACGCGGGCAGCGACCACGCCGACCTCGGCCATGCGGAACACGGATCGCAATGGCACTGCTTCTGTTGATGGTCCTGATGACGATGACCGGGTGTACCGCGACGAGCCGCCGTGCCCCGCGCCCAGATTCGCACCGCGCTCAGCGTCTGAGCAGGACCATGATCAAGACCAGGATCAAGACAACCTCGTCCACTCTGTCATGATCCCAGACAGCGATCTGCCAATCCGCGAGGTGTCCAAGCTTGCACGCGCTGGTCCGGGCGGTCGGCTGTCCGTGTTTGAGCGATGGCAGCGCTTGTCAGAGTTACGTGGAAGCCACTTTGCCATCACGACGCAGTCCAAGGCGACAGTCATCACTGCGCCGTCCGAAAGCATGCTTGAGCTTGCGCACGACCGCCTTGTGCAGGAAGTCCGATCGGTCGCAGCGTACTCGCATTTCGTGTCGATTCCGCTGCACGACGTGTCCATCGTGACTGCCATTCGTGGCATGGCAGAACGCATTCTCAGAGACCCGGAGTACAGTCGGGATAATATCGAGGCCAGCACGATCGTGCCGCCAACGCAGATGCATCTCTCCGTCGGAATGCTCACGCTCTTGAACGACGCTGAGGAGCGGCGCGCTGCACAAATACTCGAGCGCGCTTGCCAGGCCGCTTTGGCAGATGCGCAGCTTGCACCGGCATTCTCGGCCAGCTCTGAGCGGATTCCAGTGATTACTCTGCGTGGCATGCGAGGAATGAGTACGTTTTTGTTCTCGCTGTTTGAACTGAAACTTTTGGGGGGTTTGATTTGTTTCTTATTGCGATCTTCTTCTTCCTCTTCTTCTTCTCCCGTTTCGTTTCGGGGTACAACAGCAAACGACCCTCGTGCAATGAACGTCTTGTACGCGGTGCCAGAGTTTCAACTCGGCGCGCAAGATGGCTCCAGTCCGCTTGGCTTGGGCGCCTCGCTGCTGCAGCTCCTTGCGAGCAGGATTGTCGCCGAGTTTGTTGCCAGCGGATTGATGGAAGCCAAGTTTGCCAGCGACCTCAAGCTGCATGCAACCCTGATCAACACAAAGTACAGGGGCCGCAACGTCAATCCTGTCTTTGCTGACTTGGTCGCAGCCACAACCGTCGCGCAGCCAGAGCCTGTTCGAAACAACGGGAAGCAGCGACAGCATTCCAAAGGCTATGCTGAGCGGATTCCGATAGACGCATCCCGCGTCATGGAGAACTTTGCCGACTCATCCTTTGGTTCTGCGGTGATGCGTTCCATTCATCTCTCGAAAATGCAACATGATCCTGCCACCCAGTATTACGCCAAGGCGGCAGAGGTGGTGGTTGTTCCCCGACCATGAGGAGTTGTGGCTTCTTCGGGGGGGGGGGAGACACACTTGTTAAAGCACATTGTTGTTAAGATATTATTATTGTTTTTTGAACAATTGGTACTACACTGATTTTGAAAACTTGCGCTCGAGCGATAATCGCATAAAGGCTAGTACGTTGGCTGCCGCCTTCTGTGCCATTTCAATTGTGTAAAAGTACTGCAAAGTGCAAAGCAGAGAGAATGTGTGAGCGAAACAATCCACAAAAATGGTTTGACAGCCCGCAGATACGCCCATACCTCGTCCACAGTGAGTTGGCCCTCTGTCGATGAAAATACAATTTCTTGGTTGGTGCTTTCGAACGCAAACGTCGCGATGCTCGTGGCAGCCTGTGCAAAAAGAAAGCAACAAGTCAGCTTCTTGCCCTCTGCACCAACAGGCAGGCCCTCTCCCACGTTAACCAAGCCTGCCTTACCGTTTGCTCTTCCAGTGTCGGATCGAGGAGCAGCCGCCGCTCTGAACTGCCATCCGCAGCGGGCAGCCAAGCACACGTTACCGCGGCGAGCACTGCGCTCATCGGCACGCCAGCATCGATCAGCGCCATCGACGCCGAGTTCAGCGCACACGCCAGCAGCTGGTTTTTTGTTGCAAACCCCAATCCAAGCATATGCGCAAAAATTTGCTTGTGACGTTAGTCCGTTGCATACATGGCACATTGATGACATTGATGGTCCCAATGGATCAATCCACACATCAAAGCTGCAAATGGAAATCCGAAAACTCACTGCGCCGTCGTCGTGCATGACTTGGACAATGACAGTGATGCTTGTGCGCGGGTTTGCTGTGCGCTGGATGACTGGCTCGAGCGCCTGTCGCAGGATTGCCTCACAGACGTGGTCGTCGACGCCAGCGAGGCCAGTCTTCGGCCGGAACACGGTCTGCACAGTCGCCTTGTCGAGGAGCTCCTTGCTCGACTTGACCTCGGCGGGGCCATACACGGCAGTCAGCGCGCTCGTGTCGCCTGTCAAAACAGGGGAGCACACGTGTTGCGGATTTAGTCAGCGACGAGTATGGGGAAAGTTTGGGTAAGGATGGTCGAGTGATAGCATTGTTCACTAGGGTCGCCTAGAAACTGGTACACCCACTCCTCCTCCTTCCTCCCACCTCCACCCTTGCTGATCCAGTCGCATTACGTTGTGAGAAGCGCGATGAGCCATCTGCACGCGAAAGCACAGCATGCTCAATCGAGAGCTCGCGCAGCTGGTTTGGCATGCGACCGTCCGCTCGAGTGACCATTTGGATCTGAGATGATGGAAAACTAAGAATGACTGAGCTTGCGCGAGAATTTGGGTAAATACAAGAATACAGAGCCAAGTATCAGCGAGATCTGGAAGTTCGTTTGGTGCGTTCAGACCAGAAAACAACAACAACAACAGACAAAGTCAAAGAACAAACGCTGCAATTTACAGCTTGGTTGGAGCGGCTTCAGCAGAAGAAGATGAAGAAGATGAAGAAGAAGCAGAAGAAGCAGGCGTTGCAGGTGCAGCCGCAGTCGCCGCGTCAGGAGGAGTGATGGAAGGGGGCGGCACGGCCAACTTGGCGTCCGACGAATCGGTGGTCGGGGTTGGCACAACAACTGGAATCTTCTCCGGCTCCGGGGCTTCTTCAGCAGGCGCAGAAAGCAGGTTGGGAGCCTCTGCGGTCACAGTAGCCGGTTTTGCCGCATCGAGTGACTCGGAACGAGCTGGAACCGATTTGGGCGTCGCGATCGTGGCGAGGCTGGCATCAATCATCCGGAACTGCCACGACCAGCTACAAAAACAGAACATATAGTAATAAAGAGCAAGAATAGTCAGCGCAAACAAGTTTTGAAAAAAAAGAGCTGCACAATATCTCGTGGAGCAAAGCACTCACGAAGCATTGTACAAAAAGGGCCGAAGATCAAATCGATTGTCATCAGGGCTGTAGGCCTCCGCGTGGTAGGACGGAGTCAGCGTCGTCATTTTGTGCCTGTTGATTGCATAGGACCGGAAGAAGTGCTTGACTTTGATGGCAATCTTCAAAAACAAGAAACAGAAGGTGAGCAGAGTCAGCGCCCAACCCCACACACACACACACACACACACACACACACACACACACACACACACACACACATACACACACACACACACACACACACACACACACACACACACACACACACACACACACACACACACACACACACACACACACACACACAGTCAAACCCAAAATAAAAAACGCGCCGCCCATACCTCGGCAGGAGAGAACTTGTCCTTCCAGACAATCACAAGCTTTGTAAACATGCTGTAGGGTCCGTATCGCGACACCTTGCGCAAACGCCCGTACACGGAGAGTTCGTCATAAGTCATGCCCATATCGGCCTGCGCACGAAAAGAACAAGTTAGAGCAAGCATCAAGACACACGCGGGGGCTGATTGATCGAGTACACTCTACCTCGTCCGTTTGGGTGTATGACGCCGTGATGGGTTCAAGTTCGGCGGTCGGAGGCGCGTCAAAGATGCTTTCAATCCAATCACACTCAAAAACCAAATCAGTTCAAGTCATCATCATCATTCTTGTTGTTCGTCAAACTTGCATGTTCAGCTCACCCGTTCAGCGATGTCCAACCGTGCGTCTGGATGACAAAACGGATAAACCCTCGCAAATCCGTCTTGCTGATTCCTCCGATCGGGTTGATGTCGGCCGCGGAGCAGTCGTACTTGGTAAAGTAGCCTCGAATGCTGAGCGAAAGGGTTAGTTGCCTCTCCCTCTTCACAGATAACAATGCATTGCCTCAAGCCTACCTTTCATCCACATTCGCGGAACCGAGGACGAGAAGGCTTCCCTCGCGACCACGCACCCACAGAAGAAGTTGGGCAAAAAGATACGCAAGCACCATTCGAAGGCGCGCCTGGCAAATAGTGAGACAAAGTGACAATGAGCGATAGGTCTTTGTGACTCAATGTTCAGCACCGACCCGAGACAGACCTGAATGTTTTGCAGTGCAAGATTCTCCGTGGAAGAGCCGCCGTAGGTGCGGAACTTGGGGATCATCTTTGTGGCAATGGTGAATACGGCCAGCACGGCTGCTACAGCTGCATCAAAATTGATGCTCAGGTGATAGCTATGCAGATCATTGGAGGCTGAGAATTCGTCTCAACGAGTTGATACGTCCACTTTTTTGACAAAATCAGTATAAACGCACCTGCCGAGCTGTTGTGCAAGAGCGGACGCGCGGTCGCGAGTTTCATTGCTCGAATTGGCGGTTCCCATGTAGCAAGTGTGCAGGAGACGACTGAATGACAATTTTGTTTCAAAAAATCCATGAGTGCTTCTGTCGACTCCCATTAAAACCTTGTCACCTCGACCTCATATCAAAAAGAATGGCGAGCTCATACTTTGTCAGCTCCGCAGGATCGGTAGGGGTGTACTGAGGGTCGCGGCAGATTCGGCGAACGTCTTGCAAAACTTGAGCATCTGTCGGTGTGGTCAAGGAGCGTTACCAAATCAAAATCTCACGGGTTGCCTCATCAAGTATTCCTCAAGTCTCAAGCAAAAAGAAAAACATCACATACTGTTGGCTGCAACATTGTCGACAACGAGCTTGCACATGCAGGCGACAATGCACGCAGTCGAACTGCTGTCAATCCCACCGCTCAATGGAAGGAAGAAACCGCCCATGCCGCTTCGGCGCAGGTAGTCCCAGAGCCAGCAAGCGGGACCAAGACTGCGGCGTAATCGTTGTTCAAAACGAGGCGGGAGGTCAATGAGACAAGGACACACATTGTGAAATGGCACACTCCAACTCCGTTACCTGATTTCTTCGCTCGGAGTGTGAATGCGCAGCGACTCCAGCGGCTCGGAAGGGAGATTCTCCGGGAACAGACTCGGAGATTGCGCCGTAAGCCGAGAGTCCAAAAAGAAGCGGTGGTAGCTGGGCGTGTTGGTTGCCTGGGCGCCCCAGCTCATCTTGCTCGCGCGATAGCTGCGAACATCTTCGAGGTCGATGGTGGCCGTCACAACCTCCTGCTCGACTGAAATGTGAGAATCCATGCTGCTGCAAAACACAACCCACTTGACACCACTCGTGACACTCACCACATCGTCCAAGGAAAACTGCGCGCCCTGTGCGACAATCTGTCCATTCACGGCAATCATCGCACAGCCGTCATAGTAGACGCGCTCTCCGTCGCAGCCTTTCTGGTTGGAGTACATGTAGATGCCGCCGAGCTGTTTGAAATGTGTGCAGGAAAAATGAGGCGGGGGGACAAACGTGTTGCAAAGCGAATTTTAGCGCTCGTAACCAACATGCTAACCGACCTTGCCAGATGCAGATCGGATCAAATCGAGACGAGTATGCAGCTTGCGCAGCTCGTGATGACTGCCGCTCCCGTTTGTGATAATCTCCACGCCGTCCAGGCCCATTTGGATGTGCGGACTGACGCGAGAGGGAACCAAATGAGTCAAAAAAATGTGAGCAAGCTGGCTGGCTGGCTGGTTTGATGCACAATGAGGTGCAGCACAAACCTGTTGGGGGTGAAGAGCTCCTCGCACGTCTCCACACCCACGCAAGTATCCAATGTTGACACGACAGCATCGCCAAACGGGACAGTTATCTGGAATCATCCAAGGCGCAAGCGTCGTGTGAGTCCCTCTTGCATCTGCGCGAACGACAAAAGATGCCAACAACAACAACAACAACATGCCTGGCCTGTGATCGCCTGAATGATGCTTGGAAGGTAAAAGTCCTCCGTCTCCCTAAGAGACGACCATTGTCAAAAATATTGAGAACAGGTGGCAGCAGCAGCAGCACTTTCGCCGTTTTCCTCCAATTCTCAACTCACCGCTGAGCTGTCCAAGGGGTAAACCAGCGCCCTTCACGATAGTTCCCATCCATTGCCAGGAACATTTTGGGACGGATGAGCAACACCTTTCCGTTGAAGAAGAGCACGCGGCAGTTGTACCGAACGTTTTTATGGAGGATTGGCCTGAAGCGAAGCAGAAAAAAATGACGATGAGCACACCTGTGTGCATCAAACGTCGTAAAAGTCGAGGAGGTCGTAATCACACTGACATGCCAACATCGCAGAGAATGTCGCGGCAAACCGGCGACTTGAGCAACTCGGCGAGTGATTGGACTGAGTGCAGGAAGGTATCCGACTCGAGGAAGTGATCGTTGCAGCCATAGCCACTATCAATTTGCATTGGATGAAGTTTTTGCGAGGTGAGTTTAAGTGAGGGCCCAATCAATGGCTGATGCATTGAATTGTCTTGTCTGAGGTTTTTAACTCCAAAACACTGATCTGACCTGATTTCGAGCTCTGGTCCAGATCGGAACGTTGCGCCGCGTTGCTTGGCTTGCTCGATGCCTGTTTGGATTCACGAGCCAAAAAGAGTTGAGAGTGAGTGAGTGAAATGAGTGTGAGTGAGTGAAATGAGTGAAGTGAGTGAGTGAAGTGAAGAGTACCGTACGACACATCTCCAAATCCACCCCCCCTGAAAAGGCCTCATAATGAATTCAGAGTGTGAAACGCAGACCAACACACTTGCAAGCAAGCAGAACGAGAGTGAGAGCGAGATGTGAGACTGGGCTGACGTGACTTGATGACCGACGCCACCGCCACATCAACCCCATCCATCCACCCACCCATCCATCCATCCATCGCCAAAATGCACTCCATCAATGATATTCATGGATGTAAGTGGGATGCAATAGAACAAAGCCGCAGTCGTAGTCGCAGTCGCAGTCGCAGTCGCAGTCGCAGTGGAGGGGATTGGGAATATCGAGCTATGCACTGATGCACTCTACTTGTGAGGATGCGCGCGAGGTTGCCGTCAAAGTCCATTGCCCACTGGTTGAGCGCGCACACGGCGACCGTGACCAAGTGTGCCATGCGTTGGATGTGGGGAACAAAAAAGAGAAAAAGAAAAAAAGAAGAGTGAAAACGACCAAAAAAAACAGAGGACGAGTCTCAGAAACCAAGAAGTTGGGCGAAAATCTCAGAAAATCAATCCAAAACAGCTCAAAACAGCTCAAAGCAGCTTCAGAGCCACCCTCGTCATACAGTACTACTGTGGTAGGAGATATCTCAATCACTGATTTCACACCACAGCTCAATCTTCTTCTTCTCTCATTCTCTCAGAGTATCGCATGCCGTCTGTCAAACGCCGACTCGAGGAGCAGACCGAGGCGCAGTCGTTCCCTGGTGCTTCAGCAGCAACCCCATCATCATCATCGAGCAAGCAGAAGCCCAGCACGAGCACCAGCAGCAGCAGCAACAGTAAGGCTGTGCGAACCGAGTCCGACGTTGACGCGACCAGCGCAAGAACCGATTACAAGCAGCAGACCAAGCAGACCAAGCAGACCAAGCAGCAGACCCGTCCCTCGAATGATACTCGTGATCACGATGCTGATGCTGATGCTGATGATGCTGATGATGGAGTGCCGGTCGTGGTGAGCAACAAGAGCAAGTCAGCGACTGCGCCTCGTGGCACCGCTGCGCATCCACATGGTGGTGGTGGTGGTGATGGCAAGCAGCCTGCGTCCAGCAAGCGTGATGGCGCGACCAGCAACGCCTCATCAGCAACAGCAGCAGCAGCAGCAGCAGCAGCAGCAGCAGGAACTGACAAGCGTCGTGCTGACAAGGAAGGCGGCGCGACGGGCAACAAGCAGAAGCAGGACACCAAGAAGAAGAGCAACAAGAAGAACAAGTTCAAGGCACCGACGGACGCTGATATCTACTACGACGACGACGACGACAACGAGGACATGGCCGAGTCTGCGGACGGAGGCGATCGCGCGGGCGGCGACGACAACGACGAGGAGCACGAGCACGATCAGCGACTCGGACGGTCGCTCAAGTGGCGCAACGTCGAGATCGACCCGTCCATCTTCACAACCACTGAGGGAATGGACGGCTTCCTCGGCCTGGAGGAAATCGACGATTGCGACGTGCTCTACGACGATCTCGGCGATGCTCGCGCGAACGGACAGAGCGGCAAAGTCGTCAAATTCAAGGTATGAGCAGTCTCGTCGTGCCTGTGCTTGGGATGTTTTGGGTGATGGGATGGAGTGTCTGAGCGCAGGTGCAGTTCTCTTCAAGAAGGGATGGCATACTGAAATGATGATCAAATACTAAGATTTGTCGTGGTTTATTTGCGTTTCGGTCTTGCTGCAGCGTGTCAAAAACATGGAGGCGCTGCGAATCCGACGAGCATACGAACGCAATCTGCAGCGTGACCAGGAGCGCGCCGTCGCAGACGCATGGACTGTGACTTCCGAAGAGGCCACGGGTAAAGCCAAGAAGGGCGCCGCAACAAAGCCCGCCGCTGCCACCAAAGTTAGCGAAAAGCCGGCTGCATCTGCTGTCAAAGAGGCAAGCTCAAAGAAGGGTAAGGCGGCTCCCACGGCGGCAGAAGTGACTGCTCCCGCCGCCCCCGTCTTGTCCAAGAAGGCCGCTCGCAAGGCTGCTGCTGCTGCTGCTGCTGCCGCCGCCGCCGTTGCCACTCCTGATACCTCTGATAACGCGGATGCTCAAGCCGCCGATGTAGATGCTGATACAGTCGACGCTTCCTCACAAGGGCGTGCGCCAGTCACGGGTAAGTCCACTCTGTTCCTCCAGTGTTGAATTGCTCTTCCGGGCGAATGTCACTCACACGCTTGCCATTAGACATGTCTGAGTGGAATGGATTCGGATTGCACGAACTTCTCATCAAGGGACTGGCCACTGCGGGCTATGCTCGACCCACCCCGATCCAACGCGAGGCACTGTTGAAGGGGTTGCGCGATTACCAGGACATTATTGGTGCTTCCGAAACTGTAAGCGTGTTTGTTTTTGAAAATCCTCCCTCCCTCCTCTGCGATTTTTGAGATTTTTTTTTGTTTTTGTTCACCATTGATTGATCTGGCTTGGCACACCATGATCCAGGGCTCGGGCAAGACGCTGGCATTTGCTCTGCCAATTCTTCAAGTCATCTTGAACGGACGCGACAAGGAAGCAGCACGAGAAAGTCAAAACGGCGACGACAACGAAGCCGAAACGGACGCAGCCTCCAAGAAGGTTTTCAAGAATCGACCCTTGTCGGCGCTCATTTTGACCCCGACACGTGAACTCGCAAGTCAAATTCGCGAGCAAATTGTCAAAGTCGCCAAATTCACAGATATTTCCGTTGTGACTGTGATTGGAGGCCTGTCGGCGGAAAAGCAGCGTCGTGTGCTCAGCTACTGCCCAGACATTGTCGTCGCCACTCCTGGTCGACTGTGGGATTACATGTCGCAGGGCAACCAGCACTTGACCGAGCTGCGCTACTTGCGGCACTTGGTGCTTGATGAGGCTGATCGCATGGTTGCCACGGGCCACTTTGAAGAACTGACCAAGATTCTTGCCATTCTTCCTGTTCAGAACCAGCGGTTTGTGAAATCTGTTGCGCTGGGTTTTGCTCCTTGGTTTGCAGGGTGCGTTTTTTTTTTGTTGACTGTTCTTGTGTGCGCTTGTTTGTGACTCTTCCAGATTTGCCGAGACAGACGAAGTCCGTGCGACCAAACACGACGAAATTTTGCCTCGCGCAGACGCTTCCAAGTCCAAAAAGAGCAAAGGTCGCGCTGCGCCGATGCAAGTCGACGAGGACGACGAAGAGTTTGATGGCGTGGACGAGGAGGAGCTCGAGAATGCGGATGGCGATGAAGAACCTGCCGAAGACGCTGACGAGGACGAGCTTGACGAAGACGACGATGATGACGCCGAAGAAGACGTCGAAGACGACGAGATGCAAGTGGATGACGATGTCGAGGATGACGCCGTCGACAATGTCACTGAAGCCGAGGAAGGCGAAGATGGCACTGCGGCTTCGTCGGAGGACCAGGCTGCGTTCGACAGTGTTCTCGAAAAGCTCCGTCCGTTTGGTAAGGCGAGCGGTGGTCGATGGATGAGCTGTTTGGTACAATTTCTCATTTCGTGTGGTGTCATCTCCGTAGTTAAACGTCAAACGTTCGTCTTCTCGGCCACAATGACCCTCGATCGCGAGTCGTTCCGTAAATCGCGTCGCGTTGTTTCCAAAAAGAAGAAAGTCGATCGCTCCCCGTTGGGTAATCCATCACAGCGAACGTCGGAGCAGTGAGATGGGATGAGCGCGCTCTAACTGCTAGCTGCTTTGTATTGTTGGCTTGGTTTGTCGTTTCCAGCGGTCGTGCTGCGACAGCTTGACATGCAGGACGACCCCGCAATCATCGACTTGTCGGGCAAGCGAGGCCTTGCTCAGACATTGACAGAGGCTAAAATCTCTTGCTTGAAGGAGGAGAAGGACATGTACTTGTACTACCTGCTCAAGCGCTTCCCTGGCCGGACGCTTGTTTTCGTCAACTCGATCGACTGTATTCGTCGTGTCGTTTCCATCTTTGTGCTTCTTGGTCTCAAGCCACTGCCCTTGCACGCCAATCTTCAACAGCGTCAGCGCATGAAGAATTTGGATCGGTATGTTCTTTTGTCGCTTGTGTTTCTACAAATTGCTTTACAAGTTTCCTCCGTAACTGATACTCATTTTTGCTGCGCATTTGTACATGCGTGTGTGACAATTCTTGTCCCAAACAGCTTCCGTGCCGATCCCAACTCGTTTATCGTTGCGACGGACGTTGCGGCCCGTGGTCTAGACATTGCTGGCGTGGATCACGTCATTCATTACCAAATGCCGCGAGACCCTGAGGTAGCCCACTTTTTGCTTTTGGTCGTGACCTTACTTGCAGGGACGAAAAACCAAAAACACGCTAACATGACAACATGATGCCTTTTGTTTTTTCATTACGACAGACGTATGTGCATCGCGCAGGCCGTACAGCTCGTGCCAATGCAGCTGGCATCAGCATTTGCGTTGTTGGTCCCGAAGATTTGAAGGGCTTCCGTGGCATCTGCTCCGCTCTTGGTCGAGGTATGCCGTTGAATGCTTACCGACTTGTTTGTGTACGATTCCTCTTTTGGCGTTGCACTCATTTCCGTGAACATTTGTCTTTTCCAGAGGATGGCATTCCGTCCTTCCCGATCGACGCCCAATTTTTGGCGGGCATCAAGAAGCGCCTGTCCCTTGCACGCCAAATCGACCAGTTTGAGCACAAGGCGCGAAGTGACAAGCAGCATAACGAGTGGTTCAAGAAGGCGGCACAAGAAGCCGACATTGAACTGGACGAGGATTTGTAAGAATAGTGTGCACGCGACGTGGAGCTTTTTTTTTTTTTTTTTTTTTTTTTTTGGCACAAAAACTCGACTTTGGTTTTGTTTTGTTGTTGCTCGTGTCTTTTGTTGCCTTTCTCCAGGCTGGTTGGCGAAGAAGTTGAAGATGCCGATAGCGGTCGTCCCCGACACAACCAGGCGTCGTCCAAGAATGGCAAACAAAGCAGCAAGCTTTCGCGGGAGGAGCAAAAGCAACGCGATTTGCGCGCTCAGCTTGAGGCGTTGCTCAAGAAGCCCCTGCTGGCCCAGTCCACCTCCAGCAAGTTCCTCACAACGAGTGCCGATCCCAACCATACCAAGCGACTCTTGTCATGTAAGGTTGCGCGTGTGCTGTGGTGTTGGAAGCTTCAGACTTTGTACGTCCCAGCCAGCTCACGCTCTACATTTTGTTCGTGTGTTTTTGGCTGCGTTAGCGGACGGAGACTGGGCCAAGCTGGAGCAGGCTGCACTTCCTGCTGTTCAACAGATGTCCAAGCACTGAATACTTGCCTGATGATGTTCCCAGTGTTTATCTTTTGCTCTGTTTTATTACAAGGCAATTTATTCGGGGTTTGTTTGTTTTCGGGTAGCACTCAAAAGAAGGGGAAATGGGGGAGAAGGTTGGGGAGAGACATTCAGCCGGACTTTCAGCTGAGGGCGCTCATCATCGACTCGAGAGACTTGCGCAAGTTGCCCATCTGAGTCGATTGCTGCAGAGGTGTGACCAACGACAGGCGACACGATGAGTTTCTTTCCTGGCACTCCGTATCAACATGGAGTCAACGCTTCGTTGCGCAATCATTACCGTCTCCTTGATCAGGCGGTTGTGCACGCTCGTCAGCTCGTTCTGCATGGCGAGATGGGCGGCGGTGGTCTGACGATCGTGCTGATCCGACAGCGAGGTGTTGGCTGCAAACAATGCAGCGATCTCGCCTTGAGTTGCAGCGACAAACTGCTGATGGGTGTCCATCATGGCTTGTATGGCCTCCTGGAACCAAGCGCGAGTGAGCGGTTTGTGCACACGACTCGATCCACTGAAAAGTGGCCGCCTTACCACGAGGCTATCCTGAGCCTTTTGGTTGGCAGCAACAAGTAGCGCGAACTTGGTTTGCAGTTCTTCGTTCAGCTTGGCGCTACGGGTTTCAGCGTTCAGAGGCGTTGTGAGTTGCTAGCTTTGGTGTTTGCAACAGAAACAAAAGCTGTAAAACTGTACCGCTCGCCACGTTGGACCTTCCAAAGCTTGAGCAGCTTTTTCTGATTGGCAGCAACGGTCTGTTGCGCCAGCGACTGAGCCCGCGACTTTTTCGTTGTCGCCGCCTTGTGGATGGTGGCTGTGCGCAGCAACGTGAGCACGCTGAAGAGCTCTATTGTTTGCTGATTGCAACGACTTACTGTTGAGGGCGGACACGAGCTCATCCATCTCACGCCTGTTGGTAAAACAAACATCAACATTTTTTTGTTTGTTTCGCTGCGCAACACACAGCGACACAGAGACACTGGCGCACTTACGCGGCTTCCCGCTCCGCAGCTTCCACGTCGTTCTCGTCGTCGGTGACATCTTCTTGGATGCGGGCATGGGTGGTAGCAGTGGTAGATCTGGTAGTAGCTGGACTTTTGCCCCCTTTGCTGGTCGGAGCTGCAGGAACGGCAGCAGTGCCTGCCCGACGAGCCCTATCCCCCGCTTTGAGTGCAGCATTGGCAGCTTTCAGAATGGGCACCTGATGGTCGTCATCGTCGCTCCCCGTTGTGTCGGCCACGCGCATGCGCTTCAGCTCGTGACGTACCGAACGATCTGCAACCAGAGGGACCCGAGTTAATCACGCAGCCAACCAACCATGGAGTCTCGCATCAAGTTCTCAGTACCTTCCGTCATAGAGGGACCGCCTGCACGGAGTGCCTTGGTGGGCGTCTTGGCAGGAGTGATCGGAGTCCACGAGAAAGCGGGACGCGGTGCCGTTTTGGCCTTGCTGCGATCTTCCTCGATCGGAGCCAGAGCTGGAAGTGTGGCAAAGCGGTAGGTGGCTTCTTCATCGTCGTCGGAGCCATTCAGGCTCTCTTCTTTGCGCTCATCATGGCGGGAACGGCGAGTTGATTCGTACACCTTTTTGGGTGTTGGGGTGGGCTCAAACTCAAGGCGACGCGCAGCTGGAGTGTGAGAAACCAGGCGCTTTGCGGATGCCTGCAATGTTTAAGGTGCAAGCTGTTAGCCTCTCGAGCAAAAACGGAGCGCAAAAAAACCCACAAGCAGAAAAGTTCCAAAATCAAAATGTGACTTACAGGCGTCGTGTGCTCTTCTTCCTCGTCGTCATCGCTGGAGTCGTTTGAGGCGTCTCCGTCACTCGCGTCCGAGAACGAGTCGCGCATCTTGCGAAGGGCGGCCTTGGTCTTCTTGGCGGCGGCGCGTCGGGACGGATTTCTACGGTTGCGGTTTGCTGCAGCCTCAATGTCAGAGCCTTCGCTGTCAGCCTCCGAGGAAAGGTCTGGCGCCGCTTGCTTTGTAGATTTGGCTGCAGGTTGTTTGGATCTCGCGGGAGTGTCGACACGCTTGGAGCCAGGTTCTCTGTCGCCAGTGTCTTCGAACTGCCACCACACAAGATGTCAGACATACAGACCTCGACGGCAAATTCGAAAACGAATGGTACTTTGTACCTCGAATGCAGTGTGCTTGGGGCGACCGGAAGCCTTGCTACCGGTAGTCGCCGGCGGCGACTTGTCGCGCGCTCGAGACACGGCTGATGACGAGGCTCCACGCTTGATCGCAGGTGTAGCAGAGTTGCTGGGCACTGGTTTGCGGAAAACCGAGGTCGCGGAAATGACCGAGACACTGTCAATATCCATCGATCTCATTGGCTTGTTGGCCGCCGAGGCATCTCCAGTTGCGTACTGCGTGGACTTTGGAAACAAACGGCTGTGTGAGTGACGGCCTCCGACGCGGACTGAGGTGTTCGTTGCTTACCTGCTGTGGAGGCTGCTGCTGAGCTTGAGCCTCGGCTTTGTGGATTGCAAGCAGCTCAGCCTCTTCCAGCAAGTCCTGCGTTCGATGGAGTCGAGTGAGCCAAACGGAAGTGTTTATCAAAAGCTGGTTTCCCTCAGTACAAACCTTCATGTTGCACTGAATCGGCTGCTTGGAGACTGATGCACGAATCGGTTGCTTGGCATCGTGGACGCCAGGAGGTCGGAGATAGGTGCCCAAGCTGCGGCACAGCGAGTTGGCTGTCGCCAAGAAGTTCAAGCCAGACAATGAGTTTCGAGCTTGCTGCGACAGCTCCTTGTCAAGCAAAGCAAAAAAGCTCACCTGCGGTGGTATTTTCCAGCTCAAAGCCGACTGTCAGACGATCGTGCGATCCGATGCCATGAAGCTGCAGCGTCAGAGTGGTGTCTGTGGTTACGGCGCAAAACGCTCAAAATAGTGAGGAGATTCAGCCCAAGCCGCTCATTTCCATCCCCATTCATGACGTACCGGTGACACTCCACTTGGCAATCTGGTCAAAAGCCACAGTAGCCACTTCATCGCAATCAAACAAGTCCTATTCACCGAGACAATTTTGAGTAAAGATTGAAACAGCCGCACAGCTCCTTGTCCGCGCGCTCCACAAGCATTACCGCAATGGCCTCAGTCGGGCAGTCGAACGACAGTGTGCGCGGGGCCATGTTCAGATCAAACCAGTACGGCATGTCCTTGTAGCTGAGCACGCGCGGTTTGTCGTTCCCGGTTTGCACTTGCACTTGGATGGCGACAAACTGGAACGAATCGACACTGTTGCACACGGCATTCCGATGAGCATTTGCTGTTTTGGCATGAATCTGATGGTCTTACCTGCGGGCGATACCCATGTGATCGTTCAGCTTGTTGACAAAGGTGCGAGCATCCTGGACGAAACACAAACAGAAAAGAGATTTACGAGATTAGCCAAAATTTGAAACGCAGCTTTTGGTACTGGTTTTACTCATGATCTATCAATCGTACGTACCGTCAAGAAGGTCTTGGAGGCGATGGACGCAAACTGGACGGCAAGCGGCCGATCGGCAAAGAGGAAGGCTCCCCACTCGTCGCGCCGGTCGGGACGACCGATACGGAAGCAGAGCTCCACAAGCGCGCGCTGGAACTCAAAGTCTCCGGCATTGGAGATGTTCGCTGCCACTCGCTTCCTGCCAAAAACCAAAACCAAAAAAAACAAAACGTGCTCAGATGCCTCGAATCGGTTTCCAATAGTGTTTAACCCGCCACAACGTACATCAGCTCAGGTCCCTCTGGGTGGTTGCGAGAAAGCACCATGTTCTCCTGACAGGTGCTAAGCAGCGTGTTGAGGCAGCGGACAATCTGCAGGACGACGGTTCATTCAGAAAAAAAAAAAAGAAATTAGCTCCGATTTCTCGGCCACGCTCAAGTGTGAATTCAAGAGTTGTTTACCTCAAAGAGGGATTGAACAGACAGTGCAAGTTGAGCATAGTCTCGAGTGATTGTCATCAGGTCGTGCACGACGTGCTGGCCAAGGACAACTTTGCCTGCTCAAACAAAACGATTCGAAACACAAAACCATTCGAACAAGAAAAATCAGCACATTGAACAATGGCAAGTACTCTTGCAAGAGTTCATCGACTGGGCTGTTGAACAGGATGACTTGCCATGAGCGGACAGGCTTGCCAGGGTCTAAAGAGGCAAACCAAAAAGCAAAGGTGAAAATGAATGGCAGTGGGGATCACTAACATTTGCAACGAGCAGCGAGTCTAACCTGCATGCACTCGACGGCAGCCAACAGCAATGGTTCGTTGCAGAGGCGTGGTTGTTGCTGCGCAGCCTTCCGAGCACTGGACGGAGGTCGGGACGGGACGCAGCCCTTCAAAATGAACTCAAGTTGCTCCGGCAACCCCTGCTCGATCAGCAAAGGCGCGAGCATCGCTTGCAGCTCTGTCTTCTGCAGCAGAAGACCAATGCACTTGAGCAGAAGGCCGAGGTAGTCCCAGCGGCGAGCATTGATCTCCTAGGAAAGCAAAAAAAAAAGCAATTGCGAGGCAAAACGCAAAATAAAGAAGAAAAAAAAACCGCGAAAAGTGAAACAACGAGCTTGAACGCACATCCAACCGCCGCGGAACAGACCCGCCATGCGTGCATACATACCACAGAAATGGCGTCTGAGATGTCCTTGCCAAGCGTGCGGACGCCGCTCGGGGTCACAAGCGGCGTATCGGCCGAGGCAGACGCCACGAAACGCGCCAATTCGACAAAGATCGCATCGACTGGCTCGCTCTCCAGGCGGCGGAAGAGCAGTTCAAACTGGCAATTGTGCAACCATGTCAAGTGTGTTTGTGAGTCAGGCACAGGTGACGATTCGTGAAGCACAAGCAACGTAGCGACCAAAAAAGCGAATTGGCGTTCAGCTGGATTCGCGGGTTTTCTGAATTTGAAACAAAGCGTTTTCGGCGCGCTTTCCCTTCTCTGTCTCTCCCCGCTCTCTCTTCCCTCTCTCTCTCTCTCTCTCTCGCCTGTCGCGGCGTGCGTTCGAGACAGCAAATCAACAGAGAGGCGTTGTGCCTGTACCTTCGTGGTGTGCTGCGAGAAACTCGCGGTCGTCGTGGCGGCGCTCGCCTGTGAGACGGAAGAGCGCGGCATCGTTCAGCTTGGTTTGAAACAACGAAAAACAGGGGGGAAAAAAACAAAATGAAGAGTGCCTCTTGATTTGGAAGATGGAAATCAAATAGGGAACTGCAATGCTCAATGACAAGACAACAGAGCAGCTCAAATCTCAGAAAGCGCAAACCCCCCCCCCCCAGTCGAGATTATTGGGCGATGGCAGAACAGCCGACAACCAGCGTAGAGACGACGACGCCGATGGCGGCACGGCGCACGCCGTCGGCAGCCTCGTCCCCTCTTGACTTGAAAGTGCAGATCAAGCACTTGCTCGACTCGCTGGGCACTCGCGCGCAAGACACAGCTGGCCCTGGCGTGGGACGCGCTGCTGCTGCTGCTGGTGGACGGACTGGTCGTGGTCAGTTCCCTGCGCTGGCCGCATTGGCTGCCGTGCCCGCTGCCCCTGTGCGCACGCTCCCTGCTGGCACTGTGGTCATTCCAAGCGCATTGTGCCGACCATGGGAGCGCGCAGACTATGTGCAACGGCTTGCCACCTTCTGCAGCATCCCGCGCTGGTGCGCCAAGCCCGCGCTTCTTGCGCCGCTCGAGTGTGCCCGCTATGGCTGGTTCAACTGCGATGTGGACATGCTCGAGTGTGTCTCGTGTCATTCGAGGCTCAGCGCACAGCTTTCAGATTCACCGAGTACGTTCGCTTTTGCGGGATTGTTGTTTTTGCTCAGAAATGAGAATTTCGCATCATCAAGACTCTCAGAATCTCACTCGCATACGGACGTGTTGAGGGTTGAGCGAACTGCGTTGCATTCGATCGCTCTGATCTCACACATGTACACGGCGCTTGATTTCTGCATTTTGTCTTGCTTTTCAGGTGAAACCGCCATTCGAAAAGTCCACACACAACTCTCGCTCAACCACAAGGATCTTTGTCCGTGGTTGAACAGCAGCTGCCCTGGTGAGTGCTGTTGTCATCGTTTTGCGTCGACACAGGGGCAGCCAGTTCACTTGTTGTTTTTGAACTCTCTTCTTGGACCGAGCGCAGACTCGTTCAAGCAAGTGGTTCTATCACCGCCCGCAACTGCGTTTGCAGCCTTCTTGGAGCGTTGCACGTCGTTGATTGGACTTGGCGAAAATCTTCCAGCAGTCTCTCCTGAAGATCGTGCGGAAGTGGCAAGTCGAAAAAAAAGCAGCTTCGTCATGAGTTCCATGACCCTCTCATCCTTCTCATCGTGCTTAAAATAATCACTTGCTCTGTATTGATAGGTCTCAGGCCGTGTAGAAACATTTAATCAGCTGGTACAACGAGTTCAAGACGCCCTAGCACAGCCAAGCATTGCACGCTCGACTATCGAAAAGGCGGCTCTGTGGGCCTTGTGCAACTGGAGTGCCTCGCGTCTCGAGCATGCGCCTACACAGCAAGTGCTATCTTGCAATATCTGTCTTCGTCAATTCGGTCTCTGGAACGTTCCGCCAAAAGATGTGCATCACGCTTCGGATGCTTCCGCGATGAGCTCGGAATCGGCAGCACCGGCACCCGCTGGGCAAGCCGCAAACAAGCGCACTTCTGAGGTTGACACCAGTCGTCCCGCCAAGCTTCCTCGGATGGCCGAGCAATCGAGCGTCCATGAGCTCCAGCGACAGCTGTTTGCGGAACATCGGTGGTACTGCAGTTGTTCCAGCACTGCCGCGCCAACGGTTGCATCTCGCTTGTTAGATGTGTTGTGTCCCTCGACCACCTCTCCAGTATTTCACCGAAACATGCCTGTAAGTGATCTTTCCCATACTTTTTTTTTTGTTTTTGTTTGTGTTTCTCGAACACATGGAGTGTATCTATTGTTGTTGTTGGGGCGCTCACTGTTGCCCTCGTTTATTGTAGTCTGCGGATGCCGTCCATTCCGTGAAGCAAGCTCTGCGTCAGTCGACAGCCAGCAACTTTCTCTAGAAATCACAGTGATCTTGCTTGTAACGGATACATTCTGTTCATTATTCACGACTATCTTCCATTCTACGTTTGATCACATGACTTTAGGTGGGGAGGCTTTGTATCAAGCATGGTATCTTGGTCTACTCTGTGTATTCAATCCCGCCAACAGGATGCATCGAAACATGACACTATTGACTCGGCAGCTCGTTCAAAAACGAATCTGATGTTAGCGCGCCGGGGACGGGGATCGCGACATTGGGCGACGTGCAGGCGAGCGCGAGCGGGATCGGGAGCGCGAGGGAGAGCGGCGACGGGCTGAACGGTCGGGCGAGCGGGAGCGAGAACGGCGGCGAACAGGGGAGCGGGAGCGAGAACGGCGGCGAACAGGGGAGCGGGAGCGAGAACGGCGGCGAACAGGGGAGCGAGAACGGCGACGAACTGGAGAGCGGGAACGGGAATATCGGCGAACTGGGGAACGAGAGCGGGAGCGGCCACGACGATCGCGGGACCGGGAACGTCCGCGACGACGTCCGCCGCGCGGATCGTTGCTGGCCATGGTGCGCGACGTCTTGCGCTCGCCTTCGGCAAAGTCGAGGTCGAGACGGCGGCCGTTGTGTTCGTAGCCCTGGAGCTTGTCCTTGGCACTGATGGCAGTGTCGACATCTTCGAACGTGCTGATGGGAATGAGGTTGGGCAACATTGAAACAACAACACAAAACGAGAGCGGCAAATCGCAAAATAACGCCAAGGCGGCAGGGTCAAGGGAATAACCGAAGACTTGATCGTCGACGACTTGTGCAAACAGCATTACGAATCGCAAAAGGCATGACAGTCATGAATTTGGGCAAAAGTAGATGGCGGATGGTGGTGATTGAGGGCGGGCAGGGCAGAAAGAAACCGATGCGTCAAACTTGTGTCTTGCACTTGCTTGAGGAATGCACTTCACAGCCACAGTCACAGGGGAGAAAAAAAAACAAGTACCAAAACGGCATACCCAAAAAAGGCACACCGAATGATTGAAATAAAACTTGAGAGAGCTGGTACGATCATGAACAGTCTCGAACGGGAACCACAGCCCTAGAAACCCTCGCAACATTGACTTGTAGCCGACACCGACTTGAACAACACTGCTTGCATCAAGAAGGTTGAAGCTGGTGAAGGCTCTGACCGCGATTTCTTGCAGGAAAGGAAAGGAAGAGAGAAACCAGGAAAAAAAGAAAAGAAAAACTTGATCGTCAAGAAAGTGGAAAGGGAGAGAACACCTCGACTTGGGCCTTGCTGCTGCTTGTCATTGCCTCTCTTTTGTGTTGTTGCTCTTCTCTTGACGTACTTGACGTTCATCTAGCTCGCTTGGCTCGAGACAACATCCACTTCTGTTTCATTCTTTTGTTCTCGCTCTCTCTCGCTCGCTCTTCTGCAAAACAGGGGGAGGGGATCTTGCTCGCTTCAATCTCGAGAGTCTTGTCCCCGTGACGAACTCGAATCTTGCTTGAGGGTTGGGGGTGGGAAGGAAGGGTGGTGCAGAAGGGATACCACATCCACTTGAGGCGAAAAGGCCTTTGTGGCAGCAGCATTTTGCATCGCATCGCATCGCATCGCGGCAGCAACATCCATTTCAAAATCCATCCATCCATTGTTGTCAATCTAGCCGATATTCGACATAGCCAAAGCCGCGGAGCTTGTTCGAGTAGTAATCGCGAGGCAGGTAGATGTCCTTGACGTTGCCACACTTGGCAAAGATTTCACGAATGTCGTCGGGACTGGCATCAAAAGAAGCAGCGTTCAGACAGAAGTAAGTCAACCCAAGAACAAGTCACACAACGCGAGGCAGTCCCGCCGCCCCATAGCAGCAGAGCAGGACGAAGCAAGTGGAAGCCAAAAGTCGAGATCGCAACGTCGCGATTCAACGGGCATTCAGCAGCCCAGCCACACTCGATTCCCCCAAATGCGGATTCTATGGGGAGACCCATTGAGCAAGGGATGAAGGAGATGGCGGCGCGCTTACCGGGCGTCGTAGGTGAGGTTGCGAACGTGCAGCGTGGCGCGGGGAGGGAGAACAGAGCGGTTGCGGCCATTGCCACCGCGACCACCCTGGCGGCCGCCAGCGTTGCGGACGGGCGAGCGAGACGGAGACCGGGACCGGGACCGGGACCGGGACCGGGAGCGGGCAGCAACGGGCGAGCGCGAGCGACTGCGTGCGGCGGGCGACGGGGATCGTGAGCTCATCTTGAAACAAAAAAAAAAAAAAGGAAGAGTGACTCGAGCGTTCTCAGACTGGTCTCAGAGCGTTCTCAGACTGGTCTCAGCGTTCTCAGAATTGGTTGTCAATCGCGACAAATCGCCCATTCAATGCACAAACGCCTCTTCACAACAAAAGAAATTTCAACCCAAGATGGAGATTTTGACTGTTTTCCCACTGTTGCCTTCCATCAACATGATTCCTATGGCACGTACATCCATCTCGCTTGTATTTCGCTTCTGTGTCGAGCTGACTATGATTCAAGTGTGAAAGCGGTGACACTTCTTTTCTTTTCTTTTCTTTTTTTTTTTTTTTTTTTTTTTTTTTTTGTTCTTTTTGCTTGAAACCAGTTTTTTTTTTTTTTTATCCTTTTTTTTTTTTGCACTTCTACCTCCCACATGAGCAACGCCAAGCATGTGTTTGGCTGCTTGCTTGTGTTTGCAGTGATATGCTCGGTCATGCTGTACTCTACCAACACTGAATCTGACGCACGACCGCAGGCACCCGTGGAAACAGCAGACCCACAGCGAGTGGCTCGACCAGAGCAAACGGAGCCGACGCCATCCAGGTTCATTGCGCGGTCGGAGCTCGTATTCGGCCAGCTGGATGCTCAAAGGCTCATGAACAACAGTGCGTGGGTGTCGCCATCGGTTGTCCGCTTGCACGACGGGCCCGACGGTTGGCCCCGTCCATGGACCGCGCTCACGTTTTCCGGAACAATGCGCTCCTTCAAGTATCCCGCCCTACTCGATTCGCTGCGCAAGAACTTGCTGGCTGCACTCGGTGGTACCATCTTGATTTTTTCTAACAGCCGTCTGGAAGACTGGCCTCGGTCGGGTCTTGGCTGTGCAAACAGTCAGGAAGATCTTTTCGACGCGTTGCGCGATTTGTTGCCAGGCAAAGCCGAGCATTTCGTTGTCTGGCGGTCGTTTCAAGTTCCCGATCCCATGTGGACGCACAATTGTGCAAGCCGCCCTTCCTTGATTCAATCGCTTTCAATTCTCGACAGTTACTCACTCGCCCTAGACTACGAGGTAACTAGCAGCATGTTGCAAACCACCGCGATCATGCAAAAGAGCGGGGGAGGGGGCGATTTCTTGATTAACCTGCCTTGGGACTTTGCGTCCTTTGGGTGTGAACATCTTAGAACCAAGTTGGTGTCAAGTTTGACTGGATTGTACGAGCACGCCCCGATGTCGGCTTTCCGGAACCGCTGCCGTCGCTCGCATCACTCAATGAGTCGGTCTTCGTACCCGGCAACTCAGAGCACCAATTGAGCAACCAGTTTGCGATTGTTCCTCGCAAGTTCTCGGACGTATTTTTGCGGTTACCTCCGGTTGAAATTGAATGCGCGGCCAACAATGACAACGATCGCCTGCGCCTGTGGCTCGATGCAAACAACATTCCGTACTATCGACACAAGGCAATCCACTTTACGATTGTTCGCGCATACTATGGCGCCGAATGCTTTCGGTCGTGTGGTGGCTTTGGTGTCGGCAGCCAGTGTGAGCTTCGGAAGGTGTGCGAAGCCATGTTTGGTGAAATCACCAATGACCGGAAATCCAAGAAACTTGACGCGCAGCTTTTGATCAGCGAATTGAAGACCCCGCATGCAGGGTGCAGCGTGAGCTTGAGCAAAACACCTCCTCCAAAAAGCTGATGCAGTTTATTATTCGGTGTGTAACGCAGCCCCATTCGGGCATCCCCTTCTTGACTGTCTTCTTAGTAAACGATATTTGCTTTCTACACTTCAACCGTATTCGGTCCGCGCAGGGCATGCAAACCACGTGGCGACTGAGAAGTCGGGTCGTGCGCACGTTTGCCTGTGCTGGACTCACGCTATCATTCAACGCGCGCTGTTCAGGGTTTTTTTGAGCGGTCTCTGTTCGTAAGTTGCTCGTTGTTGTGCTTGGGCATGAGTGAGCAGGACGTGACTGGAGCTGTCATGGCAGCCAGACAACCATTGAAGAAGATTCAGCGTTTTCGCGTTTCTCACGCCCTCCAGGTCCCAATAATTGTCTGCTTACTACTTTGCCACGCACTCCCCCGAAATTCCTTCTTCAAAGAATAGCAAGTTTAAAACAGCAATAATACTCTCTATTCCGACCCACTTGTCAAGGTGTCGATAGTCTAGCTGTGGATCCAGCTCTCAAAGGAACAACAATCAATCTCAAAGGAAGCGCTTCACTTCCCTTTTTTTCTTTCTTTTTTTTCTTCTTTTGTTCCTTCTTTCTTCCCTTCGCAACCACACACGCCCTGCCCCCGAACCCAATGCAGAACAAAGCGTGGAAGCGCGCCGTCCACATTGCGCTGGGCGTGCTAGCCCTTGTTGTTGTGCTGCGTCTGCTTCGACCATCGGCCGTGGGCTCGGCGGCGGACTTGCCCCAGACCAGCGGCGGCGAAGCGGGCGCAGATGACGCGTTGCCAGCAGGGTGCTTCCCGACCACCACGCACCAAGGCGCCCTCTCAGCTGCCGCCGCCGCTGCTGCTGCTGCTGGTGGTGACAACAGTGAGAGCGCCGCGCTCATTGCCGAGCAGATTGCGGCGGTGCCGTTCAAGTGCATGCGCGCCACGCTGCAGGACCACCTGTTCGACGCTCCCATTGGGGTGCTGCGGATCTTTGTCTACGAGGAGCTGCTGCCCTCCGGGGACCTGCTCCGAGACCACTGCGCGGCGGTCGGTGCCAGTGCAGATGCTCACTTTGCCAAGCGCGCAGAGGAAAAGTACTTTTTGGACTGGCTGGCAACGTCCAAGCACGCCACCAAAGACCCGAGCGAGGCTCACTTTTTCATCATCCCGACTCCCATCGAGTGTCTCTTTGCAATCGAGGACGACGCGTCCCTTCCCGCACTCGAGGTCGTTCAGACGTTCATTCGTACGCTTGATTACAGCAAGCACAATGGTGCAGACCACGTCCTGTTCACATCCTCCATGGCCGATCGCGCGCAGACGGAGGTCTTTCACGAACAGTCGAAAAACGAGTACTACTCGCCGATCGCAGAGCACTTTCCAGCCGCCATTCTGCTGTCAACGGAGACCATGTACACGCAGTGGTTTGATCCCACGCGCGACATTGTGATTCCCCATGCCATCGACCTTGACTCGCACCTGGACGCCATCATCACGACCGAAAGCGAAGAAAACATTCATGCAGCACGCCCTCTGCTCCTCACCTACATCGGTCCAGCCATCGGTTGCCCTGAACGCGCGCGCGTTCACGAAAGCAAAAAGTGGCTCACGGATTATTACAGGCCGCTTGTCAAGATCACGGACGAAGTCACCGATCTTGCTGAGGCTGCCGCCATCTACCGCAACTCGTCGTACTGCTTTGCCATCGGGGCCGAGACGCCTTCTACGCGACAACTCTATGAGGTGATGGGAGGCGGCTGCATTCCCCTATTGCTCACTCGCAACTTTTTGCTTCCCTTTTCCAACCACATTGACTGGGAGCTACTGACGATGCGGTACATGTCATCGAGCATCAAGTCTGTTGCGCTGCCGTCCCATCTCGAAACGCAACTGGCCAGCCTTTTGCCCAAACGTCGGCGTCTTGTGCGGCGCGCTCGGGCGGTTCTCTTCTACGGGCTCGAACGTCCGTCGCCGCCGGTTGCTTCGTTCGCCCATGATGATCCAAACCACCGCCGTCGTGCCTATTACACTGGCCCCAGTGGTATGATTGTCCGCGAGCTTGCTGATCGCTTCTGCAAGTACTTGCTTTGAGTTGTGATGTCGCGTCGCTTTTTGCCTCAACAAAAAACAACAACAAAAAAAAGTTTGGTCGGCGTACATTTGCAGCCTTCCCACCCCCATATGATTAATAAAGTAGTTTATGTTCTAGAGCATTTGCTTTCTGGCACCCAGTAGCATACAGTTCTCACAAGGCAGGCGGTGTTCGTCGGTCCCAGCCACCTAACCTAACTTTGACGTTGACTGTGGAAGACAGGCTTTCAGAGAGAGCGCCACCATTCCCCCAAAGAAATCTCCTGCCATCATATCAACCCCGTGGACAGTCTATAATTTTTTTTTTTTCTTGGTGGCTTGGTGAGTTTGTCAGTTCGAGTGAAGGAAGCTGAATGCCATGCTGCTCCCACTCTGCTCGTCCTCTCTCTCTCTCTCTCTCTGTCCTCTTTGATCTGATCTCGTTGCATCGCTACTTGCGCACGGGGGCTTGATTTGCTCATACTTTGCCTATGCCTGCCTGCCTGCCTGCCTGACTGACTTGACGGACTGGCTTGACGGACTGACTGACTGACCCAAACTGGTGTGGATTTGGAATAGAGCTCGAAACGGTCTCCGATCCGCCACGACTCTCATACCAGCAAACCACTCCTTACTTGAATCGCATTCGCTAGCTCAGAGGAGGAGGAGGAGGAGGAGGATGCCGTCGCGCCAGTTCTACAAGCTCTTCCGTCTGACAGAGCAGGTGGCCGAGTCCGCCGCCGCCATCCACGCGCCCGTCATGCGCCAGGTCGTGGCCAACCGGTACTGGGTCAAGCCTTGCAAGAAAGAGTACGACTATCGGCGGTTCCTCCGCGAGCGGCTGTTCGCCAAAGCACTCCAGGAGCGTGCCAACTTTTTGCTCTCTCAACACCCGCAGCCCTTCGCGGGCCAAACTCGCGGCCCAGGCAGCGGTCAAGGTCAAGGCGGATCTGGCCGATGATTGAGTGATTGGCGGGGGGGGGGGCAGCGAAGTTTGTTTGCTGCAATCCCTTTCGCTTGTTCTGTGACTGTTTGTTTTTTTGTATCACATTCATCGCAAGCATTCATGACGGGATTGATCTAAGTTTGAAATGTGCTAGGGTTGGTCGGGCGTTGGAGGAGCGGGGGAGGGTGTTGTCATTTGTACTCCACGGTCAGCAAGTGTGTGCTCTGCCTGGTGTCGCAAAAGTCCCATGAACGAGGTCCACCAAGGACGAATAGAACAACAACACACCACGCATGTCATAGAAGGGTGATAATTGTATTCTGTAACAAAAGAAACCGCTGGGAACGATTCACTCCAATCTGGCTGGCTAAAAAGGTTTGATGCGAATTCCGCTTAGTCGCTGAGGTACCCTCTGTGGCAATCAACCGTGTACGGAAATCACACAAGGTCAGCAGCTGCATTCCAGACATGACACGTACATCCCGATGTTGTTTTCGAACGATAGGAGCGGGGGGAGAGAGAGAGACAAACGTACGGAAGCTTCATGCGGATGAACACTCGGCAGAGCACAAAGGACAGGAAGACGCACAAGCTGCCGACGCCCAGGAAGATGGAGCGCTCGAGCTTTTGCATTGGCTTGTTATTGACTCTGTGCAAAATCACACGAAGATGGACGGTTGTTAGCGAGATTGACAAGATTGTTCAACAGCAAGATTTGAGCGATTGAGATTTGAGATTTAGCCCGCTGTCCGCTTTCGTCCCCCGCCATACGAGATTGGAAGTCGTCAGTAAGCTGAATGTTTGAGACTTGAGAGTATTGATCAAGATTGATCGAGATTGAGATTGAGATTGAGATTGAGATTGAGATTGAGATTGAGATTGAGATTGAGGATTGGAGAACTCAACTCCATCCTGGTCGTCCCGTTCTTCCCCCCCCCCCGCGCAGTCCCGGCGTTCCGGTTTGCGTTGCCTTGTACAAATACAAACCCCCCAACTCATGGGCGGGCGAGTTTCAAGCAGGATGGCGGCCAGCGAAAAGGAGCGATCTCTGGCTTTTGAGCCTCCCTTCTCCGCTCTTCGCAAAGAGAGATGACCCTAGCTGGTTGTTGTTCTGCTTTACCGGTCAAACATGATGAATCCGATGGCGCCGAGAGCGAACATGAACGCGGCGGTGATGCCCTCGATGATGAACTGGCCGTTGATGCGGTAGGGCAGGAAGGGCTGCGGGCGAACGTTCCCGCGCTCGTCGAGCGTCTGGCCAAAGCTGGGCGTCTCGGTGATAATGTCGTAGATGATGCCTGCAGTCACAAGCCAGTACGACAGGAAAATCACTGCGAAGACCGTCATCGCGCCAGGTCGCTCCACCGACGGCAGCCGCACCTTGACGTTCGGCGCGCGCAGGACGCTGAACGGCGCAGAGTAGAGCGCTTCGAGCATTCTGAGAAAAACTTGTAAAGTGTTAAAAAAGAAAAAAGAAAAGGAAAAAAAAAAAGGAATGATGCTCTGATGAAATGAGTGACAAAAACAAAAAGTCGCATTGCTGTACTGAATCAATTGAGATTGGGATTCGGATTGCAAGGGTTGAGCAAGATTCCTCTTCATTCATGACCGTGCGATTTGTACCAGATGCACACCTTTACAAAAGCACTCAATAACCAACGCATTGCACGTACGTTGTGATGAAAAATCTCAAAGCCAAACCAAAAATCCTGGAGTCGATGAACGGTGAACAAAACAAAAGCCGGATGTGTCCGAGTTCTCGCGTCGTGTTCTGAAAGAATGAGTTACACGCTGTCACGCGGGCTTGCAGCTTTAGGCAGATTGACGCAAATGTTGCCGTCAAACACGAGCGGAGTCTCGACAAACTTTGATGTCAACAACACAGCTTTCAACAACACAGCTTGCGTGCTTTTGTGTCAGGGTCAAACTTGAGTATGGGAAGACACTGGAGACTGTCATGCAATTCTATCAAAAGCGGCTTGCTCATAGACCTGCGTGTGTTAGGGTAGAGAGGTGAAAAGGGAGCATCGAGTCAGTCTTTGTTTGATTGTTGAAAATGCTGACTTATCAGAGTATGTCTGAGAGACAGCGCGAGTTGTATGATGAAGTCAAGCATGCGAGTGACTGGCTCTGGTAAGGAGAAGCCGAGTTGTAAGGTTGGAAACAGTGTGACCGCGCGTTTGTGTTGACGAAAATGGAGAGACAGGTGGACTGAGAAGCAGATTGGCAACGATGGAGCACAAGCGGTTGCTGAGGCACTCAAAGTGAACACGACAGTGACGTACCTCGAGTAAGTCATCTCACTTTGACTGACGCATGGAAGTGGGTGATCAAGTAGAGACAGCAAGAGCGGCTCACTGATGGAGGCGATGTGGACAGATTGCGTCGGAATCAGATTGGCGACGTTGGAGCGCGCGCGATTGCCGAGACACTCAAAGTGAACAAGACGGTGATGGAGGTTGCGTGAGTCTTGTTTGAACTGATGCATGTGAGTGGTGATTGCAGTAGATGACAGTGAGAGTGCTCACTGATGGAGAGGGACGGGCAGTCTGAGTGGCAATCAAATTGGCGATGCTGGAGCACAGGCAATTGCTGAAGCACTCAAAGTGAACACGACAATGGAGAGGCTCCAGTAAGTTATCTCACTCTTGTTGGTGCATGTGGGTGGGTGACTTTAGCAGAAGGTATTCAGCGTGCTCGCTGATGGAGGGTGTGCGGACAGTCTGTGCAATAATCGAGTTGGTGATGCCGGAGCGCAGGCGATCGCTGAGGCGCTCAAAGTGAACACGAACCTGATTTGGCTCCAGTAAGTCATCTCACGTTTACTGATGCATGTGAGGGATTCATAAAAATTCCGAATGCTCACTGATGGAGGGGATGGGCAGTCTGAGTGTGTCGTCAGCGTTTTGTTCTGCACTAACGCGGCCGCAATCGGCTGCATTTTTGCATCTTCAACCACAAAGTAACCCAAGCTGATACCATACGGTGAGTCAAGGCATCAAACAAACATGGAGTTAGCAGAAGCCGACAAGTACATACTCGAGCGTAGTCAGTGTGGTGTTTTGCAGGAGTGCTTCACCAATCGCTTCTTCCCTGCTGAGCTTCTTGCTGTCCTGGTTGTCGTCGCCGTCGCCAGCAGTGTCGTCCTCGCAGTCCTCGTAGTCGCCGTCGTCAGCATCGTCGGCTTCCGTTTGACGAGCCTTCTTCTTGTTCTTCTTGGATGTTGAGGTGTTCTCCCCGGCCATTTCAACAGCCCGACGCTTGCTGCGGATGGTCGTGGGGACACCACTACTGGAAGCTGAGCTCGTCTTGCCAGTACGCGCAACTGCAACCTGAATGGGTTTGCGAGCACGAAGATGGTAGCTCACCACAGCCTGAGATCCTTGGTTGGTTGGTGCACATTGGCGCTCTGGCACTCGCTGAAGCACTCAAGGTCAACAAGACGCTGACTGACCTGACGTAAGTGCTTGGGTGCCTTGCTCGTCTGGGACATTGAACCAGCATCATTCAGACCTTGCTACGTTATCAACCTGCTAACACTTTGAACGCCAGTCTAGAGAACAACTGCATTGGCCAAGTTGGCATTCAAGCGCTTGGTGAGGCACGCAAAGTCAACGGCATTCTGACTAAGCTTGAGTAGGTTGCTTGATCTTGCACAATGAGAGCCATGATGCTTCGTCCATGTTCCTCGAACCAATACTCAATGGAACGGTCCTCCTGATGGTTCCTTTACCTTTTGCTTGTTCATTGCACAGCATCCAGGGCCAGATAAACCCGCTTGCATTTTCCTTGCTTCCACGACTGGCAACTACTGAAGACTGGCAGAGCGTGTTTCACCTGCTGACAGGCCGACACGAGCTGGAGAATCAGCCCGCACTTCTCCCTGCACTACCAGCCGAGGTTGCCGAGCTCGTTATGCACGAAGCGGAGTACTTGCAAGGCGTGCAGCACATTCACCAAGCGTGGTCTAGGAACAATCAGATCGATTTTCTGAAACTTACAATGCCTCGAAGCAGCAATGGAAATTCCATCCGAGTGAAAGCGATTCAAGTCCTTCGTGAACAGTCCGAAGCCAAATCGGGCCGTTTCGATCTGATTGTTCGAGACGAGCTAGGTGCTGTTCGATACAAATGGGCTGCAGAAGCGCCTGTCGTCGGTTCGAACATTCAGCTGGTGACAATTTCGCCAACAGACCATCCTGTCATCCGCCAAATGCGCGAGGGTTGGGAGGTTGAAGTTCGATTCGGTCAGTATTACAGTTTTGTGCGACTTGCGTCGCTCTCTGTCGGGTATATCGAACGACAAGATTAGGGATTCATATCTATGCGCTGTTGTTTCCAATACATTGAAAGAGAACATGAAAACCGAGCACGACTCTGGAATCTGAGAAGAAGCATCCAGGAGCTGATTCGCGACTTTGACACTGCGTCGGAAATGACATTCGGTGCAGAGGCTTCGTATCGTTCTGGAATACCATTGAACAACTTGACCAAGTCATACACTGGCTTCCACGCATGCTTGAACGCAATTTTCTCGGCCAAACCGGGCAGACTCTTGAACATGTCGAATCCGTCTTGATAGTTGAGTTGTCGCAGCCTCTCAATCGTCATCTTGAAGGGGACGACAGCCTGGTTGTTGCACCAGTGCGGACAATTCAGCAGCGTTCTCAGTCCTTGTTTTTCTCCACCTTACCTCCAGGAATGCTTCTCACTCATTGCATTGCAAATGTTTGCGTCATGGATTTCGCATAAAATCATTCGAGAGAAAGGGTATAACTTTTGCGGACAAGCGGGGTGGCACACGATGATGACACAGACGACAATCATTCGCCCAAACAAACGAGGAAACAAACAAGAAAACACAAACAAGTAAAGACAAACAAGCAATGACAAAGACAAGCACATCCACCACGAAAACTAAAACCCAAGAACGCAGAGGAGACACTTTAGAGCTCGTCAACAGAGGCCGATGTCGGATCAGAAACCACTGTAGCATGCCGGAACGTTGACATCAGCGGAGCAGCATCGTTCGGATCGAGCATCCAGAGCGGCGGGGCTTGTGTACCCGTATTAGTGGCAGCTTTCTCGAGTCCGATCTGCCACGCCTTCCGGCACGACATTGTCAGCGTTGTCGAAGTCACAACACACAAAACAATGTCGAATTTGCTGCCAAAGGTCGAATTGCGAATGGCCGAATACGCTTTGAAGAGTTTGGCGGTCCTGTTAGCTGCGTCACCCTTCTTGGGCAAGTCTTCGTCCGTTGCTTGCAGAAGAATCAGCAACGGTCGCTCGTCATCGTTCATGCTCTCTAAGACGAGACGTGCATCAAATTCTGACGTGCTTGCAGCGTGCAAAAAGACCACTCCAGGAGCGTCTGCTTGAACTCGAACTTTCGTGCCCATCCAGATGTCGACAGCATCCACGGCTTCGGCAGCATCGAAAGTCGGTTTCGAGGCGGTCGAGATTACGAACGGGCTCGTGTCTTGCACTGCATTCAGTACGGGCGCCGCAGTCGTTCGGAAGGTCCGAGGGGCCTCGAGGCTCTGCGTGCTGTCGCTGCCGAAGGGAAGCGGGACATCGGGAGAAATGCCGAACAAGTTGTGAATTGTGAACGGCCGGACTTGTTGACCGAAGCGAATGGCGAGAGTGGCCACGAGGCCAAGCTCAAAGGCCCGACCACTGTTCGGTTGGTAAGGAAATGTGAAAAGATCCAAAATGGGTGCACGTTCGGCAACAGGGATCTTGGCAAGGATGGGTCGCAGCAGGACAATCGGTACACGAAGTCCAACATGATCAGCGACCTTTCGGACCAGAGTAGCGCCTCCCGTCTCGGCCAAATCTTGCACTGTTTCACCGGTTGTCGGATTCATCACATAGTCGGGTGGCACATAGGTGTGGGTCATTGTCAGCCACAGCATCCGTAGCGCAACGCTCGACGACAAATCGCGATTGTGTTTGATAACACTCTCCGTTTGCAGAAAGCTGAGCGCGACCTCGAAAAGCACCTTGTTTTTGGCAGCCGGGGCACCAGGAGGGCGGGAAAGTTGCTTGGGACGACTGGCAACAAGCGCGGCGAGAAGTTGCGGGGAGCCGCCCAAATCCGCGACCAGACGTTGAAAGGCAGGGTCTTGAAACCAGTCAGAATGCCAGGGTGTCGTCGATCGGGCCGATCGTTGAACAAAAGCTAGGCTGTCTTCCTGGCTCAAGGGTTCGAGGTCGAGCGGCATAATTCCATTTTGGTTCGGCTGGAATCTCACTCCGGCGTCGCCAGTCCCGGTGAAAAGGAGGACGACCAGGTTCGGCAGGGATCGGCCAGAAAAATTATAGTTCAAGAGCCGGGCGACTTCTGTTTTGAAGCGGTCACTGGCCTTTAACTTGAAGTCCGCGATGGCTGCCGGGCTGGTCACATACGACTCGACTTGCTCCTTGGTCCGGGTTGAATTCTTGATGAAATCTTCCCGCGCATTTCGCTGCAACTCTAAGACGAGAGCCTCGTGAGCAAGTTGGACTTCGTCCACGTGAATGAACAAAAGCGCGACCTCATCGTCTCGGATGTGATTCTTTGCTCGATGCGCCGCGAAGATTCTGTTCAGCACAGCGTCGCCGTTGAAGTTGGGCTCTGCTGCGCAAAAAGCAGCGTTGAATCGTGCGATCTTGATGCTGGTGCCGAGCTCAGCACGAGCAACCAAACGAGGCGCGAGCAGGCTCCGTTTCGGATCATGGTCGGGGGAGCTAATGGCATCGCCAAGACCGTTGAAGTCGATGTAGACTCGTCTCGGGTTTTTCAGAACGGATGAAACCAGGAGCTTCTCATCGCGATCCAACTACAATGCGACACGAGACACGCTTTGTAAGTTGAGCAAAAAGATACGAATCAAGTCAAACTACATATGCAATGCCAGACTGACCTCACAAGTGTCCTCCTCCAAACGAGTTGAGAGCATGGACAGCAGCTGGACACCGAACGAAGTTTTGCCCATTCCTCTCATCGAGATCATTTGCCAGAGTGGGAAGTGACCACGAGAAGGGTATTGCAAACCCTGAATACTCAGCTGCAGCAAGTTGAGACACCTGTCTTCCACAGCTCGTCGGCGGATCGGAAACTCGGGCACGTCTGGCATACCGCCGGGTTCGAAGCGAGCAGACAAAAAGCTGTCACCTGGCAAGGTACACAAAGTCAATAAAGCCCACACACACACACACACACACACACACACACACACACACACACACACACAGACACACACACACACACACACACACACACACACACACACACACACACACACACACACACACACACACACACACAGACACACACACACACACACACACACACACACACACACACACACACACACACACACACACACACACACAGATCAGTTCTCACCTTGTTCCGTCAACCAGTCGTCGGCCCAATGAAGTAGTTTAGTCGCCTGAATCAGACCTTTTGATTTCGTCTTTTGCAGGCCGGCGGCAACTACGTCGCTCAAAGCTTTGCCTCCTTGTTTTGTAGTTCGGAGATCTTTGAGGACCATGTGAAGCCCGGCAATCTCGGCCTTGACGTCTTCTTCATCGTCATCGTCATCGTCATCGTCCTTGCGCACCAGCTTCTGAAGCAGGTGCGTGCGAAGGGCGGGAATCTGCCACTCGCGTTCTGTCACAATCATCCACATGAGCCGCTCAGAACAGCATGCAACACCCACTCGCCGGACGCCACTGACCGAAAGATTTTTGAAGACCTTCTGGGAGCTGTTCGATCATCTGAGCCTCCTGTCGTGCGAACAAGCAGTTAGTCCCTGCCCACAACATCTTCTTTCACAAACGCAATATCTGACGACTTACAGAACGGGGTGCTGCTACTTCTTCCGTTGCTGCCTGGCTGCGGCGAATGGTGGCCGCTTGATGGAGGATTGACGGTGCCTATTCGAAGACAGAATACAGTGAACTATCCGCAGAAACAGAACAACACTCTAGCAAATCAAACTGCACCCGTTTCCTCACCTGTTGGGCGGGGGAAATGTCCATGGGCGTTGTTGGGTTATGGTCATTTGTCGCTGCCCCTGCCGCTGCCTCTGCGTCTGCCGCTGCCTTTGCTGCTGCTGCGGTGACGAACACATCCTGTGACTTGGACGAACTCTGGCCAGTCTGCGAATTCTGTCAATTCAACATGAAAAGCAAGCGGGCTAAGCGCGTCGAAACTAGCATGGAAACTCACATGGCAGAAGACGAGAAATGCGCCAGTGAAGCAGAAGGGGGAAGTGAAAGGAAAAATGTCAAAAGAGCAGAAACCAATAAAAAACAAAGCACACGGCGGAAAAACGTAGACGCGAAAGCCGTTCATAACGATTCGCTATGACATCGCTCAAAAGCCGAGGGAAGAGGGCGAATTGGCTGGGGGGGGGGGTGCTCGCCAGTGCCGTTTCGATGCCGATGGACCTCCTCCTGGTCATAAAGCACCGACCATCGCACAAGCCACGCGACTAGCCTCAACGGTCATTGGACATCGGACCCTGAGGAGAGCTGGCCAGTGTTGGCCTCAGTGAAGGCAAAAGGCAGGAAAAACGGATCCAAAATAACAAAGATGACAAGCCACTGCCAAGATCATGCCAGCGATTTGACGAGAAACAAAAACTCGGTGCGGAGCGAACAAGGAGCAAGGGAGAAGACTCGAGGATTGGTTGCAAAAAAAGAAAGAAAAAAAGCGGCTTTCGGCTTTCGGTGCGACGACGACAACGCTCGTAGGTTGATGAGTCATCATGTGAGAGGAGCAGTCACCATGTCAAGAAGAGCGTCGGCGAGGACCTTGGAGCGAGACCACGCGACAAACGCCAAGAGAAAAAGCGTTAAAAATTTGACAGGCCGTCCACTTACTTCCACATTGGCCTTTTTGTTTGGATGGTTGGGAGCTGCCATGTCGTTATCCTCCTGGTCAGTAGCCGACTTGTCCCCAGAAGCATCTACGGAGGCAGATGCCGAGCGTTTCTCTGTCGGCTTTGGTGGCATCGCAACAAAATGGGAAGACTGAACCATCATGACTCGTTTTAGGAAGATGGCACACTCCGATCAATACACTGCTTGTGATCAGATTGCACCATACAATCGACGGCGATGGAGCCGGTGCGGGAAGGAGGAGCGAGCAAGCGAATGGAAATCCGCCATCAACAACTCTTTCCATGGGAATGGATCCAGAGCAGATGGAGCCGTTGGCGGAGCCGGACTGGGATGAGTTCAAGAAGGGTGCGCAGCTGGAGAAGTATTTGAAGACGGTGGAGGGCGGAATGATGCTGGTTGCTCAAAAAAAGTAGGTGGGGATTTACCCAATCCTTCCGGCGAAGACTTGACACCGTATTTTCCTCACTATTCTCTACAACCATCCGACCCGAGCATCCCGAAATTCTGGATGGATCTGCACGTCAACCAGCTGATTGATGCCATTCGAGGGTTGAAAAATTTGAAAGAAGACGAGCGATTGAAACTGAGCCTTGGTGTGCTGATTACGACACCTGGGCGAATCAAAGCAATGAATCCGCAGCCAGTTCAGGTGCTGAATTATCTGAACTATGTACGAGATGAAGTTGGGGAAGAGTATTGGCCACAAATGATGACTTACTTCAAGCGAATGGTTCCGAGTGTTCCCAGCCGATATGTTGATATTTTCAATAAATTCATTGGACCTGATATTCGATTATTACCGGTGGAGCTGAATAAGTTAATCAATGTTGATAAATCGCGAGAAATGCTGATGATTCGTGCGTCGATGATTGCGTACGTGAATTTCCGGATTGACACGAATACGGAACGAGTTTTTTTCAAAGACGGTATGGACGGTGATTGAAGCGGGTCTGCGCAATGCACTGAATATTTTGCAGTACATCCCCTTGCCTGGTGTGCAGCTGTTCAGCACGGTGGGTAGTTTGGGGTTTGCAGCAAAAGATTTATCCATCTTGACTGGCACCATCGCGAAGTTGAAAGCAGCGTCAGAGGAGGACCGAGACTACTTTATCAATCAGCAAGTGGTGGAGGTGTGGACCAATTGGATGGAGAGCGAGGAAACCAAGAATTCACCGCGTCCATACTTTTTTGTGCTGTATGCCAAGCTGCAAACCGCGATCCTGAACGCACTCAAATAAGCAACATCGTTCTCGAGAATGAATGTGTTTTCTTCTTGACATGCAAGCAGGGCAAATCCTCTATGTGACATCCCACAGCAAACGACAGCAGAAAACCAAAAAGAGAAAACAATCAACGACATCAAAAACAGCGGCAATCGCCGCGACACAAACGCGTAGTTACACCACCTTCCTTCCGAGGTTGGTCATGCAAAGTAACTTAATTGAGCTCTGGCAGCTGATCGGACCGCGTAAAGACAGGATCGGTCAGACCGGCCCAGTAGAACTTGTTGTGACAGTCCATTGCTGCGTCGGTGTGTTCACCACAGATACTCGACTGCCACTTGTGCGTGGACACCCAGGACAAAGGAAGGTACACCAGCTTGCGCCAGGTCGTCTCGTTGTTGCTTGTGAATTGCCGATACGCCGGATCCCAATCAACTGCAGAGACATAGTTGTTAACAATGTCAAGAAAACGCACGTATTTCTCTGCGGCGAGCGAGACGAGGTAGTGGACGGGGGAATTATTATCCGTGGTTGGGACGCCCATCCCAAGGCGGTTGGAGCGCAACTTGACGACTGGACACTTGAGTGCTTGGACGAGTGTCACAATGTACGGCATGTCACTGTTCCGCAAGTCGTTGCCAGAGAGATCAAGCGTCACAATCTCCAAGCGAGCGAGATTTCCAAGGCGGTCCTCGAGATACTGCTGAAGCAGGTCCATGGAAGCAAACGGTTGAGTGGAACTGTCAACGACAGCGGCCGCGGACAGCACAGCGCCGTTTGTGAGCGAGAGCACTCCGTTCACGACGCCTTTGAAGCGCGTCGGGGTATCGGATTCGCGCAGGTGAGGCACCACGGGGGGAGCTCCAATCGTCGCTTGATCGAGCAAATGTTGGAGCAGGTTGAAGGCGACGAGCCTCTTGGCCTTCGTGGCCGGCTTGTCGTCGACTGGCAGTTCCTCATTCAAAAGCTGTTGCATCACTGGCCAGTCGACGAGAGCGACGTCCGCAACCGGCCACTTGCGTATCTCGTGGTCAGCCGGAAGGTTCAAAATGGAACTGAGGATGAGGTGTTGGTCGATGACGTCTCCAAGAGTACGGTCCATTATGTCAATGTGAACGAAACGTGCGTTGAAGCGAAAGCGGGCGAAAGCAAAAAGTTCATTGACAGACTGGGATGCATCAGACCAGACTTGACGCTTCGGAACTTCACATACTGCCGCACCGTCCTCATATCTTAGAAATTATCGAGTCCTCGCACGAGAGTCTCAACTCCTGATAAAAATTGGAAACTGCACTTCCCACCCCTCCCATCTCTCGTCTTTTCTCTGCGGCCCTCTCCTTGTCTTTTGTCTCCCCTTATTTCAAAAAGTGAAACCACTGTTGGCGGAGAAAAAAAAACCAACTGTTGCTCTGCGGAAACCAAAATGTCGGCGATGAAAAAAAGTGTTGCTCCTCGGAAAACCAAAATGCTGCCAGCGCCCATGGCGAAAAAAAAAAGTGTTGCTCTCGATTCCTACGTAGATACTGACTGGAAAGAACACGAGAAAAGCAGCGTTGTCAGAACGTTGTCAACAGCGTGCCCGCCCGACTCGATTCCGTTCGCTCATAACTTTTCGGTGAGAAAACATACGTCTGTCAGGTACGACGGCTCGGTCATGATGAAGCGGGTGCACAATTTGAACTGAAGCGATATACAAAAATAACTGCTCCCAGCAACCGGACAAAAATTTGAGACCACCCTTGCCTCTGGCTCTTTGAAATTTTGACTTTGAGCATTTGGCGCGAGCAACAAGTCTTGGCTCCTGTTACGAATTTCGCTCTATCTCCCCCCCCCCGGCCTTCAATTGTGACTCTATTTTCAATCACTCGCTTCTTCTGCACCTGCATGCTTGCTTTTTAGTCCTTATTCAGGTTGTTCTATACGTGCAGTCTCACTCTTTTTCTATTTTGCTTTTCTTTGCTTTTTTTTTTTTCCTTGTGTCTATTCCCCCTCTTCCCTTTCCACTCCGAAACCCCATTTTCACCAATCTTTTTCCTTCTTTGACACACTTCTTCCACAATGTCTGGCCGCAAGCGAACCACGTCGACGTCGTCTGGCGGCGCAATGGACACGTCGTCTTTGGCTCCCACCGGCAGCAAGAGCTCAAGCAAGCCACGTGCGGGCGCCAGTGCGGCTGCAACCACCCAGGCCTCAATGTCGCCTGCACACCTGGGCTCGGTGGAGGACCGCCGCGACGCCGGAAAGCGCGCCATGCAGGAGATTCGCTCGCGGGTGGTGCTCGAAGCGGACCGCGTGGAAAACGCAGCCTCGATTGACTTCCCAGCCAACTTTCCCGAGGAGGCCGCCGAGCTCGCCTGGGACTTTGGCAAGTTTGCAGCGGGCTTTCGCATTGAGCGCATCGAGACGGATCCGGACGATCCCATGGCCGTCACGTTCGACATGGTGGGCGTCGATGCGGCCATTGCTAATGCCTTCCGCCGTATTCTGATCGCCGAGGTCCCCACCATGGCCATCGAGACTGTCTTCTTCACAAACAACACTAGCATCATCCACGACGAGGCCCTTGCTCACCGGCTTGGTCTTGTGCCAATCCGCGCCGATCCCCGATACTTTGAGACGCGCGACACACCCGACACTCAAGCCACCGACCGCAACACCCTGGTCTTTACCCTTGATGTACGCGCAAAACAAAGCACAAACGCAAACATCGAGTATTGATGGATGGATTGTCGATGGCAGTGAAGAGGAGGATCAGTTGTATCATTTCTGCTGGATGCCGCATTATTTCGTCATTCTTGTGGTGTGTGTTTCTCATTTTGTTTCGTCTTTTGATTGTTTTGGGGGTCACTTCAGGTCAAGTGCACAAAGAACCCGCACGCATCTCCTAACGCTACCGACGACACGGAAAAGTACATCAACTCTCGAGTCTTGTCGTCGGATATTGTCTGGGTGCCAAAGGGCGATCAAGAAGCACAGTTCCAAGACGCTCCGATCGCCCCCGTGCACGACGATATTCTTATTGCCAAGCTCCGCCCTGGTCAGGCTGTCGCCTGCGAGATGCACTGCATCAAGAGCATTGGTCGAGACCACGCAAAGTTCTCGCCGGTCGGCACTGCCTCGTATCGTCTGTTGCCTGAAATTATCTTGACACGACCAGTCACTGGCGACGATGCCTACTTGTTGCAAAAGTGCTTCTCGCCAGGCACCATTGGCGTCCGCAACGAGAATGGTAAGGGTTTTCTTGCAGTTTCGCATTTGTTTTTGTTTTGCTTTTTTGTTTATGAAAGACGGTCTAACGATAATGGTATCTTTGTGTGTTTGGATGTTCCCTTGGACGTTTCATAGGCGTGCCCACTGCCTATGTTATTGATGCGCGTCGAGACACGTGCAGCCGCGAGATTTTCCGTCACGAACGTCTTGCCTCTGCTGTCAAGATGCGACGAGTTCGCGACCACTTTTTGTGTAAGTTTTGTTGGTGAAGCTGCACGCCCAACCATGACGTGAAGTTGGCAATCTCGTGGACGGAAGCGGCGGGCCTTGTTTTTTTTTTTTTTTTTTTTTTTTTTTTTGTTTACAAGTGATGCTCACGCTTGCGTCGTGCCCTGCGCAGTCTCCATTGAATCGACGGGCGCTCTGCCACCGGGTGATCTCTTGTTTGAATCCGTGCTCAAGCTCAAGTCCAAGTGCGAGCTCATTCTTGCACACTTGAACAATGCCACGTCGTCTGTGGACACGACCGCATAAAACTCGAGGTGTTGTTGTTTGCGTTTTCCTTTTGTGCCTGTTGAACCCCTTTTGTTTCCTTTTCCCTTGTATGGCGTGTATTGTGTGTCGTGTTGGCCCAATCCCACGTTGACATTTTTACGTGTTATGTTCGACTTTCTCAGCGCCGTTTCCATCGTTTTGGGAATTTTTTTTTTTGCGATTCGCCTGCCACCAGATGTGCCTGCGATGTCCCTTCCTCTGTTTCGATTGCACCCAGCACTTTGGTCTTTTTGCTTCAAAGTGGGGAGTGAATGTAGAATTTCATCCTTTTTCTTACACTCTTCTTTTTTTTTTTTTTTTTTTTCTTTTTTTCTCTTTTTTCTCTTTTTTCTCTTTTTTTTTTTTCTCATTTTTTTTTTTTTGCTTTTCCTTCCTTTTTTCCACTTCACTTCTCAGAAAATGCGCCTTCACGAGATTGAGCGCACGTCGTGTGTGGCGTGGAGCCCGCAGGAGACGCTTCTTGCAGCAGGCACGGCCGCGCAGCAGCTCGATGCGACGTTCAGCACCAGCGCCGTGCTCGAGCTCTACGCCGTCGGACCGTCCTCCGGATCCGCATCTGGATCATCCGTTCAGCATCATGGAGAGGGCAGCAGCAGTACCAGCACCAGCAGCAAACCGATTGGCGCTCTTCCAATCTCACAGCGGTGCGTCATCTCGTCCATTCATTCACTCAACCCCTCTTCCCTCTTCCCCCTTCTCCTCCTCCTCCTCCTCCTCTGCGCGCCTGCGTTCATCATCCGCTTGCATTCGCGTTCAGTTCAACCCTAACCCCTCCCCACCCCTAACCCCATCCCCATACCATTTCCCCTATCAAACAAAAGGAGAAACGAGATCTCTTTCAATCTTGCTCCTTCACTCTCTACTTCACTCTCTACTTCACTCTCGACTTCACTCTCGACTTCACTCGGCAGCTTGTTTTACTCTCAATGCATACATTCATTCACACTCGGCCATGAACGCAGACGGGCGAGGATGAGAACATCAACGAGCGGCCAGATTTCCAATGCAAATCGATTGAGATCTCTGCCCTTCTCACCTCTCGCCCTCTTCCTCTCTCTCTCCATTTTCATCGGACTGCGAATTTTTCGACCTCTTACCCCTTGTTGAAAATGATTGCATTTTGAATTGGGGGCTGGGGTGGGTGTTTCCAACAAACTCACTGTTGATCTGTTCCCCACCTCTTTGCTACAGGTTCCAATCGCTCGCTTGGGGTGCGCAGGCGACCAGTGCAAACGACGACGAGTTGCCAGCTGGATTCATCGCGGGTGGCATGGATGGCGGCGTTCTCCAGCTCTTCTCGGCTGCTGCCATCGCCCGGTAAGGCGGCTCATCATTCGTTCATTCTATTCATTCTGCAGTGCTCGCTCATCCACATCTATCTCTCACTCTGCACTGTTTTCACAATCCAGTGGTGACATCAACGCGGCGATCGTCGCGCGCACAGAGCAACACAAGGGCCCCGTTCGCACAGTCGACTTCAACCCGTTCCAGGCCAACCTGCTTGCGTCCGGCGCGTCCGAGTCTGAGATTTTCATTTGGGACTTGAACAACATCTCCAAGCCGATGAGCCCCGGCGCTCGCACTCAGCCCCCGGGCGACATTGTGTCGCTTGCGTGGAACCGCCAAGCGCTTGCCCAGCACATTCTGGCCACGACGTCGCAGACGGGCCAGTCTGTCATTTGGGATTTGCGCAACAGCCGACCTGCGATTCAGTTCTCCGACCCGTCGACAAAGTGCCGCTGCCGTGCGATTGAATGGAACCCCGACGTGGCCACCATGCTGGCCACCGCCAGCGAGGAAGACCGCGCTCCCGTCGTGCACATCTGGGATTTGCGAAACGCGTACTCGCCCCTTCGCACCCTCGAGAGTCACACCAAGGGCGTCCTCTCCCTGGCCTGGTGCGGCAAGGACAGCAGCATGCTGCTCTCCGGAGGCAAGGACAACCGCGTCGTGTGCTGGGACCCGGAGTCGGGCAAGTCCGTGTGCGAGTTGCCTCAGGCCGGTAACTGGGTGTTCGATGTCAAGTGGAGCCCCAAAAACCCTTCGTTGGTCTCTGTCGCGTCGTTCGACGGGCGCATTTCAGTCCACTCCATGACAGAGGATGGCGCTGATGCGACAGGCGCAGGCGGGGCCCATGGCTTTGACTCGCACCATGCCCAGCTCTCGAGCTCGCAGCATGCGGCAAATGTCTCGTCGCTTTTTGGCGGGGCAGCCGGCTCTGACTTGTTTGGCTCGCAGCACCGACAGCAGCAGCAACAACAACAGCAGCAGCAGCAGCAACAGCAGCAACAACAGGCGCAGCAGCCCTTGCGTCCTGGAATGGATCCTGAAGTTGCCAAGGCTCTCGCTCATCCTGCGCCCTTGCGCAACCATGCTCCGCGCTGGCTGCGTCGCCCATGCGGTGTCTCGTTTGGCTTTGGCGGCAAGCTGCTGTCGTTTGATGCGTCGTCCCGATCTGTCAAGGTGCAGGTGGTCGCGACCGAACGATCGCTGCTCCAGCGTGTTGATGCGCTTCAGGCTGCGCTGGTCGGTCAGAATGGCCCGCGGTCCCTGGCAGAGTTTTCCGTGGCAAAGCTCCAGGCTGCGCAGCAGACGGGCGATAAGCTGGACACGAATGTCTGGCAGCTCATCCACGCTCGTCTGTCCGGTGTCGGGCATGCCCAACAGCTCGGCTTTGATTCCGCCGATCTGGAGCGTCGCATTGCAGCACTCGGCATCTCGCTCGAAGCGTCCTCCCCTCTTTCGCCAGCAGCGTCGCACAGCAACAACATTGCGGATGGCGACGCCCTTGGTTCAGAGTTGGACTCTGGCTCGCTTGATGCCTCATCGCGGCCGTTGCAGCTCGTTTCTCACGACGAGAACGAGTCGCTCATCATCCGGGCTCTGATTGTTCGCGACTTTGAGCGCGCCGTTTCGCTGTGCATTGAAAACAACCGTCTCTCGGACGCGCTGCTCATTGCTCCGCTTGGTGGCCCCGCTCTCATTGCACGGACTCAGAATGCCTATTTCAAGCGTCAGCCCTCCGACTTTACTCGCGTAAGGGTTTTTTTTTTTTTTTTGTTGTTGTTGTTGTTGTTGTTGTTGTTGTTGTTGTTGTGACTGGGCTTTTTTTTTGTTCGTGGCGCTCACGGATTTTTGTCTCTCTTTCTCTCTTCTCTCGATTTGGTTTAGATTTTGTCCATCATCACCCACAACAGCTACGCTCGCCTTGTCAGCTCGGTTGATTTGCGACATTGGCGCGAGGCGCTTGCCTTGTTCTGCTCGTCCCATCCCCATAGCTTTGCCCAGTTCGCCGGTACGAGTTATTTGCTGCAAATGACTCTTTTTATTTTCTTGTTTGCGTCGCTCAAAATGTGGTCCTGACTTGGTTGTTTCGGAACCTGTTTGATGCTTGCGGCTTCTTTTTTTCTTCTTTTTCTTTCTTTTTTTCAGGCTCCCTTGCCGAGCGCCTGCTCACAGAGGGCGGCGACGCTCTGCGCATGGATGCACTGCAGTGCTACATGTATGCTGGCAACTTTGTCAAGTCTGTAGAGCTGTGGCTCGCCCTGCACGGCGATCGCGCGGACGCGTTTGCGCTGCAAGACACCATGGAGACGGCTCTTGTCTTCCGCCAATCGCTGCTCTTTACGGGCGAGCGTCAAGGCCAGCAAGTCAGCGCCGAGGAGCAGGAACTGCTCCAGCCCAAGTACCGCCACTACGCTGATTTGCTCTCCTCCCAGGGTCGTCTGCAAACGGCGTTGTCATACTTGAACATGACCAGTGCGGCAGATGCCGATTCTGTTTTGCTGCGCTACCGTTTGCAAGTGGCGACTGGAGCCGGTGGCAAGCCCGTTGCGCCCTTTGAAATCAAGCAGCTCGTTTCAACCGATGAACTGCTTGCCAAGAAGGCGCAAGAGCAGCGCCAGCTTCAGTTGCAGCAGCAACAACTGCAACAGCAACAACAGCAGCTGCAACTGCAACAACAACAGCAACTGCAGCAACAGCAGCAACGACAGGCGTATCAACAACCAAACCAGCTGTTCCAACAGCAGCCGAATGCTGCTGCTCATTCGTCGTTCCAGACCCCAACTCACGGCGGCTACAACTCGCAAGCTTTCGCCCAGCCATCGCCTTTCCAGCAATATGGCGTCCCATCGCAGCCTCAGCAGCCTCAGCAGCACTTCCAGTCTCCTGCGTCGAGCAATGGATTTGCTGGATTCGCTTCCCCGTACGACAACTCTGCCGCTCTGAACAACAACAACAACGTCCCGTGGAATCCTGCGGCCAGCGCCTCCCCTGGCCGTGTGAACGGAATGCAAGCCCCGCTTTCGACGTTCAACGCGGGACCCACTTTCGTCGGTGGAACTCTTGCCAATCAGCCTCCTGTCGCCGCTGGACCGCCGCCGGTCGCCGACAAGCGCTGGAACGATCCTCCTCCCGCCCTGCTGTCCGAGCCTGCTGCGGTTGCTCGCATGTCTGCTGCTGCCGCTGCGCCCATCATGTCTCCGCTCGGCGCTCCTGCCGGTTATCCGGCTCCGGGCGCGCCGGGTCAGCCCTTTGCAAGCCCTGCGCCTCCTGTGCAGCAGCACCAGATGCAGCCGCTGCCCCAGCAGCTGTCGCCTTACGGGTTCTCGCAGCCTGCCCCAGCCCAACCTGCGCCGCCACAGCAAGTCGGCGTGCCGCAGCAAGCTGCTGCCACTACTGCGTTTGATGCGCCCTACCAGGCGCCTGCTGTCGTCCAACACCAGCAGCAGCCCGCCTCTGCTCCGTTTGGCGCCCCTTTCGTCGGACAGCCAGCATTTGCCCAGCAACAGCCGCAGCTCAACCAGTTTGGCCAGCCACAGCCGCAGCACCAGTTCCAGCAACCCCAACAACAACAACAACAGCAGCAGCAGCAACAACAAGCGCGCCCTGCTGCTCCGCCTGCTCCCGTCGCCGAGCCCGAACCTCCCATGCCGGAGGAATATGCGCCCATTGTCGCCGCTCTGGATGCCGCTCTCGAGCCCTTCCGCGCAACGCAAGCTGTGAGTAGAACAAAGTGGCAAAGTTGAATGTTGAGAGCTTTTTTTCTTTCCTTGAAATGGTCTGATTTTGTTTCCTTGTTTTTCTTCGCGCAACACAGAGGAAGGTGGAAGACATTCGTCGTCGCCTCGGGGCGCTTTACGCCAAACTCCGTCGTCGTCAAGTGTCTGAGCACGGCATCACCCTTTTGAACCAGCTTGCACAAGGTAGGGGTTTGTGGCATTCTTTGTTGGATGTTTTCGGAACTGTTGTCACACACTTGGTTCGCTCACGCTGCTCGACATACTTTTCCTCGTTTTTGTGTGTGTTTTGCTTTTGCAGCTCTCGGTGCAAACAATGCTCTTGCCGTTGGCCAGATTCATCACATGCTCGTGACGTCTGTTGCGGATGGCGGTGATTGGATTATTGGCATCAAGGGTGTTCTTGGTCTCATGCGTGGTGGCGCTTAAAGTGGCGAAAAACAAAATGTCGTTGTTTTTGAATTTATTCCTGGTTTTTTCGCTGCCTCTTTCCTGTTGCGTCAACTCTTCATTTGCGTCCTTTCATTCTCGTCGAGATTCGCTTACACTTTGGGGTGTGGCATGAGCGAGTTTTGGGGAACAAGAGAGGTGGAGCAGGGCACGGCACGTCACAATCACAGTGTGCCTTTTTCCCATTCCTCTCCGCACGCCCTGCCTTAATTCAGTATGCTGCGACCATTTCGGCAACTGGGGCGGAAGGGCTTTGATGTGCACGTTCGAATGGCTTGGGGCAGATCAACCTTCCTAATCCAGTGCAGTCTTATTCCCACTATTCTGCAACAAAATCATGTGTATGACCCTGAGATTGACCACCAAATCGTTCAACCTTCCATCGTCGCTTCATTGGAACACTGTTTCTTGCATTTTTGCTGCCCGTCGACTGGGTTGCAATGCGACTGGGTTGCAAAACAAAGTGAAAGGAAAGGAAAGAATAAAAGAGAAAAAAAAAGCGACGTTTTGAATTCAATCCTTCTCGTCGCTGCTGTCATTCTCGTTCTGTGGGTGAACACTGCATCGTGTACGCAACGAGCGAAACTCGCTGCACTTTGCAACCACCACGTTGCTCGTCCTGGTGGTGGTGGTGCTCTCCTGTGCTTGCCTCGCTCTCAAAACGCCATTGCCATGCATTTCTCATTCTATTCTTCATACTTTGTTAAAAGCATTGTTGCTGCTGCAGGCGCTTTTTGGCTCACAGTTCCAGCCATTATCGTGCAAACGTCCATACACACACGCACACGCACACATAATTGATGTGCGCAGCCGTTCGTTTCACAGCGCAGAACCGCGCGACGCAATTCCAGCATGAAATGGATTGTCGTTGCGGTCGAATTCAGTGTTTTAAGATTTTATTATTTTTATTTTTATTATTTTTTATTTTATTTTTTTTTTTTTTTTTACTTTCCTTTTTTCTTATTTTCAGTGATTTTTTTTCTTCGTTCTTCGTTCTTCGTTCTTCGGTCTTCGTTGAATCGATTTGTTGCTTTCGAGTGTCGGGTTTTTGTGATGAATCTCGCGAGCAATTTGCCAATTGAACATTGAGTGCCGACAAACAAACTCCCAAATCCAGAAAGCGGTGGGAAAGGGGGTGTGTACTTGCCATTTCAACTGTCTGTTGCCATTCATGGATTGAGCTCAGCAATCAAGGCGGCAGATGGGGCAAATGGGGTGCAGTCGGAAAGCATTTTGCAAAAACACCTCGTTTGTTCAACCGCCAAGTTGAGAACGTGTCTCACTTTTTCAACCTGTTGCTCGTTTCCACAGCCCAAAAGTGCCAAAAGTGCCACACCGATGTCGACGGCGATGGCCTCAAGCTCGAGAACGGAAAGATGTTCCACAACCACTGCCTGACTTGCGCTGGTACGTTTGACTCACTTTTTGTGGTACATTCATGCTAAAAGTCTCAACAACTCACAACAATAACAAAATAAAAACTACCAGAATGCAGCAAATCACTCGATGGCGCCTTCTACGATCGCGACGGCTCGTATTACTGCCCTGCCGACTATGTGCGCAAGTTTGGCAAGTACTGCGCAAAGTGCAAGCTGCTGATCGACAACGAGGGCATCTTGGTCAGCGGCCAGGACTTCCACGCGTCGTGCTTCACGTGCACCCACTGCTCGAATGTCATCAAGCCCGGCGACACTATCGTTTACAAGAACGGCGCGCCGCTGTGCAGCCACTGCGGCTCGCAATGCTGCTCGAGCTGCGACCTGGTCATCACCTCCGACTACCTGACCGCCTTCGACCGCAAGTTCCACAGCACCTGCTTCCGCTGCGCCGAGTGCGGCTGCGCCCTCGGCACCAACAAGTTTGTCGAGTTCAACGGCAAGCCTTTCTGCGAGGCTGACATTCCCAAGGTTCAGCAAGCCCACCACGACGCCGACACTGGTATTGTTTTGCTGGTCGTTTTTGTTTCGTTTCCGTGTTTTTTGTGCGAGCTGTTTTGCTGTGATGTTGACTCTTTTCTCCCATCTTGCGACATGACCAGACTGTGCTTGCTGCCGTCGTCCGATTGGCCAGAACGAAGCCATCAAAGCCTTGGACCAACACTTCCATTCTTCGTGCTTCCGGTAAGGTGCTTGGAAGGACGGTATCTAGAGCTACGGACGCGTGACTCAACCATGACGCAACCAACTGTATTTTGCCAGCTGCGATGTGTGCAAGTGCGAGCTCTCTGGCTCGTTCTATGAGCGAAACGGCAAGAACTACTGCGAGCGCGACTACCAGAGCAACCATGGCGTGAGCTGCAGTCACTGCAATCTTCAGATCAACGGCGTCTACCTGCAGCTGGAAGACAACAAGTCCTTCCACACTGGCTGCATCCGTTGCCAGACCTGCCAGTCGCCATTCAGCGAGGGCGACAAGATCTATCTGCGGGAGCAAAAGCCCTACTGCGAAGCGCACCAGCGGGCTTAAGTTGCATTCGGCTTGCTGCTCCATTCAAACCCATGGCCAAGTTTCCTGTTTTGCTGGTTTGCTTGCCCCGCATTGCTTGTTGTTCTGGTAATAAAGCACGATTTTCATTCTCCTTTGTCGTCTTCCGTCTGTCCACTGCTTTTCTGGTTTATTCGTTTCTGTTACTGATTGCTCTCATCGGACTCGTTCTTTGAGATATCGACCAAGGCTTTCATATCGCTGTTTGTCGGGGCTTGTTGATGATGGGGGTTGTCTGTTGGCCCAAAATCGTCAACCGTGAGATGCCATTTGGTCCCCAGACCGCTCACCTAGTATTTACCCATGTCTTTGAAGCCATTTCTGAGCTTGGCAGGTTTCGTCTACGCCTTGTCTTAGTTTCCAAGTGATACACTGTGTCAAAATCTGTCCTTTCAGCACAACCCGCCTGGAGCGCCGGCGTTCTTTCCCTCCTTCCCCCGTGAGAAATGAGAATAGTCTCCTGATGATCTTTTGGACGAGTCGAGTGGTTTGCTGACAAACGCGAGCACTCCGTCGCATCACGAACGTTGACTCGCACTTTGTCAAAATCCAGTCTCCTTTTTTTTTTTTTTTTTTTATTGTGTGTTTTTGTGTTTTTTTGTTGGTTTTTTTTTTTTACTTTGTTGCTCACTGTTTTTCTGGTAAGGGCTATGTTTTTCTAATGTCGAGTTTTGCGGCACAGTGAGATCTCGTATCTCTTTTCGCATTTTTTCCGCTTTTTTTTTTTTTTTTTTTTTTGGGAGTCGAGTTGTGATGAAAGCGACCGCTCCACATGCTCGAACGCGGCGGCTGCCTCAGCGCGACACACGCACGCTGCGATCGCCACCGCACCGCAAGGACTCGCGCCATGTGATTGCTCGTCTGCCCGGCGCGACGAGGACGGGCCTACTTGCAGCAGGGAACTCGCCCTGTGCAAAAACGGCGCGGACGAATGAACGAGTGGCAAGCAAAACGAAAAAAAAAAAAAAAAAAAAAAAAAAAAAAAAAAAAGACTTGTCAGGTTTTTTTTTTTTTTTTTGAAGTCTGCGTCATTTTCTTTGAGTGTGTGCCTGCGTTTTCCCTGCGCGTCGCACGTGAGGACGCACGTCAGTTGAGAGTGGTGGGAAGTGGCTTTGTGGCATGCGGCAAGCGGGGGTGGGCAGCAGCAACTGAGGAAAAGAGTGGCTTCTATCGAGGACGTGCTCATTTCGCTTGAGGGCGAACGAACGCGGGTTTGGCTGTTTCTGCGCTTCGGTCCCGCGTCCAGAGCAACACCCTTTTCTCCCCTTTCTTACACAGCAGGGCCTGTGCTTGCCATGTGAGGAGGGGGGAGGGTGAGCCGCGTCCTTGCTTCGGAGGGTCGTTGGCCAAGAGGTCACTACGCTCTGCTTGCGTTTCGACGCCTTTGCTTCTTTTTTGTCCTTTCTCTCCCTCCACCCCCTCTTCGTGCTGCTGGCTTCTGTGACCCGGCGTCACACTGGTGTTGAGCTGGTCTGCTCCGCCATTGCCCAGCAGCGGTGACGCCGACGAGCAGCTGCAGCACACTTTGAAAAAAAGGCGGCTTTTTTTTCCCTTTTTTTTTTTTTTTTTTTTTTTTGAAGTCTAGCTTTTCCATTCGCTTGGCTTTTGTTCGCGGCTTTTTTTCCCCTTTTTCTCTCTCTTTCTCTCTTTCTCTTTCTCCAGTGTCCAAATGCAGCATGAGGGTGTGGTTTGTACTCTCACATCCTGTCTCTCTCTCTCTCTCTCTCTCTTTCGGAAGTCTGCTCAACTCGCTTTTGTGCTATCTGAGCTGTGTCGAATCTGGTGTTTTTCCCTCTCTTTGTTTTTTTTTCTTTTTTTTTTTATTTTCATCTTCAAGCTCGTCCTCGTCCTCGTCCTCGTCCCTCTGTCTCTGCTGCCTCTCTTCTTCTTCTTCTTCTTCTTCTTCTTTTCTCGCTTCTACTTTGTCAACCTGCTTCATTCGCCCGACACATACCGCGCTCTTGGCCATTTTTGTGATTGGAACATTTTCTCGCTCCCGCCCACCAAGCCCAAGCTGCATGCACTCCCTCTACGAGCAACACTCACTCACTCACTCACTGTTGCACTCTTGCACTCGTTTGAACGTTGGTTCTGACACAGACCTAGACACGAAGCAACTGCCAAAACGTGTTCTCGCTCTGTCTCGCTCTCTCTGCCACACCGATTGTAGAACAAACGAAACTCTGATCCCCACACCACCATGGAGCTTCGCGTCGGCAATAACAACAACGAGTACCGCCTCGTGCGGAAGATTGGCTCGGGCTCGTTTGGCGACATTTACCTCGGCACCTCCATCACAACCGGCGAGGACGTGGCGATCAAGCTCGAACCCCTCAAGGCCCGGCATCCCCAACTGCTCTATGAAACGCGCTTGTACAAAATTCTGCAAGGTGGCACAGGCATTCCGCACGTCCGGTAAGCGAGAGGGGAGGGGGTTTGCGTTTGGGGTCGATGAATTTTTTTCTTTTTTGTCTGCGCATGTTCACTCACTCGTCTCTCTGTTTCTTTGCAAAAACCCAAACCCCAACACGCACTCACCCACCCATTTACTCAGCTGGTATGGTGTCGAAGGCGATTACAATGTCATGGTGATTGATTTGTTGGGCCCAAGTTTGGAAGACCTGTTCAACTTTTGCAACCGGCGCTTCACGCTCAAGACGGTTCTGATGCTTGCCGAGCAAATGTTGACACGGCTCGAGTACGTGCATAGCAAGCACTTTATCCACCGCGATGTCAAGCCAGACAACTTTTTGATGGGCGTGGGCAAAAAGTGCCACCAGGTCTACGTTATTGATTTTGGCCTGGCCAAGAAATTCCGTGATCCAAAGACCAAGCAGCACATTCCGTACCGCGAGGACAAGAACCTGACTGGCACTGCACGCTACGCATCGATCAACGCACATCTGGGCATTGAGCAAAGCCGCCGCGACGATATCGAGTCGCTCGGCTACGTGCTCATGTACTTTAACCGAGGAACTTTGCCCTGGCAAGGCTTGAAAGCAGCCAACAAGAAGCAAAAATACGACAAGTGAGTGTCTTGCGCCCGCAGGAAGGACTTTGGTGGACTTTGGTGGTAGATGCTCTAACTTTTTTTGTTTTCATGGTTTCTTCTTTTCTCTCTCTCTCTCTCTCTCTCTCTCTCTCTCTCTCTCTCTCTCTCTCTCTCTCTCTCTCTCTCTCTCTCTCTCTCTCTCTCTCTCTCTCTCTCTCTGTCTCGCTCAATCAGAATCTCGGAGAAGAAAATGTCGACACCAATCGATGTGCTCTGCCGAGGATATCCGATCGAATTCCAACAGTACATTGCCTACGCGCGCAACCTTCGCTTTGAGGAACAGCCCGACTACTCGTACCTGCGCAACCTCTTCCGCACTCTGTTCCAGAAGGAAAAGTACGCCAACGACTTTGTCTTTGACTGGATTTACGTGCTGCGACAAAAGCAAATCCAAAAGGAGGCGGAGGCCAAGGCCGCCCTCGCTGCCCAGCAAAGCCTGCAAGCAACGGGCACGATGACCTCCCCAGACCAGCTTGCCGCCATGCAACAGCACTATGCACAGCAAATGCAGCAGCAACAACAACTACAGCATCAGCAGCTCTTGCTGCAGCAGCAACAACAGCAACAGCAGGCGACCTCTGCCGCCATGGCTGCCGCTGCCGCCTTGCAGCAAACAGGCATCAGCACCGCAGTAGCCCCATCACCAGGGCACACGGGTCTACGGGAAAATCCCGCGCTTGGAGCACACTCGTCCACGAACACTAGCATGGCCGTCATGCCACCGTCACAAGCCCCGTCAGTCATGTCGCCCCAGCGCCCACCTCACATGTAAACCCACCCCCTTTTCTTGGTTCTGTTCATTTTATATTCCCCTGTTCCACATAACTTTTTTGTTTCCTTCATTGTATCCGCCTTGGTGCTATGCTTGGCTGTTTGGTTTTTTCTTTTTGTCCTGTTCTGTCCTGTTCTGTTGTGTGCGATTTTTGTCCCCCTTTTTTCGTGTGAGTGTGTTTGTGGTGTCCTCTTTGCTCTTTTGATGTAGTTCTTTTGCTCCCGCTGTTGTCGTCGTCCTGCCTTCGCGCTGTTGCATTTTTTTTTTCCGACCTGCCTTTGTTGTTTCACGAGATAAACATTGGCTTTTTTCACATTTGGACTGGAACAAAAGTTGGACTGGAACCAAAAACAAGAAATGAACACAAGGTGACATTGATTTTCAGAACAAACACAAACGACATCCTTCCTCAAGAAGTCTTCTCTTCAATATACTGCTGGAGAATGATAATGGCGGAAGTCAGACCTGCAGCAGAGCCGAGCACGAGAAGGGCAATCGCGCCCATCTTGCGCCGATCTGCACGGATGTTGAGCGGGGCTATGCGAATGTAGAACAGCGGAGGAAGCACATAGGCAATCGTAGTGCTGGTCAGTCCGCCAAACAGGCCAATGACGGTCGCGAGCTCCGGAACGGCAATCGCCACGAGATAGCCCACAGAGACAATGCAGACAGTCTCGATGGCAAAGCGACGATACGACTGCTGGCTGTTCGGGAAGAGCAATCGGTCGACAGAATAGCGGCATGGGAAGACAATGACAGGGTACGACAGAATGATGCTGATGGACGTGGAGAGCAACAGAATGGTTGTCGCAGTAGAGTCGGGATAGTTGAGCAGAATGTTGCCCTCGGCAGTCTGAGGATATTGGAGATAGCCAAAAAGGCCAGAAAAGACGTACGCGCTGGCTGCCGCGGCGACGGAGAACGTGACAACCTTGCGCGCAAGCGAGTCGCGATGCTGCAGATCGTCTGGAGCGATCGGATGCTTGAGCTCATTGTAGATCGGGAACAAGGCCTGTTGCGAAGAAAAGGCAAAAATGAAGATGGGCAGGGACTGGAAAAAGCCAGCGATCGTCCCGCCAAACGAGAGGTCGCCCCCAATGCCGTTTTCCGCAAAGTAGACGAGCTGCAGAATGATCAGGTAGACCAGCGGAAGCAGGGAGAGAAGCGACGTCAGCTCCAGGTACCGCATGTTCTTCAGGAGGCACAGAGGCAAGATGAAGCACACGAGACAGAGGAAGCCGAGGAAGGCGCGGTTGGTCATCACGGAGTCCGAGCCGTCCGCCACGCTCAGTGCAAAGTCGCGGATGGCATCCGTCACAATCACCATGTAAGCGGATAGCGGCCCAAACGAGTCAATGATGATAATCACCTTGACCGCGGTTGCGGCGTGTGGACCCATCGAGCGCAGCGCCAGGGTCTCGTAGGTGAAGGCGTTTCCCATTCGGGCGCTCCACAGCAGCAGGGCGAACGAGTAGATGGTGACGAAGGAAACGAGCAAGAGCAGGAACAGGCCAACGCCGAGACCCGCGTGACGGAAGGCAAACGGCAATCCCAAAATGCCAGCGCCGACAATGTAGTTCATGAGGTTGAACACTGCACCCGGAACGAGGAAGCGCGCTGCTCGACGCTGTGCGGGAGTCATTTCTGCCTCCGGATGGTGCTTGCGGCCGCCGCCCGAGCCAAACTCGGCGCTGCTTCCTGCTCCGTCGTCTGAGAATACTTGGTGGCCGTTTACGGAGGTATCGTTGTTGTCATTGTAGTCGTCGTCGTCGTCGTCATCATCATCATCATCGTTATCCATGCGCATGATGCCATTTTGGTCGCTGGTACTTGGCGGTGAGCGCTTCTTGCGAGGCGATCGCTGGGAGGACGTTGACGGCGTGCGGAATCGGTACGGTGCAGACGCAAAGTGGCTTGGCGAAGTGGGCGCTGCAAACTGCGCGAGTGCGACGCCGCCTTGCTGCTCTGATGTCTGCTGGTGGGTCCCATTCGGTCGGATCTGGGCCTGGCTGACGTCCTGTTGTGGTGGCCAGTGCTGGTTGCCCGCAGCGGGATTCGCATTGGGATTCGCAGCCGCATTCGCATCATGCGCCGCCGTCCACGCCAAGTCGCTCTCGGTTGCAGTGGTCCCTTGCAGCTGGAACACGGGCGACGACGCTGGCAATGGTGCTTGTGCCTGTTGTCCTTGATGCTCGGCGGCGGGGTGGTGTGTGTATGGCCATCCCTGCATGCTACTCGACGGATTGAAGCTCGAGGTCGAAGCGGGCGATGGCTGGAACGGGTTGGACAGTCCGATCTGCCAGTCCTCCACCGCACTGCTTGTCGTACTGACACCCGCACTGGCACTGGCAATGTCACTGGCACTCGCAGCATCCACGAAATCGGGCGCTGGGGTGGTGCTGAACGACGCAACGTCGCTTCCTACCGCTGCTTCTCCGATCGGGCTGCTGCTCATTCCTCACCTCGACTCGACTCGGATTGCCTTCCCAGCTCGCCCAGTTCCACTTCCACTTCCAGATCGCCAATTGGAGTTCCAATGCAAGTACAAAGTCCAAGAATTCGCCTGGAAAACGAGGAGCCACTTGTCGTTTGAACGAACGATTCAAAAACCAGCGTTGGCGAAATTTTGAGTGATGAAACGAAATCACTTCAAAAACGAGTTACGCTCAGAATTTGAGTGAGATTTGGTTGTTGTTGTTTTGAACTGTTGTTATTGTATGATTGTATTATTGTATGATTGTATTATTTGTATGATTGTCTGATCATTTCAGGATCAGCTCCCATCATTCTCACTTTTCTCTCTTTTTTGTAAGTTCTCTGCTTTTTGTATGGATTTTGCATTGGAATCGGTTTTCCAGGTTTTTTCTGCTCCGATCTCTGCGGCGTTTGTTTGAATTCAAGTGGTTTTTTTAAGTGCTTTTTATTCCTAACCTTGTTTGATGTATTTTGAGTGGGGTTGGTTTGAGTTGGGGGTTAGGAAGATAGGGGAAGGGGAAGGGCGCTGGAGTGAGTGAGGACCACTTCCACGTGGAGATGGAAGACTCGGTTGCCCCCTTTTCAATCGGGGAACTTGGCTCAGGCTTCCCCCCTCTTCAACAATCGTCAATAAGTGACTGCCATTGTCAACCTGTACAAAGTGTTCAAAAAAGACCAACGGTGCAGCAAGGAAGAGAGAGAGAGAGAGAGACGCTGGGGCTGAAACGCAATGGAAGCGAAGCAAACACACATGTACCCCTCTGCCACTCAGTTCACTCACTCTGCCACTCAGTACAACTCGGAACTCACTGTATGGATGCACTGTTGACAGAATCGTACTTCCCTCTTCTCTCTCTCTCTCTCTCGCGCTTTTCGTTCTCGAGCTCTTCTCTCTCTGCACACATGGTCACCAAGAAGCCATCGCGCGACAACGCGCCGCCCGCAGCAGCCAACTCAAGCTCAAGCTCAAGCGCAGGCAAGCCAGCACATGCTGCTGCTGCCGCCCCGAGTGCGCCCGCCGCGCTGGACGACTCGGCCGCGGCTGCAGCGGCTGCAGTGGCCAACAAGAAGAAGAAGCCATCACAAGCAGCCAAGCCAGCAGCAGCAGTCGCAGCCGCCAAGATCGCACAGCCAGATGAAGAAGACAGTGCTCCTCCCAAGCCAGCAGCAGGCAAGCAGACATCGCGCAAGGCGGCTGCTGCTGCAGAGACCGCCACTCCCATGGAGATTGTCGATCCAGACAACTTTCCGCGTGGTGGTGCTGCCGTTCTCACGCCGCGCGAGCTGAAGACTGCTCGCGATGAAGCCAAGGACGATGCGCTCTTCCAAGAAGCCAACGAGACAGATGACGCCACTCCGATGGACATGGACTTGGACGAAGACACTCCCAAGCCAAAGACGCCCAAAAAGAAGGCAGCACCCACTCCCAAAAAGTCAGACGCCACAAAGACGAAGCCTGCCAAGGCTGCCGATGCCTCTGAGGACGAATCTGGTGCCATCGAGGCCCTGTCCTTCAAGGTAGGGTTTCTTTTAGAGTCTTTTTCTCTTGTATGTCAGCCAAATTCTAATTCACTCACACTCAACATCTCTTTCGTTTGGAATCATGCAGCGCCTTGTGCCCGGGTTGGTGTTGCTCGGTGCCATCCGAGAGGTCGGTGAAATTGATCTTCTCGTGTCGCTCCCGAACGCGCTGACTGGCTCCGTCCGCATTACGGACATTACGGAAGAGCTCAAGACCACCGTCGCCCAGATCACAGCCGCCGCCACCGACGACGAAGACTTTACAGACAAGCTCCCAAAGCTCGCGTCCATGTTCTCCGTTGGCGACGTTGTGCAGTGCGCCGTCTCCAGCGTGGAAGGCAAGGTGGACGAAGACGCCGGCGAATCCAAGCCCGCCTCTGACAAGCCCGTCAAACGCCGTGTGCATTTGACGCTGCTCCCCTCAGCCATCAACCGCCAGCTCACCTTTGAGACCATTCTTCCCAACCAGGTATGAGCAGGCGCATGAAGCAAAGAAGGCATTTTCCCCTGTCGTGTTTTTTCGTTCGATTTGTTCCTCATCATCGTCGTCCCAAATTGCCTGCAAACACAGATCATCCCGGCTTCGGTCAAGAGCGTGGAAGATCACGGTTATGTGCTGTCTATCGGCTTGGAGGGAGTGCATGCCTTCCTTCCCAAGGGAAACAGCACCGCATATCTTAAGGCTCGCGGTTCTGGAGCGCTGGCGCCGGGCTCGTATGTTCGTTGTGCCGTCGTTTCTGCATCCAAGATGTCCAAAGTCGTTACTGTCACGGTCGATCCTGCTGTTCTCACCTCCGCTGTGGTATGTCACACTCGGCGTTGGACGCTCTTTGTTCGACTGATCCTGGGAACGTGTATTGATGCGGGGTTGCCCTCTTTTTGTTTTTGCACTCATTTTCTCCATGTTGTTGTTGTTTTGTCTCCCTTGTTCTTTTCTTGATTTAGGTCACGGCTACCCCGTCAGCCTCGTCGCTGCTGCCTGACATGCGCGTCAAGGCGCGCGTCACGTCAGTGTCCAACTCTGGTGTCCGCGTCTCGTACGCTGGATTTGCCGGTACCATCGACCTGTATCATTTGGGCGACACGCCTGCTAGCTTTGCTGAGGGAGGTGCCAAGACACTGGAAGCCATCAAGGAGCTTTGCCCGGTCGGCAGCGAACTCGCGGCTCGTATTCTTTTCGTCAACGCCTCGGCCAAGACCATTGCGTTCACCATTCGCCCCGGTCTTTTGACTCACCATGTTAAGCCTGCCACCGACCTCCATATTGGCGATATCATTGACAAGACGCGCGTGCTCACCGCCGACCCCCAGCTGGGCCTCGTTCTCCACCTGCCTGTCGGCAACCACATTGGCTTTGCGCACATTTCCAACCTGTCGGATGATCGCATCGGTCTACTTGGCAAGAAGTTTGCCTCCAACTCACAACACCGCGCCCGCGTCATTGGCTACAGTCTGATTGACGGTCTGTTTTTGGTCTCGCTCCAGCCTTCGGTTTTGAAGCTGCCCTTCCTGCGCATTGAGCACATCAAGCCCGGCTCGCTTGTGACTGGAACGGTGCTGGATGTTGTGCCTGCCGGTGTCACTGTGCAGCTCACAGACACCATTCGCGGCTTCATTCCCGGCTCCCACATGTCGGACGTGCAGCTCACCAAGGCGCCCAAGCACATGAGCGCCGGTGCTTCCGTCGAGTGCCGCGTCCTTGAGGTCGATACTGAGCGCCGTCGCGTCTTCCTCACGCACAAAAAATCGCTGGTCAAGACCTCGCTGCCCATTGTCGCGGCCTACACTGAGGCGCAACCAGGCTTGGTGACACAAGGCTTCATCACAAGCGTCAAGCCGAATGGATGTGTCGTCACCTTCTTTGGCAAGGTGCACGCCTTTGTGCCCAAGAGCGAGTTGAGCTTGGGCGCGGCAGACCCCGAAAAGTTTTTCAAGCGCAACCAGGTCATGAAGGTGCGCATTCTCGAGCTCGATCTCACTGGAGAGCGTCGTCGATTGATTGCCTCCTTCAAGTGGAACGAAGAGAGTGCTTCCCAGCGCGTCTCCTCCGAGGCCTTTGGCAAGGACTTGCAAGTCGGCTCGATTGTTTCTGGCACAGTCACCTCCTTTGACGAGACGTCTCTGACCGTCCTGGTCAAGGACTCGCATGGCGAGACGGGCTCAATCACCATTCCGTCGTCCCAGCTCACAGATCACGTCTGCCACGAGAAGCAGCTTTTGCGCGTGTACGCTGAAAAGGGCTTTGTCCTCGATCGCTGCCTTGTTCTTGCAAAGCCGGCACCTGGCCGAATTGAGCTCTCCCTCAAGCCCTCGTTGCTGGAAGCCGCAGCCAGCACCAAGGTGCTGCCGGCCGTTTCGACCCTGGCCACTGGCGCTGTGCTGCCCGGCTTTGTCAAGTCAATCCAGCCCTACGGTGTGTTTGTCGGCTTCCTCAATGGCCTGACCGGACTCACCCACCTGACGCGCCTTGCCGGCCATTTTGTCACCGCCCCTGCCGAGGAGTTTGCCGTCGGTCAGTCTGTGAAGGCTGCCGTCGTCGAAGTGGACCGCGAAGACAGCAAGCTGACGCTTTCCCTCAACGACAGCGCCGTCACTTCCAGCTCCTCGTCTGCCTTTGTCTCGACCTTCTTTGCCGAGCAAGACACCATTATTCGCCGTCTTTGCGCCACCGCCAAGCCCCATGAAAGCGCCCTCGCCATTCCTGCGGCACGCAAGCGTCTGTCGGAAATTGCCACTTCCATTACTGTTGAGGGCACTGTGACCCAAGTGAAGGCCACTGGCGCCATGCTCGACCTCGGTGAAGGTGTGAATGGCTGGGTTTCCAAGGAGCACCTTGCTGGAAGCAAGCCTGCCGTCAATGGCAAGCTGACCTGCGCCGTCCTCGACGTTGATCCCATCGCAAATCTCGTCGATCTGTCGCTCAAGCCTGAGTTTGTCTCGGCCAGCGCCAACCCGTTCGAGCCGCTCCAGGCGCACTTTGCCGCTCCGGCGCCGTCTGGCACTTCGACGCCAAAGTCCAAGAAAGGCGCTGCCTCCGCAGCCGCTGCAGCTACCCCTGCGTCCGGTGTCACCATTGACGCGATCGTCGAGCTGGTCAAGCCCGAGTACTTGATTCTCTCATCGGCAGCCGCTCCTGGCTCTCACTTTTTCGCCTCGTGCAAGGACTTTAACACTGCCGTTCGTGGCGCCCCGCACTACAACGTTGGCAACGCCGTCAAGGTCCTTCTCACGCGTTTGCCAGCGGCAGTTTCTGCCCCAGCAGCGACCAACAAGGGCAAGGGCAAGGCTGCCGCACCCGCCGCTTCAGACAGTGTTGACGTGCTTGCCAACCTGTCCTCGCGACGCGCTCTGGCTGTTGTGCAGGGTCGCAGTGCCGCCCCTGCCGCTGAAGCAACCAACGGCCATGCCTCCGCCGCCGCCGCCGCCACATCCAAGCGCGCTTCTCGTCCCACGATGGACAACGGCTTCAAGTCTGTCGATGACGTCAAGCTTGGCCAAATGGTTCAAGGCGCTGTCATCTCGACGTCGGCAATGCACGTCAATGTTGATCTTGGCAACAAGGTCCATGCTCGCCTCTTCATCACGGAAATTCTGGATCACTCTCACGTTGAGCAACCTGCCAACAAGCGCTCTACTCCTTCTCACACGGCTGCTGCGGATGAGGTGAATGTTGCAACGATCGACCGCAACAACCCTCTGGCGTCCTTCCAGCCCGGCATGCGCTTTTCCGCCCGTGTTGTCGGTTTCCTCGACAAGCACTCGCACACCTACCTTCCCATCTCGCACACTGTCGGTGGCACCCGCAAGCTGGTCGAGCTGTGCATGCGACCTGCCCTGCTTGCTGCCCAGTCTGTCGAGTTGATTACCATCAAGTCCCTGACACAAGGCCAGCTTTTGGACGGTTATGTTGACGAAGTCCGATCTGACAAGGTGGAGGTCTCCGTGACCCCCTTCATCAAAGTCCGCGTGGCGGACTGGGAGGCAACTTCCGACTTGAAGGTTTTGCAGACCATTGTTTTCCCGCACGCCAAGCGCCCTCTTTCGTTCATGGAGGATGACAGCGACCTTGAGGATGGCGCAGACGACGACGACGACGACGATGATGAAGACGATGAAGACGCCAAGAGCGATGCAGAATCGGACGAGAACGACCAGCTCCAAACAACTGGGCTGGCTGCCATCTACAAGCCACAGCAGCATGTGCGTGTCCGCGTTCTGCGGGTCAACCGCCACAACAAGCGCGTTGAGGCCACCTTGCGTATTTCAGAGGAGCGCTCCACTGGCGAGCACGCACTTGGATCGATCGTCACCGTCAAGCGCATCCTGGCGAACGACCAAGAGCTGACTGTCAAACTGTCGGACAACACAAGAGGCTACATTAACATTACCAACTGGAGCGATGATTACGGCGACCAGAGCCATCTCCGTCCCCCGTCTTCGACCTTCATGCAGGCGATTGTGGTCGGTCGCGTAGTGCGTGCATCGGGCGATGACCGCCTGGAGCTCAGTCTGCGCCCCAGTCACTTTGCATCTGCTGCAACCCTCGCTGGGCCCCCCGCAGCCACGTCCACCAAGAAGGGCCGCAAGACTGCGGCTGCGCCTGCGGCCCCAGCGCCGACTGCTAACGTTCGCGACCCGGTCATCCGCTCTGTTGAGGATGTTCGTGTGGGCCAGATTCTTCGCGGCTTTGTTCGTCACACGGACGAGAAGGGCTGCTTTGTCAATCTTGGTGTCAACGTGGTTGGCCGAGTGCTGATTTCCAATCTGTCCGATCGCTTCTTGCTCAAGTGGCGCACCGCCTACTCGACTGGTCAGCTGGTCACGGCCAAGGTTTTGGCCGTGGATCTCGCCAAGAAGCAGATTGAGCTTTCCTTCCGCAAGGAGCACATTGATCCCGAGCATTTTGTTCGCGCAGTCAGCCTCAAGGAGATTGAGGAAGGCCAAAAGTACAATGCCAAGGTCACTGGTGTCGAGCGGTACGGTGTGTTTGTCAAGATTGAGAACAGCGACATTGCTGGTCTCGTGCACGCGTCCGAGATTGCCGACCACCAGGCTCCCGAAAACTTTGGCTCGTTGTTCGAGGTTGGAGACAGTGTGCGCGTTCTGATCAAGCAGATTGTGCGCGAGAAGGGCAAGAAGGCCAAGATCAACTTTAGCATGAAGCCTTCCCATTTTGCCGACGAGATGGAAGCCGAGGCTGACGCAGACTCGCTTCATGGCAAGCTCCTCGCGCTGCACGCCAACGAGCAGACGGCTGGTGAGGAACGACCAGGCAAGCGCCGCGCCGACGACGCCCCAGCAGCCGATAATGCGCCCGCTGCCCGCACGGGCAAGAAGGCGCGTGTCGAACCTGAGGCTGAGGCCAGCAGTGACAAGGTCACCAGCAAGCGCAAGGCCGAATCCGAAGCTGACGCGGCTGACAGTGGCTTTATCGGCTTGGACGACTCCTCCGTGGAGCAGCCCGTCAAGAAGTCCCGTGCCAGCAAGAAGGCTGCAACGGAAGAGCCTTTCGTGCTTCCCCAGGCTCCTGCCGGCGCTGCCGATGTGCCAGTTCTGTCGGTTGCTGCTGGTTTTGGCTTTGACGCCATGTATGGCTTGACGACTCGCAAGTCCACCGACAGCGATGACGAAGGCGATGCAGTCGACGACGGCGAAGACGATGAGAATGGCGACAATTCTGACGATAGCGACGACGACGAAGAGGATGGCACCTCTGCATCCTCTGCCCGGCGTCAACGCAAGGCCGCCAAGAAGCGTGAAGAGGCCGAAATTGCCCAGGCCGAGCAGGCGCTTCTCACTCGTGATGGCGCTGCGCCCGAAACTGTTGAGGACTTTGAGCGTTTGGTGCTCGCCTCGCCCAACAGCTCGTACGCGTGGATCAAGTTCATGGCCTTCCATCTTAGTCTGTCTGAGGTCGATCGTGCCCGTCAAGTGGGTGACCAGGCGCTCAAGACGATCTCGTACCGCGAGGAGCGCGAGCGTCTCAACGTGTGGGTTGCCTTGCTCAATCTCGAAAACAAGTTTGGCGGCAAGGACGCCGTCCAGCAAACCTTTGATCGCGCCGTCGCCAACTGCGACCCCAAGGCCGTTCACCTGCAGCTTGTTGGCATTTATGAGCAGACCCCTGGCAAGAAGGAGGTTAGTCCGGGGTTTTGTTTTGGGGGTGGTGGTTTTTTGTTGTGGATGATGATAGTGTTGTTTGATGCTGAATCTGGGTTGTTTTTGTTTTGTCTCTGCGTGTTCAGGCTGCCGAGCAACTCTACAAGACTACCTGCACCAAGTTCAAGGACAGTAAGAAGGTTTGGATCCAGTACGGTCTCTTTAAGCTGCGCAACGGCGATGTTGAAGGCGCACGTGCCATTCTCCAGCGCTCCCTCAAGAGCCTGCCCAAGCGCAAACGTAAGCGAGTGGACTACTTTGAGGAGGGGGGGGGGGTTCTAATGGGCTGCTGCTGCTGCATCCGTTGCACTCATATCTCCTCGCTTCTTTTTGTCATTTGTTTTCTTGCAGATATTGCCACCATTTCCAAGTTTGCTCAAATGGAGTTCAAGCACGGCGAGCCCGAACGTGGTCGCACCATCTTTGAAAACATTCTCGCCACCTACCCGAAGCGCCTCGACTTGTGGTCTGTGTATCTTGACATGGAAATCCGTAACGGCGACGTGTCGGCGACCAGGCAAGTTTGCGGATGTGATTTTTTGGCTTGTGGTGGTGTGTTTGAAATGAGCGTGCTTGCTCAACCCTCTATTGCTCTTGTCATCTACAGGAACGTGTTTGAAAAGGTCACCAACATGAACATGTCCTCCAAGAAGATGAAGTACTTCCTCAAGCGCTGGCTTGATTTCGAGAAGATTCACGGCAACAAGCAGTCGGCTGACCACGTCAAGCTGAAGGCCAAGTCTTACTTGCAGTCCAAGATGGCCTAAGCGCTGAAAACTCTGTCATCTTAACATTGGTTGAAAATATCTTGTTAGAAGCATCACTACTTTTTCAAAAATTTATTGAACGACCATGTTTTTTTTTTTGTTCAACAACTGCAAACAGAATGTAGCCATACCATCAGTCCAAATCCCAGCAGAAGAGACACAAGCAACGCACTCATGACAATGAACGGAGCCTGAAAAGACTTGTTTAAATTTGACCGGCTTTTTCAAGATTTCTAGTAGCAAAATAGTCGACATTAACACTCGTGAGTCCCTTCGCACAGCCTTTTCACATGTATCAAACTCCTCAAAATACATACCGGAACTTGTCTTTGAGATCCACCGAGGTGCGAGAGCTGGCAAACTTGTACTTGCCCAAAATTTGAGTCCAAGACTTGCCGAAGCGACGGAAGCCGTCAATCAAATTCCGCACTTCAACGTCAGACCAGCGGACACGCGCGCGGCTTTCGTCCTTCTGTTCGTTGCTGCTTTGAGGACTGTGAGCAGATGGCGGCGTGAAAGTACTGGGGATCCTGAAGGGATGGGAAGGTTTGGAGGGCGTCGAACTGCTTGAGACATTTCCAGAAGAACGTTGGTTGGTTTCCGCGGCCAAACGAGGTTGCTTCCCTCGGGGTGAGGCAGCGCTGTTGTTGGCGTCGTCCAGAGCTGCATCTGCTGCGGTGCGACGTCTAGCGGATGTGACTTCGGCGACGGGCGGCGAAGGACGGGTGGATGGCTGGATGCCCTGTCGCTGTCGCACTTGATCAAGGATTCGCTCTTCATTGTGATCGTCAGACTCGTCAAAGCGCGACGAGGGTTGGTCTGCAGTTTGTGGAGCAAGTGGTGGTGTTGCAAGAAGCAAAATGAACAAACGTTCACAAACTCGAATCACCCGCTCGAGAGAATTGCATACCGGAACGCGACGACTTGCGGAATTGGGGGTCGACATCGGCAAGCGGGTCTCGACCAGTATTTCTGCAATCAACACCCAAAAAAAAAAAAAAGACGGTCAGCATTCACGGAGGCGATTGTCGTCCAATTATCAGAGAACAAAAAAAACCTACAGCAAGGCACGCGATTGTGCTTCGAGGGCTCGAAGAGTGGTACTGGTGTCCGCGGAGATGGAGGACGAGGCTTGCGCGCGGCTGGAGGAGGCCGCGTGCTGAGGGGCTGCCGGTGCGGTCGAGGACGCGACAACGTTGCCAGGCAGCTTGGTTTGCGTCACGACCTTTTCCCAACGGTCATTCGAACCTCCAAGCAAGTCAGTGTAGACTCGGTGAAGCATGCTGGCAGTCAATCTGATCCAAAGGTTACAGAACAAAGCTGAGCATGCGTTGATGAGCCGCAACAAGTAGCAACGAACGTCACCTACTTTGGTTGAGCACCATTGGTTGCATTCAATGGCTCGTTCGAAGCTGAGGGCTTGGTTACCAACTACCGCAGCCGCAGCAAGAGTTGGATGAGTGATGGCAACCAGTCCACGTTGCAGCAGTACATTGGAACCGTCCCAAACAGAACAAACCTACCGAGACCAACAACAAGGGTGGCATGCTGTCGTTGACTGCGCCAAGGAACTGCATCACACGTGCGGCAAATCCAGCCCAGTTGTGCTTGGTCAGCAATGCGTGAGGCACGTCTTTGGCCGAGCTGCCGGTCGGGAATGTCTGCGCGCCAACTTTGAGCATTTCTTCTCGCGTCTTGGCCTGTTGGGTTGGCAGCCAAGCATGAGCGAGCGGGTAATGTGTGAATTGATGAGAAGCAAGCACGCGGCAAAGCAATCCAACGGGGCACAGGCAACGAGCAATTATTTGCTTACAACCACCGCGGTGAATGCGGGATCAATGTCGGTTGCATCCGCCGCATGCGTGGGAAAGAGCTCGTCAATGTTCTCGTGGAATTGTCTCGCAAGCTCTTTCGTGGGAGTCTTGTTGCGGATTCCATGAAGGCAAATCTACAAGTCGCAAGCATCAAGATGAGATGCGTTCGAAAAAAAGTCGCGCTAGCAAACAAGGTGGGGCAAAACTTGACACGCACTTGAACTCGAAATTCAACGCCAAGGCTGAAAATCTCCTGGCGCATGTCCAGGGCCTCTGTCAGGCTGAGAGCAAGGTCCTCGAACGCGCTGGCGGCCAACTTGATGGCATCCACGCATGCACTGGACGTTGGGGCTGCATGCGTGCGCAGGAGGCCTGCAATCTTGGCCATATTCTTGCGCACCAACACCTCGGATGATGGCGAGGCGTGGAAATTTGCGACCGCTGCAAACGAACAAAATAGGCAGTAGTGAGTGTGACATTTCGGGACGAAGGAGGACTGCACTTTGGCTCCCCCTTACCAATGGCTAGGCCAGCCACAGACGGTGGAACGCCTTCAATGTTATCCATGAGAATACGATAGTACACCCATTGGGCGATCGCGTCCATGATGGTCGCCGTTTCGGCATCCTGGGTGTCCGAAACCATGTCTTGCGCTGAAATGTCGTCGTCGTCGCTCGCAGCACTTGCCGCGGCTGCAGCACTGGCCTTCTTTGAGGCTGTAGCAGCTGCAGATGCCTTGTTTCGAGTGGATGGCATTATTTCACTTTCCGACCTGTGCATGGTGAGAAGAAAATAAAAAATAGGAAAGAAAAATCCGAACATCAAACGTTAGCTCCAAGTTTTCAGAAGCATCAAATAGCAGCAATCAAAATTCGCACGTCCAATAAAAACTTTTTCACAACTACACATTTTGACAACGTTCATCAAAAAACTGAGACCTCAAAAAAAAAAAAAAAAAAAGGCGGGAAAACTTCACTATTTTTGAAATGGCTTTTTCGACTTTTGTTTCGCTGCGTTTAGCTTGCTTTGTGCTTTGGTTGGTTGACCGTTCGTCCCCGCGCGGCACGCTGTCAGAACTGCTGAAGCGGCGACAGTGTCACTGTCGGAAATACCGCCAGCGCACCGCATCCAACTGTCGGCGAAGCTGATCGCTGGACGGGGAAAAAAAAGGCGCAAATTTTTTTTCTTTTTTGTTGCAAATCCTGTTCGCCTGCAAACGCCGGCGCGCTCTGTTCTGTCGCAAGCAGCGCAATGTGGCTGGGCTCAATCCTTGCGACACGTGTCAGCCTTAAGACAAGCTCAGCCGCGTTGCAGTTGCGGCAAGTCCAACCAAACGGCAGCAGCACAATCAAAAACAATATGAAACTAGGGTTTTAGGGTTTTAGGGTTACGGAAACAAAGACTAAACCCTAACCTAACCCTAATACAAAAAAAACCTAACCCTAACCCTAACTGAACGCAACCCTAACGCAACCCTAGCACAGGCTCAACCACCTCCAGCCCTTCTCTGCTCCCCGGTGGGAATGCTTCTCACTTGTTGGTAGTCAAAAGAGTCATATGGCCCATGGGATGCTGCCTGATCGAGGCCATCCAACTTGGCTCTCTCTCTCTCTCTCTCTCTCTACCTCGCGTTTCGTTCTTCGTCCTTGGAGAACAGCGATACAGGCGCCTTAACAGCCCTCACACAATTAGTCAAACAGAATGACCAGGGTAGCTCTCAGATGTGACGTTGAATCCATCACAAAGCGGCTTGGTTTTCAGCGCTCGCTCTCTCTCTCTCTCGTTAATCCGCGCCACAATCCCGCGACCAGCTCGAAAGACGAGCCATTCGCTTTGCCTTTGACGATGTGTCATCCTTTTTTTTGGGGGGGTATCGTGTCATAACGGCTCACTCTCTGTTTCATTGCTTTTTTTTTTTTTTTTTTTTTGTTTCAAGGTCAGGTTTTGACTACCCCTTTTTTTGTTGCTGGCTGTTGCTGCTGTTGCTGTTGTTTGTCGCGTCTTCGATTTGATGCACACACACATCGCACACACGCTGCACATGAGCCTTCCACGTCGGTGCGCACCAAACGCACATGGAAGCCGAAACAAACGCGCGATCGCCCAAGGCTCACTCTCAGGCACCAACTGTGCCCGCTAGAGCAGCTTGATCCAGCTCGATCTAGCTCGATCTAGCTTGTGTAGACGACGGTGATGGTCGCGAGTGGGGTGTGCGTGTTGTGTTGTGTTTGGGGGGGGGGGTGCGCAAAGAGACGCACAATGAATGCTTTTGCACCGAAAGCCCTTCCCGTCGCAGAGTCGCATGACAAGGCTGACGAGGGAGGCGGAACAAGTCACATCGAGAGTGGGACGTTGCTGTGTCCTGGACTGACGGCGGGAGGGGAGGGCTGCACACTTCAGGCTGACTGATCTGTTCATCCATTGTTCCTCCCTAGATGTCTGATACGCATGTACTGTGGCAGCGTTACTCTGCCGCAGTGTCTTCCTCTGATGTCGAGTAAGTATCGTTCAAAGACCTGGCAGGCGTGGTCGTTGGCGCTGCACGCTGACCTGCGTTTGGTGTTTGGCGGCATCATCCAGACTCGACTGCGCTTCGATTACCGATGAAGAGGCTGTTGTGATTGCCAGGGGTCTCATGGAGAATGGCAACTTGCGACATCTCAAGTCAGAAAGCGACTATAGCAATGGAAGCGAGGCGCTCAAGACGATATCTCACCTAAATTGTGTCAAATAGCATGATTATCAATCACATTGGTGACACGGGAGCACGGGCGATCGGACTTGCACTTCGGAACAAGACCAGGCTGACGATGCTCTGGTACGTTCTGGGGTATCGCGTGGGGGCCCATTGGTCACACGGCTCTCACTTGACTGACTTGGCAACAACAGCCTCGGCATGAACGACATTGGTGATGTCGGAGCTCGTGCCATCGCCGAAGGGCTGCAGGCGGCGACCGCACTAGCTTCCTTCGAGTATTGCAGACTTGCGTTTTGACTATTTTTTTTTTGGTCTCATCACCAGCTTTCGCTCAAGAATGGGTTGCATCTGATGCTCGTCTGACACAGGATGCAGGCCAACAAAATCGGCGACGCTGGTGCACAGGCGATCGGCTCTGCACTTCGAAACAAGGCGAAACTGTCTGTTCTCTAGTACGTGCTGGTGGTGTCGCAGGGTTTATTGGTCACGCTTCTCTAATTGACCGATTTGATACAGCTTGGAAGAGAACAAGATTGGTGCTGTGGGAGCTAGTGCTATCGCTGCAGGCCTACAAACGTCGAGTGCGCTGACCGAGCTCAGGTACCGCAGTCGCACATTTGACGTTCTGTCGCATCTCCGTCTTTGCTCAAGAATGGCTTGGTTCCGGTGTTTGCGTGACTTAGGATGGAAAATAATCAAATCAGCGACGCGGGAGCACAGGCGATCGGATCTGCCCTTCGCAACAAGGCAAACCTGTCAATCCTCTCGTACGTTCTGGTGGTGTACCGTGTCTATTTGGTGTTTGGCTCTCACTTGACTGATTGGATACAGCTTGAGCGAGAACATGATTGGTGATGCCGGCGCTCGTGCCATCGGTGAAGGCCTGCAGACTACATCGACTTTGCTGACAACGCTCTGGTATCGAAATCGCGTTTGACCTTTGGTCACATCTGTACCTCCGCTAAAGAGCGACCTGCTTCTGAATTGTTTGCGTGACTTAGGATGGATAAGAATCAAATTGGCGACGCGGGAGCTCAGGCGATCGGATCTGCGCTCCGGAACAAGGCAAACCTGTCCACACTCTAGTACGTTCTGGTGCTCTCATTGGGGGCTGTTGGTCAAGCGGCTCTCACATATGCACGAATTAATACAGCTTGGACGAGAACAAGATTGGCGATGCCGGAGCTCGTGCTATCGCTGAAGGCGTACAGGGATCGACAGCGCTAACTGAACTCAGGTATTGTGCTCGAGCGTTTGGTTACAAGTCCAGCTTAGCTCATCTCTGGCTTGCTACTGATGCTTGATTGATTTAGGATGCACCGCAATCAAATCGGTGACGCGGGAGCCCAGGCGATCGGTCCTGCGCTTCGAAACAAGTCGAAACTATTGCGGCTCCAGTACGTTCTGCTGATGTCGCAGGGGCTATTGGTCCCACAGATCTCACTTGAACAACTTGTTGCAGCTTGGAACTGAACCACATTGGTGATACCGGAGCTCGGGCTATCGCTGAAGGCCTGCATGCGTCAACTGCGCTGACTGACTTGAGGTGTTGTAGTTGCGTGATCAACCTGACCTGTGGTCGCATCTCTAGCTTCGCTCAATGACCTGCTGCTGATTTTTGTCTGACTTAGCATGAGTTCGAATCAAATCGGCGACGCGGGTGCACAGCCGATCGGATATGCGCTCCGGAACAAGGAGAACCTGTCAACGCTTGAGTATGTTCTGGTGTACAGTGTCTCTTCGGCGCGCGACACTAACTTGTCCGAATTTGATGCAGCATGAGCAGTAACATGATCGGTGATGCCGGAGCACATGCCATCGCAGACGGCCTGCTGACATTACCTGCGTTGACTGAGCTCAAGTACTGTAGTCGCGCCTTTGACACTCTGTTGCACCTCCAACTTCGCGCAAGCATGGCTTGCTGCTAATTTTTGTCTGAAACAGGCTCGAAAAAAATCAAATTACAGACATGGGAGCACAGTCGATCGCAGTTGCGCTTCGGAACAAGAAGGCACAGCTGTTCAGGCTCTGGTACGTTCGGGCGGCGTCATTTGGAGATATTGCCATGCGGCTCTCACTTGATTGATTTTCCTACAGCTTGAACTGGAACAAGATTGGTGATTTCGGAGCTCGTGCCATCGCTGAAGGCGTGGCGGTGTCGACCGCACTAGCTTCGCTCGAGTATTGCAGCCTTGCGTTTGATCTTTGGTTGCATCACCAACTTTACTCAAGAATGGGCTGCTGCTGATGTTTGTTTGGCGTAGGATGAACAACAATCAAATCGGCAACGTGGGTGCACAAGCGATCGGATCTGCTCTTTCGAACTTGGTCAACCTGTCCTTCCTTGAGTACGTCATGGTGATGTCACAAGGGCTATTGGTCGCGTGACTCTGACTTGAGCGATCTGACATAGTTTGAGCTACAACAAGATTGGCGATGTCGGAGCGCGTGCCATCGCTGAAGGCCTGCAGGCATTGACTGCACTGACGAAGTTCCGGTATTGCGCGTTTGACATTCTATCGCCTCTGCAACTTTGCTCAATAATGGCTTACTTTTGATGTTGGTCTGACATAGGATGAACAACAATCAAATCGGTGACGCGGGAGCACAAGCGATCGGATCTGCGCTTCGAAACAAGGCCAACCTGTCTACTCTCGAGTACGTTGTGGCGCTGCCATAAGTGTCGCTTATGCGGGCGGCTCTAATTTGATCGATTTGATACAGTTTGAGCAGGAACAAGATCGGTGATGCTGGCGCTCGTGCCATCGCCGAAGGCCTACAGACGTCGAAAGCGCTGACTGAGCTCGTGTATGGTAGTTGTGCGGTTGACTTGACCGTGGGAATGATCTGCTGCTGATTTTTGTCTGACTTAGAATGAGTTCGAATCAAATTGGCGACGCGGGAGCAAAGGCGATCGGAACTGCGCTTCGGAACAAGGCAAACCTGACGAATCTCTGGTATGTTCTGGTTCTATCATAGGTGCTGTCGGTTACACGGTTCTAACATGAGCAACTTGATGCAGCTTGCACGAGAACAAGATTGGCGACGCTGGAGCTCGTGCCATCGCTGAGGGACTGAAGACATCGAAAGCGTTGACTGAGCTCGGGTATGGTAGTCGCACGTTTGACCTTTGATCGCATTTCCAGTTTTGCTCAAGAATGGCTTGCTATTGATGTTCGACTGATTTAGGATGTACGCCAATCAAATCGGCGACGCGGGAGCACAGGCCATCGGATCAGCTCTTCGGAACAAGGCAAAGCTGTGCCTCCTCGAGTATGTCTTGGTGCTGTCAAGGGGGCTATTGGTCGCACGGCTCTTACTTGTGCAATTTGATGCAGCTTGGGCGAGAACAAGATTGGTGACACTGGAGCTTGTGCTATAGCTGAAGGCCTGCAGGGGTCGACTGCGCTGACCGATTTCCGGTATCGTAGTTGCAAGTTGGAGCGTCTGTCGCATCTTCGCCTTTGCTCACGAATGGCTTGGTACTGATGCCTATCTGGCCTAGGATGAACAACAATCAAATCGGCAACGCAGGTGCACAGGCGATCGGATCTGCGCTTCGGAACAAAGCAGACCTGTCTAGTGTCCAGTACGTTCTGGTGGTCTAAAGTGTCGCTTCGGCGCGCGTCTCTCATGTACCCGTTTTGATACAGCTTGGGCAGCAACAAGATTGGCGATGCTGGAGCTTGTGCCATCGCCGAAGGCCTGCAGACGACGACTTCGTTGATACAGCTTTGGTATTGTTTTCGCATGTTTGAACTTAGTTGTATGTCCCGGTCTGGTCAATAATGGCGTGATACTGATGACCTTCTGAGTTAGGATGCACGCCAATCAGATTGGTGACGTGGGAGCCCAGGCGATCGGATCTGCGCTTCGGAACAAAGCAAACCTTTCTGTACTTCTGTACGTTTTGTAGCTGTCACAGGGGCTACTGGTCACACGGCTCTCACATGATCGATCTGATATAGTATGGGCAGTAACAGGATTGGTGATGCCGGAGCGCGTGCCATCGCTGAAGGCCTGCAGACGTCGACTGCGTTGACTCACTTCAAGTACGGTGGTCGCAAGTTTGGCCTTTGAGTGGCATCTCCAACTTTGCCCAAACCTGACTTGCTACTGGTGTTTGTCTGATCTAGGATGCACGTCAATCAGATTGGTGACACGGGAGCACTGGCGATTGAATCGTCGCTTCGGAACAAGCCGCTGCTGGCCATCCTCCAGTATGTTTGTGTGCTGTCGAGCGTCTCTTGGGCGGTTGGGTCTGATTGAGCCCGTCCGATACAGCGGCTTGAGCGAACCAACATTGTGCATCTGTTGAAATCTTACCTTGTACGCGTCCGTGCTTGCAATAGTCTGTCCCGCAACCAGATCTCTGCAAGTGCTGTTCAGCGTCTATCCCAAAGCGTTCCCGCAGGTTGCGAGTTCTCGTGAGTTGCACTTGTTGTTTGGGTGGGTGTTTGTGAGACTTCATTGTCTTTCTGACTTGCTTCATTTTCCAGGGCGGAAAATCAGAGCATCATTCCCCCGAGTCCAGGCCCCGTCGCACCCACGCCCGCTCCTCCATCCAATGCTGTCAGCGCACCTCTCGTGGCGTCCGATTCGATGGCTCGGCAAGTTGGTCAACAACTCCAATCGCGTCAAGTGGAACCAGCTCAGCCCTCGTCCGCTGCACCCATCAACGCCACCATTCCGCGAGTGTCGTTGCAAGTTCTGTCGCAAGCCACAATGCAGTTTTCAGAGTCCAAGCGCATCGGTGGCGGTGGATTTGGCAGCGTCTACTCTGCTGTCTGGAGCGGTCGGCAAGTTGCGGTCAAACGCTTGGCGGCCAATTCAACCCAAGGCGTCGCTCAGTTCGAAGCAGAGCTGGAATCTCTCTCTCGTTTCCGTCACCCGAACATTGTCACCATCATGTGCTATGCTCAGGAAGGCAACGAGCGCTGCTTGGTCTACGAGCTGATGGCAAACGGATCTGTTCGCGAGCGTCTGGATCGCAAGGGTGGCACGCCTGCATTGAACTGGGCTCAACGCCGAAACATTGCGACCGATATTGCAACCGCCATGCACTTTGTCCAGACTGCCATTCCGCGGCAGCCACTGTTCCACCTGGATCTCAAGACGAGCAACGTGTTGCTGGATGCTGACTTTCACGCCAAAGTCGCCGACTTTGGGCTGACGCGCTCTGTGCCAGCTCAAGTCGATGAACACAGTTACATTCGTACGCAGACTGTTCAAGGCACACTGCAGTACATCTGCCCGCAGTACCACCAGGAAGGCAAGGTCTCGATCAAAACGGACGTGTACTCGTACGGCATGATTCTGCTTGAGCTTGTGACTGGACAGCAGCCCAGCATCGACCTGCTCGCCAACGTTCGACGCGAGCTGAAAAGGAGCCGTAAAATTGATGCGGTGCTGGACAAGGCAATTGATTGGAGCATTCACGACAAGGAGGCGGCACAAGTCATGGCGGGAGATCTTGCGGTTGATTGCCTTGAGCAAGCACGAGTTGATCGACCGTCGTTCGGCGAGATCTTGAGACGATTGTCGGGCGAAGAAGCCGGAGCAAACGAGGAAGACGCTATCGAGCGTGAGTGCTTGATCTGTTGCGACGCGCCCACCAATGCCAAATTGATGCCGTGCTGCCACGCATGCGTCTGTGTTGCGTGTGCTCAAGTGATGATCCAGCGCCACGACAACTGCCCGATCTGTCGAGTTCGTCTGACCTCATTCCAGGAGGGCGCATTCAACCACACCTTTGTTCCGTGAGCTGCTCTGGGTGTTTGGTGTTTTGAGAGTACGTTGCGGACCTTTTGCTTCGTGAGCTGCTCTAGGTGTTTGATGTTTGAGTGTATGTTGCATTGCGTTTCTAATGCAGGCTGTTTTGGAGATGCACCCGTTTGGTATCAATGAACATGTGTTTCTACTGTACTTCTCTTTTCGACAACAGTCCATGCTAGCAGCAGTAATCAGCCTTTTGAAAATGGCAAGTCTTGCCTGAGCACGACACAATGTCACAAGGAGCACGGGGGTGGGGGGAAGGCTCGCTGGGCTGAGTGTTTCTGATCCCATGGTTTGTTTGTTTGTTCTCGTTATTACGATTCTCTGCCTCTGATGATGATGATAATAATGATTTTGTTTTGCATTTTGCCAGTCATATTTTTGTTTTCCACTTTTATTTCCAAGTGTGTCGTGACGCTGGACAGATGAGCAGCAGGGACGGTGGGAGCTTTACCCGCCTTCACAACAGCGGCCTCGAGCAGTCACCGCCGCACCAGCATCAGCGTCATCACCACCGCGGAGGAGGAGGAGGAGGACAAGGACAACGACGTCAGCAGCAGCATCCGAATGGGCGACAGAGCGACCTCGAAGGAGGGCAGCAGCAGGGCGAGCACGAGCACGAGGAGGACGAGGACGACGAGGAGGAGCTGCCCGAGGCGTCGTCCAGCCTGCGAGTGCGGTTTAGCTCGCGGTTTCTGCGTGTCTTCCTGATCATGACTGGCTTCGATGCGCTGTTTGAGCTGCTGCTGTTCGTCGTCGTCGCAAAGACAGAGAGCGTCAGTGCGAGCGACTTTTTCAACCAGCAGGCCGTCCACTTTAAGTTTGCAACGAGCGTCTTTGATGTCATGGTAAACCGTGATCCAGTGCTACTCTCTCTCTCAATCTCATCTCCACTATTGAGCTTGGGCTTTGTTGAAACGTGAGTGAGTGAGTGAGTGAGTGACTGAGTGAGATTGAGTTGAATCCAATCCAATCAAACATCTCAGGCCAATTCACAGCCACAGTCCATTGCAGTCAGCAGTCAGCAGTCAGCAGTCAGGAGCCACAAATCCATTGCGTATCGGCCTCGTTTGCTTTTGCTTTTGCTTGGGATGATGTCTGGCATCCATGTCATTGGTGATCGTGCATCGACACAAACATGAGAATCAATGGGAAACGGCGAGATTGGGAGTTTGTGGGGGGAAAAAGTCCAGTTGGTGCGATGATGACCTCACTGCAATCCGGATCCTGACTCACGGACAAACACCCGGGATCGACATTGATCGGGGGTTTTGACTCGGAGACCTGGCTGCGCTCGTTTGATCTCTGCTGATCGTTGTGGCAGCGCTCGCTCGCTTGGAGAAAACGAACTTTGGTCTCAGATTTTGTGGACAAAAATCAAACTCACGTGGTACTGACATTTTGTTGTATTGTGTATTGGTGTGCATAGATGCTGGCGTCTGCACGATTGTTTGTGCTGCTGTTGACCTTCGTGATCGCCAAGCCTCATGGGAGCATTGTCGCGGTAAAGGATCTCGCCAGCTGAGTGGGGGTCTGTTGCTGGTTGAAATCAATCTGACAGCGCATGGTTTGCTTTGACGACTCGGTGCTTCCTTGTCGGTGGTATCGAAATCTACCAACAGGTCACGACGCTGGCGTCGACTGCGTACTTGCTGGCAAAGGTGTTTTATTACAGCTTCTCAAGCAGCGATCCGGGTGAATACATTTTGTTGATTGTCGCGTTCGTCATGCCCTGGCTCCAAGCGTGGATGTGGGCTGCGCGAGCCTTCCGTAATCGGAGCAACAAGCGTCAAGCGGCCTTGGCTGCTTCGCTGAATGAGACTGCGAGTCTTCTCAACAACTCGTACGGCGTGGCAACGTATGCGCCACAATCCTCATCCCGCTATGGCACGGCTCCAGTGTAAGGCGATTGCAAAGCTCGGCAGTGACACACATCCACACGTTTGCAGAATGAATGTTCAAGTCACATGGATGTCCTTTTCTTGTGTTGCGCGACAGGTTCCGGGAAATTGAAAAGTCGCCCGCGTATGCCACTCGATTCGGTCAGCATGAGGATGAAACCACGGCCCAATTGCCTGGCTTGTCGCGTGAAGAAACCCCATTCCGCACACCTCCCGGTAAGCAGGCCGCTTTTGCTGTTATGTCAGGCGGTTGAAATTTTCCCTCTTATTTTGATCGCTTTGGTATGGGCTCACTTTACCTGACCTGTTTGATCAGAACTGGATGAGCAAAGCATTGCCGACGAAGAAACCAAGTCCTTGATGGATCAGGCAGCACCGAATAGCGCCAGCCTGGCCGTTCCCGTGTTCTCCGGTCCTCCCTCGAAGCGCCCGTCTATCGTGGGTACCTATAGCCAACCAAACCCAAAGGCGCGTCACATCCCCCCGAATCTCGTTCGAGACGCGGAGTATCGCCGACTGGCGGTTGAAGCGCTGGATTTGATGTGGTCGTACTCAATCTCCAACGACGGTTGGACATTGTCGTCTGATAAGGTACGCTCGCGTGGGTGGCGGAGGGGTGCTTGTTTTGACTTGTGTTGCCTTGTTTCTGGGATGTGTGCCGTGCTAACTGTTGTGAGCAATGTGAATTGCGCAGAACGAGAGTCAGATTTATTGGCGAAATTCCCCGACTGTCGTTCTGTTCAAGAGTGTGACCGTCCTCGATGTTTCTCCAACTGCGCTCTTCGAGTTGCTGTTTTATAACATTGAGAATCATCCGTCCTGGAACGAGAATGTGACGGATTACCATGTGCGTCGACAGCTCTTCCCAATGACATGTTTCTGTCCGATTCTTGTTACCGCTGTTTGTTTGGCGCTCGGTGCTCATACACGGTTTGCTTTGATAGGTGATTTACAAGATTGACGACTACACTGATGTGACCTTGACACAGACCAATAAGGCTGTTGGAGGCATGGTCTTGCCTCGCGATTTTATCAACGTTCGTCAATGGCGACGGATTGGAAATAGCTACATGGGAGCCGGCAAAAGCATCATTCTAGACGAGTATCCGGAGCGTCCAGACGTTGTTCGTGGTTGGAACGAAGCAGGAGGTACGTGGGGCGTTGTTTGAGCTGTTTGTGTCTAGCGAGCGCGTGAAACGTTGTGCTGAAAGTCTGGCTTGGGTTGCTCGTGTAGGCTGGGCAATGCTCGAAATCCCCAACAAGCCCCATCTTTCTTGTCTTGTTTGGGTCATTAATACCGATTTGCGCGGAAATCTGTCCAAGTGGATTATCAACCAGACCATGTCGGGTGCAATGCGTGCTTTTGTTGTCGGCCTGAAAAAACGGCTACAGCAACAACAACAGGCGCGGGCCTAACCGCTGGGCCTGAGTGCATGTTGATGGATACTAGTGTTTGTTTGTTTGTTTTGTTGGTTTGGGATGTGAGTGAGTCTTCTGGGTCAGCCTTTGTTGTGTTGTTTGCTCGCTGTCAATTTGCCAATCATTGTCATCATTTTAATGTGTTATCCATTTGTAAGATGTGCATGTCATTCTGGAACCAGACCAACCACCGCGATATGCAGTGAATGACATCCCTAGAACCGCTTACATCAAGAGCCAGTTACAGATGGTGAAATGAAAAGCACAGGACATATGTGACAAGCTTTCGCTTGTTGCATGATCGAGTTCCTTCAAAGGCAGTTTTTTGAACCAAAACCAGTCGTTTATTGAATCTCTTCGTTCAGGTAATGTCTCGGAATTCTCGGTCTGAGCCCCGCTCCGAGGCCGCGGTCAGTGCTGCTTTCACAGACATTCATCAAGTCTCGCCTGGCGATATGGTGCGAGCTCTCGCACTTCTGTCCAAGCTGCCGCACGCGTCTGAGAAAGTGCAGGCTTATGTAACGCGGTCAATGTTTGTGTATCGCAAAAAGATCAGGCAGCCTTGGGAAGATTTGTCAAAGGTATACACTACTGCCATCAGTGTCGAGCCGCTTCTGAAGCCAGCACATTGAAGCTTATTGTTTTGCTGGGTGGTAGGTCAAGGCCAACAAGGGCGCGTTCAAACTGTACACCGGCTTCTATCTCGCAACGTCGTGGGAAGCAGTCAAAAAGTCCTTCGACGTTCTTTGCGGTGTAAGTGAGATGAATTGCGCTGCTTGTCCATGTGTGTCGATCTTAACACTGCACTGATAGCAATTTGTCAACAGGTTGATCCCGAACCTGAACAGACATATCGCTATCGCGCGCTATGTGCTGCCGAGAATTGCGCTCCACAACCGGTGTCTGAACCTCCTGTCGAAGTCGATGACGAGTTGAAGATTTTGCTGGTGACTTACATCGAGACCATCATCACGAGCATCATCCTGGAGCTCAATGATGCAGAAGGATGGAAGGAGGAGGCTTCTCGATTGGCACGGTTTCCCCAAGCCCAGCTCACCTTCGATTTCATAGGCAACGCTATTGAGTTGATGCAGAGTCTTCACACTCTCACCAACGGTCGTCAGCGTTATCGAGACATCATCAACTCTACCCTCGCCTTCCAGGACACGATCTACGAGCTACCCAGCACAAAGACTGACTTCTGAATTGTCGCTCCTTACGACAGTGTGCTGTCCCACCGCCTGCAAGCCGTCTACTTGTTTGAACCGTGTTGGCTCGCAACATGTCTTTCGTGGTGTATAGGTGGAATGCCTGATCCTTTCCATTGTCAGCTCGGCTGATCATCTGTTCGAGCTCGTTTGCTAGCTTTTGAGCACTCTACCCGCATGCCTTCCTTGGTGTGCGTTATGACGACACTCAACTGTCTCATATCCTACGTTCTTTGTTCTTTGTTATTCGTAATAAAGCTTTAGACGGTGAAAACAAACAAAAAAAAAAACACAGTATTGTGTGTCCCCAAAACCCAAGGATCACAGCCGATCATTGCTCTCCGACAAATCCAACCATGAGCGATTCGAGCCTTTTCAACGCATGCATTATTATCAGTAACAATCAGTTCATCAAATTATCTGCAAAAGACCAACTTCTTTTCCCGTCTCCTCTCTCAGACACCCAGCACAGTGCGAAGCGTCGCCAATCACCTCCAGAGACTCCTCCGCCCCGAACAAAAAGCATCAAATAATATTCCAAATAATATTTCCAACAAACCTCATGCAGCCACCATGGGGAATCGGGGCATGGGAATGGCGTAATACAAGCCTCAAATCATGGGTTTGAAAACGCGAAACAATTGCTCAGTCCTCAAAAAAATCCCTTGGGCCATTATTACCGCCCATCACCCCTCGCCATCATGAAGATACGCCTGGGACGCAAGGGCATCCTGCGCACATACCCTCGGAACGTCTACCCAACGCACCAGGCGGAGCTCGAGTTTGTATGCAGCGGACCGGCGGCGACGGCGGACGGCGACTTTGAGCGAGCGAAAATCGCTGACCTGGGCTGCGTTGTCCTCGATGACAAGAAGGCGAGCAACAAATACTACCACGCCGCTGTCGTGAGGCAGATCGTACCCAAGGCGTCGCCCGCTGCGCTCGAGATTGAGGCACAGGCCGCCCAGGCCGCCCAGGTCGCTCAACCAGCAGAGACTCCATTGGCGGGAAAAACCGCCAAGACGAAGAAGAAATTGACCCAAGCTCCAGACGAAACGACGCCTCCCAGCGAAACAAGAAACTCTTCCACAGAGACGACAAACCAGCAAGCGACAGATGCCAAGTACAGCCCACCAGAACGTCTGCCGACTGGCGAGTACGTGCGTCATTTTGTCTACACAGAATGGGGCCGCACGCGCGTCCAGGACAATTCAATCTCGTTCATGTGGTACGAATGCGATTCTGAGGCCAACGCCCAAGCTCTGTTTGTGAATTGCCTCATGGAGAAGAATGTCAAGCGAGGCATCTGGGTGGACGATCCAGCCTTGGGAAGGGTGCTGCAACCCAAGCCGGATCAAGATTTGTATCTCGTCCGTCCTCAGGCTGTTCGCAGCACTGGTCTTGCATCCGCCAAGCTCATCGGACTGCAACCACACCCACCACGCGTGGCAAAAGACAAGACACCCCACAACAACAACGCGCCGCTCGACACTTCAACAGCTTCTGCACCCGTGGCAAGCGACGGCTTGTTTTCAGTCGACCCGATAGACGATGACAACTTGGAAGCCATCCTTCGAGAAATGGACGAGCAGGAACGAGCGCCCTCCGGAGTCCAGACGCTCTTGAACGGCGAGACGCAAACCCTCCACCCCGTCTCGGCGCAATTGGTGAGCGATTTGCTCGTCGAAACGCGAGGCTATATCCAAACAACCCTCGTGAGTGACGCCCTGCCGACCGTCAGTGCGATTGTCGAAGCACAAAAAGTTGTAAAGCAAGCGTTCGAGCGTGTGCAGCTCATGGAAACCGGAGCGACAGAGCCCAGCGCAAGCACATCCGCAAAAGCCACCAAAACCGCTGCCGTGGAGCAACCTCGTCAGGAAGAATCGTCACCCTCCAAAGCCAAGGCATCAGCTGACGACAGTAAGAAGGCCAAGCCAAAGCGAGTAACGCCGACTGTATCGCATGCCTGGGATTTGTACGCAAACGACCCGGAGCTCAAAAAACTGTCTCGCATGCTGCTGTCCCGCATTCCTCGTCATCTTCCTCGGACGCGTTCTAGTACGCACATGGGTGTACTATCTCCGGAAAACCTGCAGCAATGGCACGAAGACCTCGATTTGATCAAAACACAACTGCAAATGCAAGTCAAGCGAGCGCGGGTCACGCGTATGGCCGCTGCCGCCGCTGTCGCGGCCGCTTGTGGATCTCCTTCGCAAGACAGCAACGCCGCGCAGCTGCCATCCAATCTTGAGCTGGAACGCGCTGCGAGCTTGTTTGGCCTGCGGCTGGAGCTGATTGGATCTCGGCAGCTGTCGTCCACTGGCAGCCTCGAATCCTTGCATCCCAAGAACGCAGCCGAGCTGGACTGGTTGCAAAAGTGGATACCCGCCACGACGGACACACCACCCGTGCCCGGGGCGCATGCACACCATCATCGCGGGAAAGCAGCGATTGCCAGCCCCACCGATAAAGCGCTCAGTATTGATCTGGTCAATGTCTGGGACGTTTCACCCATCGATCCCTCCGTCGAAACAAAGTTTCTCGCTCGCCAAGTGGAAATCGCTGCGCAGTGCGCGGGCGTGCGGTCTCTGTTGAATGACCCGCAAGGTCTGCTGCCCCCGCACAAGCTTGATCCGACAATCACGGCTGGTCGGCTTCATGATGCTGGCATTTCCGTCTCGCCTGGTCCAATCGTTCCTCGTGGAGCGGACTTTTCCATGGTTGCATCTCAACCAAGCATAGCGCGGCCTGATTTGCTGCGCCGCTTTGGCGACGAGCAGCTGGCGTGGCGTGCATCCGCGATGGCCCACAGTCGCACGGCGTGCTTGTTTCATGGCACGCGCAGCCGCAACGTCCTGAACATTCTTCGCAACAACTTTGTCATGCCAAAGTGGCTCGTTGGCGTGGTTATCTCGGGAGCGCTGCTGGGACCTGGCATGTACTTTGCGGACGACTGGCGCAAGTCTGCCCAGTTTACTGTCTCGCCCCATGCCGAAGGCTCCAAATTCGCGGCAGCTCTCACACAGCGCGCGGCTTTGAGGCCAGGTGCCTCGGCGACCTCGGCTCCGTTCGCCATCCCCCCAAGCGACGCCGCCGGAAGCAAGCTCAAGCACGATCGTGGCGGCTTCTTGTTCCTTTCTGACGTGATTCTTGGCAAGCCGCGCGAAGCACCTCGACCCAAACCATTCCTCAAGGCGCCGCACGGCCACCACTCTGTGCTGGCACGCGCCGGATCGTCACCCCTCATTGTCCAAGACGAGTGGGTCGTGTACGATCCTTCCCAGCAAATTCCTCGCTATCTCGTCGAGTTTGTGTTGCGTGATGCGTGAGCGACAGCTGAGTTTTAAAGTAAAAGGAAATTAAAAAAAATGTGTACATGACAAGTGGCAAGGAGGTTGAGCAAAAAGCAAAACAAAACAAAACAGAAAAAAAAAAAACCGAAAAAAACCAAAAAAAAAACAAAAAAAGAGAGGATGCACCCAGCGTGAATCGAACACGCTACCTCGACATTACTAGTGTCGCGCTCTGCCAATTGAGCTATGGGAGCTTGAACGTAGCCTGGTCATCTCGGTATACGTGCTGTAAATTCGTCGTGGCAAAGTGAACGGACAATCAATTTCAGGCTTCAAACCAAACCGAAAATCCTGCTCCTTCTGCCGTTTCACTGCAACAAAAATATTGTGGCACAAATCCTCGCTCCAACACGGAAGGGCGATGCGGCAGGACTGCTCCAATGGTTTCTTCTCTCCGTTTCTCCGTTGTGCGATGATCGTCTGAATGCTTAAATGCAACAAGCACAGCCCCATTCACAACAAAATAGCTCAGTCTCTGTTTGAGTTTTTTTATTTGAGATTGAATTGTCATCTCAACATCTGAGAAACAACAACGACCAAGCTCCAATCAGTCAACAATGGACCGCGTTACAAGTTGAGTTGATCCCCACCTTCAATCACATCGCCCCAAAATATCAACACGCTCGCTTTTGCCAAGCTGCTTGATAAATGCTGATGCTGATGCTGATCAACATGCCTGGCCTCATGTCATCGTGGACCCCCCCCCGCTTCCCGCTTCAGACATTCAACGCTGCCCACACTGCCACAAGAAGCTGCCGGTCGTCGTCCAGGCAGTGCCCGACGGCAACGACATCCCAGACTCGTGGCGCAACTCCAAGCTGGCCGCCAAGCAAGGCTGGGAGTACGTTGTTGCTTGGCTCGTTGTCGCGCAGCAGCATGCGTTCAACGTCCTCGTCCTCGTGGGGGAGCTGGTTGCATGCAGATCACTCACTCTCCACTCATGCAATGCGGGATGTGATCATCCCCTGATAATTCATTGCATGATCAGGTACGAGTTACCAGAGTTCTTGCGCGCGACCATGGGTGGCGTCGGCGCCTTGTTCGCCACGTCCTTGTACGCGTATGGCAACGGTGATTGGCTCTACCGGTTGCACCAGACACGCTTTGCACGTCACAAAAGTAGGTCGCGTTTGTTCGCAATCACCAGCTTCGTGGATTTTTTTTTGGCGACAGGCATGCAGAGATCGTTCCAAAGTTGTTGTGGCCGCTCACATTCTCTTTTCGCCTGGCCTCGTAACGTTGGTAGTTCTAGGAAGCGTTGCTCTGGGTGTGCCTGCAGTCATTGGAGGCGCTGCCGTTGCTGGCGTCGCATACGGGGCCACACCTGCTCTGTTTCAATTTTGCACGCGGCTTTACCAATCTGGCTATCTCAAATCGAACGCCTTCTTTGAAGATTCTGCACTGCAACTACGTGAAAAGCAGCAAGCGGCACAACAGCAGCAATCCAAGAGCACAGAAAAGCCACCGACAAATGCGCCATGAAATGATTTCAAAGAGAAAACCTTGATGCCATCGAATCAAAACCAATACAGTATCCATATTCCAAAAGAAAGCAGCTCACGAGTACAAAAGTCAGAAAAACAAGGCACAAAAATCACATTAACTGTTCACTATTCAGATGCGATCGCTCCGGTTTGCACAAGACAAGGGAGGAAAAAAATCAAATGATCTTGCCGGCAAGACCGCGACCAATTCCCCAGCCAAAACCGCCTGCACCCGCCATCATGGCGTGGTCCTTCATGCGCTCTCCAGTGCTTGGCTTGTCGTTCTTGACAACAACAACGTTCGTGGGCGGCGGAGGTCCCGCAACCACCACTTGCTGCACGGGCATCTGCTGCGGGTAGGGTTGCTGCGGAGGACCAGCGGGACTGAAAAGACGAGAGAGTGAGTGCAAAATTTGAACAAAACGACTCAGAAAAGGTGCTCGGTCTACATCTATCTTACAGCGGCTCCACAAAGCTGCGCGGGAAGATGCCAGTGCGTCCAGCGAGCGAGCCTTGGTACCACTATCAAAAAACCCCAGCAAACGAGAGCGAATGAGATTGGCCATTGCGTTGCCCAACTAGCAGCAATGTTGATGTGAGCTGTTTTCTTTTTGTTACATCTGCGTCGACTTCCTTGACATTGTCAATCACGTCGCCTGCGTTGAAAGCGAGATCGTCCGGCTCGGTTGACGGATTGTCGTACAACGCGCGCACGCGAAGTCCTATATTTCCCAAAAAAACAAAAACGACCCATCATCATCATCATCATTATTATTATTATCATCACCATCATTGTCATGATCAGTTAGTAATCGTCAAAGTCCATAGTAGCAGAATGCAATGGATCAGCAACAGCAACGTCAAGTGCCGGTCGGTCTTTCCCTCCACACTCTCCACACTCTCCACAATGGCCATTATTCTGATGACAATCTCAATGAGTCGTGACGACCTGTTACCTGCGGGCTGCTGCGGCGGGTAGACCTGCGCCTGGGGCTGCGGATAGGGAGCATGTTTGGGCGCCTTTGCGGCTTTGGGCGCGGGGTACGGCAGCTTGGATGGGGCCGCCGCAGCTACCGGTGGAGGAGCCTGGTACTGCTGCTGCTGCTGCTGGTGCTGGTGCTGGTCGGTGATGCCGGCGCGTTGGAGGTCGGCGCGGACGGCTGCGGCAGTGGCAGGCGACAGGACGCCCTCGGCAACCATAAAGTCAACCTCGCTGAGGAACCGACCGCCGTAAAAGTCGCGAAGACGAGTTGCCATGGTTTGGGGAAGGAGGTTTTGAAGAGAGTTGTTTGTTTGGGGGTGGTGGTGGTGAGTGGGGTTGAGTGGGGTTGAGTGGGGTGGAGTGTGACGTAGTCAAGGGGGAAAACAAACAAAAGACTGCAAATCTGAGAAACTGGCTTCAAAAGTTGAAAAGTTGGAAATCAAAATACTCAACAGAAGTGCAGGAACAAAACAAAAAGGCTCAATGGCAATGGGGAAGCAGCTCAATGGAAACTGCAATGAACTCGGCTCTCAAGCTTCTTCATCTATGAACATCAAAAGCGCATCTGTACCTTGTCATCATCATCGTATTCAATATCAACCATCTTCCCAAGTTACAATTTCACATGAACTCAGTCAACAACAATCTTTCATTGTGTCTCAGATTCTTCACAATGCATTCAGCAGACCCATCCCCCGTCCACGACCCAGACCAAGACCAAGACCAAGACCAAGACCAAGACCAAGACCAAGACCAAGACCAAGATCATAGCGATGACCAAGATCATAGCGATGACCACGAAGACGACCATGATGACCATGATGACCACGACCAGAGGCAGCCAGACATGGTCCGCTTCCGCGCCTTCTCGTCCGTCAAGCCGCTCGTGCCGCCACTCAACTTTGCGATTGTGGCGCCTGGCGTGTATCGGTCGGGCTACCCGGGCAAGAAGAACTTTCCGTTCCTGAACAAGCTCGGGCTCAAGTCCATCCTGTACCTGTGCCCAGAGCCGTACGTTGGCGACAACGCCCAGTTCATCGGCGACCAGACGCTGTCGCTGCTGCACTTTCCGATTCATGGAAACAAGGAGCCGTTCACGCATATTCCAGCTGCCACGCTGCGGGCGGCACTCGTCGCGCTGTTGGACAGCCGCAACCACCCTCTGCTCATCCACTGCAACAAGGGCAAGCACCGCACTGGCTGTCTCGTCGGGTGCTTGCGCAAGATTCAGGTATTTTGTTGAGCTGATGACTTGGACAGACATTGTTCGTTGTTGAGGCAATCGCTCGGACTTACACATCTCGCAATCTCCCAATCTCGCAGAAATGGACGGTAACGAGCATATTCGACGAGTATCAGCGATTTGCAGGGACCAAGGCGCGCATCCTCGATCAACAATTCATTGAAATGTTTGACACACGCGAGCTGGTGTATCTGCTCGAGCATCGTCCGCAATGGCTATGATTCAATTCAAATCTTTTGGGGAGCGGAAATGGTGCAACGAGTTCCCCCACACACCTCGCAACAATTGCTTTTGGTCGTTGCAATGTTAAGTTATTGTTAATTAAATCCCTTGTTAATTTGCTTGTACTTGTTGATCAGCGGGGGTTGATGCATTATCAATCAAAACAAGAAAAGCACAAACCATCAAAAAGCACAAGCAACAGCTGCTCAGCCTTTGGTCGACTTGACTAGCAAGTACCATTCGTTGCGTGCCTTGACTGCTTCAACACGAACAAGGCGCTTGGGGTCATCCACAGCCTTCGCCAAGCCGGATACGACGACATTTCGGCTGGGGAAGGTTGCTTGTGCGGGAAGCGCGGTTGCCATCAATCCCAAGCATTGCAGCGCCGCAATGCGCAGTTTCTGCATCACAGCATCAGCACAATACAACACCTCAAGGAGTGTGAGCAACAACAGAATCACCAAACAAAGGAACAAGCCCGACAGAGTAAAACGAGCTGTACCATTGAATCCGGAGACGTCGAGAGCGCCATCATGTGCTTGATCAGCGTGGGGGTGTGCGAAGCGAGAAGCGCAGGAGCATCAAACAAAAGGAGATAGACCGAGTTGATGGTTGAGAGTCGCAGGCCCACGTTCGCGTGTGAAAGCGACTGGAACAGAAGAGGCAGCAGCTACGAGACGTTCGGCAAGAATTGCGTATTGGAGTGAGGAATAATTGGGAGACAATCAAGTAGCACAATAGAAGCAACCCCCCGCCAAAAAAAAAAAAGCTTTGTACCGAAGGCAGCTCTGTCAGCAAAACCTGCTTGGGGACGTTCTGGAGCATGTGCGAAAGGGCTGTAAGATAGAATTGCTTGTGTTCTGTACCAAATCAGAACGGTCACAAGAATGGTCAGCTCCATGAAGAGGTTGCGGACACACAAAATGCAAGCTGAATCAACACAAACCATCATCTGTCGCGGCATAGCCTTGGACAATCAAGGCCGACTTGGATGTAAAGAGACGCTGCTTGTACATGATCTGATTTGTGTGGGTTGAGCCAATATCACAATGGTCAGCAATCAATCACCGACAAAAAAAAAAAAAAAAAAAAAGAGAAAAAAAAAAGAGAAAAGAACACAACCCCCACAAACAAACTCGCGCTTACCCGGAAGTTTGCTCGCGTGCGCTTGCTCAATACTTCTTCGCTGTCCGTCAAAATGGTATGCATGCTTTCCGCAGCCTGCTGGGCAAAGGAGGAAGGGGCGGCAGCGACGTCTGCTAAGAGCGGAGCTCGAACACAGTCCGTCAGCAGCAGCGAAACCATGCGGTCTCCAAGGGCATGCCCGCGGATGAAGAGAGCCTTGGTAATCTGTCACGCAGACAAGTGTCAACAGGTCGTGAGAATAGCGCAGTTGAAGATTTGTCGTTCGGGGCGCTTCACCCTGAACTGAAACTCACCCAAATCCACAGTGCCAGCGCAGCTCGCTGTTGCTGGTCTTGCGCTGCTGTTGCAGGGGCAGCGGTGCAGGCAGCGCGCAAAAGTTGCTCGAGCTGCGGGAGCAGAGCAGTTTCAACATGCTTGGACAGGTCTTGATCTGCAGGCAGCAATGATGACAGTTAGCGAAGCGCTTCAAATTACTCCGGAATAGGACCATCTCTGGACACACACACACCTTCCAAATGGTTGATGATTGCTCCTGCCATCATGCAGCAATAACGCCGAGTGTCCGCATCGGGCGAATGTAGTGCCAGCAGAGTGATTTTAGGCAGCATTGCAGCGAAATCCGATTGAAGTGACAGGACAAGCTGGCAGACACACAACAATATGAGAATGCAAGCCGCATCCGACAGCTGTTTCCAGGGGATGTGGAGGGGTATTTACCTCACGCGGGCCACAGCAGAGAACTGCCGAAGCCACAAGAATCTTGCGGGAGGTCGCGGCATTCACATCCACCGATCGAATGGGCGAGGTGGTCGGGTCAGTGAGAGCCGCAAAAGCGGTTTGCACAGCAGTGGAGAGTTGCCTACAAAACAAATCAACGCAGTGAGCAATCCAGATAGTCATGCATCGCAACAGCCCAAACCAAAAGTGCATCACAACCGAAACCAAAGTGCATCACATCCCAAACCAAAGTGCATCACATCCCAAACCAAAGTGCATCATAACTCACGACGAGCAATCTTGAACCGAGGCGGCACAAACAATGTTTCGCACAATGCGTGCCAGCGTTTCAACAACTGACTGGTTGGTAGAAACAACACCACCCAATGTTCCTGGCTCGGCAGACAGACTGAAAGCGAGGCTCAGCACGGGCAAAAGGATTGTTTCTGCCAATGTCGACGGACGGAGGGCGACTTCTTGCTGTTGCGACGCACCCTTGGCGACAATGTTGGCCACTGATTCGAGGACAACCTCAAACTCGACTTGCTCGGGCGACGATGATGCTGCGGCCGAGGGCGACGAAGTGGTCGACGTGTCCATCGGCATCGCAACGGCACTGGCCAGCAGCGTCTGCAGCTGATTCAAGAACAAGGGCGCTGTGCGGCGAAGGAGAGGCGGCGTGTTTGAAATCTCAGTGAGAATGACCCAGAGCTGTTTACGAGCTGCAGCTTGCTCGAGCGTCACGGTCGTGAGCGACTCTGAGAGTGAGGTCAGCACCAAATCTGCAACTTCGGCATTGACCGTCACCGCCAGCGCGGCTGTCGCCTGAGTGCGAACAATTTGTTCGAGATCCAACGTGGCCAAGCGCAAAAAGGTTGACAGGCTCGACGAAATCTGTTCGGCAGTGGCTACGCCCTGGACAATGAGCTGTGTGGGTTCAAACGAAGCAAGGATCGAGTCAGAACGCAGGCACCAGGGCAGAACCACACACAATGCACTGGATTCGCAAGTTCACCCACCAATCCAACAAGGCCGGTGATGCCAGCGCAGCGAACGTTCGGGTGCTCGTGCGAGACTGCGCTTTGAAAGATGGAGGCAAGCACGGAGCTGTACGTCGCCAGGGGATGCTGCTCGTTGGTCACTGAGCATTTCAAAAGAGCGAAAACAGTGGCAAACAACAAGAGCAGAGATGAGTCAAAATTGCACATCGCGCTCATGAACTCTGCAAAACCAGGAAAAAAAGTGAGACAACAAACCTTGCAGGCTCTTCGACGCCTTCAAGAAACCAAGCAGCAGATCGAGATTGGCACGCTTCACTGTGACATCTGTGGCAGCATTATATTGCTCCGAAAGCATTGGAATGGAGTTGAGGAGAACAAACTCGCTGCAAGGAGACCAAAAACGCAAAAAGAACGACACCTGGTGAGTTCCAGATCGGGTTTGCCACACAAAAAACTGTGTGGATGACAAATTACGAGGGTTACCATGCGGAACTGCTCGCCACTGCTGCCGCTTGCAAGAGTGAGGCACTCGGATGTGCTATGCACAACAACAACAACATATAAAAGAAACGAAAAAGAAGCGAAACCCGTCAAAAACCACAGATGTGAGACACACACGCACCAACGTGCGACGACGACACGCTCGCAACAATCTAAACTCACCCAGCTTCAGCTCGGGTTCTTTCAGGTGACGCGCGCATTCAACAATCATGGGCTGCATGAAGGTCACAAACAGCGACTGGTCTTGACCGCTAGAAATCACTCGGGAGATGGCCGTCATCGTCTCCAAAATTGCCTTTTCGACGTCTTCTTCACCAGTGTGGAACATTTCGCCGCGCAATTGGGTTCCAATCTCCAGCAAGAAGGGCGCGAGGCCGACCTTGCCAAAGGCAGACGCACAGGCAGTGAGCGTCTGGAGGGATTGAACCTTGGCGCTGGTGGAGGCCAGCTTTTCGAGAATAGTTGGAAGGAGGAAGGGTGCGAGCAGCGGGGACACGACAAAGCAGTCGCGCAGCGCGAGCACCAGCTCCTCTCGAGTGATGCCGTAAGGATCGTTGGGCGGCGGAGAGAAGGTGATTGGAAAGTACACCGACACGACCTCTGCCAGGTCCTCCACAAACATGTTGAACGGGAAGTGGCGGATGGCGAGGACGTGGAGTTTGAAGGCGAGCAGCAGGTTGCGAGGGTCCTTTTCGCCGTCAATGGCCTGAACAAGCCCGTAGACAAAATCGGCGCCGGCCGTCTGTGCAAATCCCAGGTAGCGCTGCACAATCACAAGGAGCAGGTTGAGGGCCGCGTAGCGAGCCCCGAATGGCAGGGTTGGAACGTGCACTTCTGCGAACATGGTTCTGCGGGAGATCAAGTCAAAAGCAACAACAACATGCGTGACATGGATCAAGTGAGTGCCAGACATGACACGCGAACGGCCATCCACCAGCAGGAACCAAGTGAAGTGCGATCAATGGTTTACCGAAGAATGCTGAGAATGTGCTCTTTGCTCAAGTTGGTCTCAGAGGCCAGCGTAGTCAGCGCGTCGAGAACATGCGGGACACACGGCAAGTCGCGCAGTCTGTCGATAAAGAATGCGACGAGCAGCTCGATCTGCACGATGGGCAGCACTCGCGCGAGCGGGACGGAGGATGGGTTTTCGCGATCGACCGCCTTGAGCACCTGCGGATCAGCCAAATCATAGGCACAATCACGTATGAGTTTATGATGCATTTGGATGCGCAGCGGTGGACGATCAACGCCAGGCTATTGAGGGGCCTTGTTACATTGGCAAGGAGCTGCGTGCCGCGGATTCGCAGATCGCCAGCGGACGCCGTGAGTTGCGGCGCAAGGTGCTCGACCAGGGTAGTGAGGCGGGATGTGTCTTCTGCAATCTACAGAGCGAGGAAAACCGCGAGCAGGAGCAGGAGCAGGAGCAGGAGAGTGAGGAGCAGTGCAATGGTGGAGAAGGACACGAGGACGATGAGCACGTCCTGTCCCCGAGTAGTCTCGCTCTCTGTGCGCTTGCTGAAGCCCCAAATGATGAACAAATGCCTAGTGAGAGAGTGAGCTTACAAACTGGGCGAGGCGGAGGGCGGCGTCGCGACCGTCGAGCCCAGGCGCAGCGCTCAACGCTTTGGCAACAAGCTCACTCAGCGCAGCAGACATGGCTTTTGCTCTGACAACAGAATCAAGAATGAGATGCGCACTGAGTATCACTGATAATGCAACAATGGAGACGGATTTTGGCTGGAGAATGGAACGATGGGATGTTGAGCCACAATTCACAGCAACTCGCGTCAATGATCAAGAGTACAAGGTCAGTAGCACAATCTCCATTGATGGTAGGATCTATCACGTCTGCAAGAGGGAGGCTTCAGGTCGTCTCCGTCCAAGCGTTCGTCCAAGAACAAGCAACAGACGATTTTTAGGCAGGGTTTTGCAAAAAGCGTTGTCTCGACTTCTACTGACTCAGCTGGCAACCGACCTCCATCCTACAGTCGACCTCAAGAACCGCTGTTCTGCCTGTTGCTGGACTTTTCCCCGCAAACCACACCCGCCAAGCCGTCAGTCACAGCGCGGTTTGTTTCGTTTCGTTTCGTTTCGTTTCGTTGCGTTTCGTTTCGTTTCGTTTCGTTCCTTCTGGTTGCATACTCTCCAATGACCTTTGCCTTTCCGCCGTTCATAGCATTCATCACCGTCTCGTTCTTGCTCAATGGTAACTTAGTGAACAAGACGTTAACAACAAAGCAACCATGTCAGCCGAGCTTTTTGATCTGCACAATGCGAAAGTGGGACGAGGCAGCGCACTGGTTCCCTCGCTTCCAACTGGCATCAATGCGCAAAACCAGGTCTCACCTGCACCTGCGACATCTCAAGCGCCCCCTTCCCTCTCTTGAGACGCAAGAGACGAGCGAGACAGAGGGGGCGTGAGACAAAATCAAACCAAAAACCCAAAACCACAGAATCCTCCGCCAGCGAAGCGACGCAGGCAGGGAAAATTCCAGCGGCGCCACTCCATCCAGAAAGATCACCGACGAGGAGCCAGCAGCCACCCCACAACATCCAGACGAGCTCACAACGACGACGACGACGACGACGACGACGACGACGACGACGACGACGGGGTCACTTGAGCGAGTTCGTTTTTGTTTTTTTGTTTTGCGTGTTTTTTTGACTTTGGGGTGTTAAAGCACCTGATGCTGAACCAAGCCCAAAAACCCATGATTGCCCATCGAGTCGGCTGATTCACCCACGCAACTGGCAGAGCAGCCACTGACGCGAGGAGGGCGACGGGAGAGACAGCGAGAGAGAGATTGAAACATGCGAACAAAGTGGATGTGGTAACAGAAAAGCATCGCTTTTGATTATGCGCGGAAAGTCATACCATCTGTTTCTCACACTCGTCATCACTCCCAAGGCTCAACGCAAGCGGGAGACAGCAGTTCAAACACGTCCCAATGCCATCGTTGCTGGGGGCCTGACTCGTTTCCAGTTGATACAGGGGACACGGAGGACGGATGACGGGCGACTTGATCATGGCAACAAACCCATCATGGACACACGACACTTGCTGTACAAATTCGTGTTGTCTTTTTTTTACTCCGTCAGAATAGTGTGACATTCAGCCTCACACCAACCCCAACCCTTCCCAGCACATAAACAACGATCTTCACAGACATTGCCGCTGGCTGCGATGAGCCGAGAGGAGAGCGAGAAGTGAACGCACTCGATATTCACAGCTGTTTGTGATTCTTTTTTCGCAACTCATTCCTTCCTTTTGCAACACAAACAGAACAGGTAATGGTCATTCCAAAGCACGCCCCCAAAAGCCGTTCGTTGTGCTGAATCTGTCTGCCGTGAAGAGAGCGTGCGTGTGAGAGTGTTTGCGCGGTGCCGGCTTTGCACCGGTGCTGGCGAGGTATGAGAATCCCAAACGAGGGGCTGGGTTTAGCTGATCTCGGGTGATCAACAAACACAGAAAGCCTTCGCCCAAAACCCTGCTTTTTTTTAATGTTCTTGGTTTTGGGCTTGATTGCGCGATCTGCCGTGTGCTGGCGTGTGCTCGCGTTGAGAGCCCAGCAGCACGCAGCATTCGCAGCACCACATCCAGTCCAGAGGGGTGCAACTTGCCAAGTGGGTCCCTCCCCTTACAAGCAAGCGGGAAACAGACAAACAAAAAAACATCACACGTAACCAACCACCAAACCCGTCTGCTTTATTTTATTTTCCGCATGCTTTTGCGTTCTTGCATTTATCTCGCTTTCGCACGGGGCACCCAAATACTACAGCCTATGTTCAGCTTGGCAATGTTTGATTTATGAAGAGCGAACGGGTCGTGTATGTGTCTGGGGTTTCAACCAAACAGCGACCAATCTACAGAACACGTCAAACATTTTAAAAAGAAAAGGAAAGCGCACCACCATCTAAAAAATCAAACGGCTTGCCATGTAAGCAATCAACACCCCCTTCTCGTTGGTGCACATGTGAGAGGTCGAAATGGCGACAACGAGATTGCCAAGGGAGATGCCGAGCGCCTGACCAAGGGAACGAGCGATAGCGCGCGAAAACCAAGCGACACCCCGAGCCAAAAAGTCACAAGCTTCGACCCACAGCACAAAAAACAAGGGAGCCGTCGTTGCGTAGTGTGTCACACCAAAACAACAAAAGAACGTCTCGAGCCGACGTTGAGCCGACACGGATAATTTTATTTATTTTTGTTTTTAGTTTTTTTTTTTCGTAACGGCACACTCTACTTTTTGCAGTGATTGGTCGTAAGGGTTTTTTCAATTGCTTTTCAGTCTCTCGCCTCCATCGCAACTTCATCTTCACCGCCCCCCCTTCACATCGAGCCTTGTTGCTGCGCACTTTTGGTGCAGTCTCTCTCGCGCCTTTCGCCGCTCGCAGCCCCGTGCGCCCTGGCGCTTTCGCTTTTTGGTTCGGCTTGCTTTTCGCACCTGGATGACACATTCTTTTTTCTCGCCTGACACAACCCCTTTCAGTGGCGTCGACCCCTTGTTCTTCCTCTGGACCTTGTCCTCTCCTTTCCCCCGTCTGTGTTGTTGCATCGCCGTGTTTTTTTTTCTTCTTGTTTGTTCCATCTCTCTCTCGCCGATCTGGTTCGCTCTGCCATCGAGATTGAGGTTTCGGATAGGGCGGGGCTTGCCCCAGCAACGCACACTTTGCAAAAAAAGAGAAAAAAAAAAGAGACGCCGACAAAGTGTGCAACCATTACGGCTTAAAGCACATACGAACAGGCCAAGGCCTGCCGTGTCAGCACTCGACCAGCTTCGGGCATCACCGCCAAAGATGACAGCGCCACCTCGGACGGCGCCAGAATATGGATAGGACTCTGTTGAAAAAAATCGATGGCGTTGCTTTTCCAACCTTTTTTTTTTTTTTTTTTTTGTGGTTTCGGGATTTGTCGCATGCAGCGGCGCATTTTTGTTTTATTTTTATACTGTTTTTTCAACTATTTTTGTTTTGTTTCGTTTTTTTTTTTTTTTTTCGATTCTCGCTTTCCAATCACGACATTATCGCAGCGCATTGTTACGAAAGGTCTTTTTCTGTCTGTTTTCCCCCCCACCATCGTCATTTCACCAAAAGCGCAGCCTCGCGACTGGCGAGATGTGAGTTTTTGCCGCTTTTCGTCAAAGTTCGCACGATTTCCTCCGTGTTTTTTTTATTTGTATTATTTTTTCATTATTATTATTATTTTTTTTTTTTACACTTCGGCACGTACACAATCGTCCGTCCACAAGGCAACTGTGGCAGCCTCAGTGTCACGAGTGTTGGTTCTTCTTTCAAGGCTTTTTTTTCCCCTGTTTTTTTTTTCGGGGTTCTTTTGTTTCGTCATTTTCGGCTCACCAGCTAGACTTCCCAGCCTTTGCTGTTTTTTCGCTTTCTTTTCTTGTTGCAAAGGGGACGTTTTCGGCTGTATCACCCTGTTTATTTTTCATGTCACCCAAACCTTAACGCAAAAAAGCCCCACTTTGAAAACGTGTTTGATTGCTTTTGGTTTTTTTCGTCTTTTATGTTGTTTTATGGTTTTTGTGTTTGTTTTTTACATGACAAGTTGAGTTGCTGTCGAAAACAGCTTTTGTTGGCGCAAACAGCAGTGTCGCATGTCTCGAGTCGTTTTTGTTTCTTCTTCTTCTTTGTATTTGCTTTGCGGGTTTGGATTGCTGAGCCACACAAGCGAGAGTGCTGCACACAGCAAAATCCGTCGTGATCAAAAGATTCGTCAAAGTTTCGCACAATTTTAAGTTTGTTTGAAATGGCTGCGAAATTTTACTTTTTGCTCGACTTTTTTTTCTTTATTTTTTTCTCGTTGTTTGTTGTTGTGATTTGTGATTTTGCACTTTCGTGAGACTTTTTCGCCCAACCACACTCACGTCACACTGGGCATGTGTTTCCCCCTCCCCTCTCCCCTCGTGTTTGTGGTGCGAAATGGGAAGCAATCCACAAACCTCAAAACTGAGTCCGCAGACACACCGGACACGCTCCTCGACTGTTCTTGCGGTTCCGTTGTTCGTGCCGAGTGGTTTTTTCCCCCTTTCAGTGTGAGTTTTTTTTATTTTTTTTTTTTGAGCTTGCACCCTTCCAATCTCAACTCCAACTCGAGCCGTGGAAAGCATGAGACTGAGTTCTGATTGCTTTGGTTTTGCTGCTGTTTTTCGGTGTCGAGATCTACTTGTCGCTTTTTTGCTTTCTTAGTTCTTGTTCACTTTTTTTTTTTTTTTTTTCGTTTCTGTTGGTTTGTATTCGCGCTCAATTGCTAAATCTTGTTCCCTCTTTTTTTTTTTTTTTTTTTTTTCAAAATCCTTTTGATCTTGAGTTGCTGCTTTCGCCTTCCCCCCCCCCTCTTCCCTTCCGCTCTTGTTTGTTTGTTCGCTGCTCGCTCGCATGCGTTCACCTGCTCTTTTCGTACTCTTGCTCGTTTGCCCTCCTCCTCCACGAC